GATGGGGTCAATCTTGTCACTGTTGTTGCACAGTTGTTGTTCGGCATTAACATTGCAGCCTACTGTGGGCGCGTGTGACTCTATGCAATCTCAAGTTGGTCATCAGTCCCTTTGACACAATCACACGCTTTTATGTACCATATCCCCGCTGCAGCGTCATGTTTTGTAACGTTAATATTAACACGGGCTGTGTAATCAATGTTGTAGTTTGCCCCAGCCCCAGAATACAGTTCGTGGCCAAACCAACACTCGCTTTTCACACGTCTCAGTGTTACCTTGTACTGCTCTACAGCAGCAGTGGTTTACGTTGTGTGACGGGAGCATGCGGCTGTAGCGGACATCCATTTAGTAGGAAGGCAAAAATCTGTCAAAACTTGACCGCCTCCACCTCTCCATGTGCGCACAATCCTATAGAACGGCCCGATATTTAATCCACGCAGAAACCATCACAGATTCATAATATTAACGTGTTTAAGCAAACAGATAGTCCACCGCCGGCTGCATTATTATCGATGCTTCACCCACCCCGTTTGCTATGCGTTCATTGTTAGTTACACATTTGTGTTAAGCCCCCTTCCAATGCGTACGAACTGAATGAATGGCCCAGTAGTTGTACTTCGCAGCATTACCTCACGCCCCGCAAATAACTGTACACACACACTGTATGGACATACCATAGCACAAAACGCGCACATAACACAAAGATCCCCCGTGTAGCCTGTAACAGACTGTGGTGGGCCAATGTTGTTGTTGTTAGTGAGTAGCGCCTATGAAGGCCGGCACGAGGGGAGGGGGTGAGTGGCCAGACACCACGCACGGCCGCCTTTGTCTCCCCCCATGGCGATGTTTATTACTACACACCACCGGCAACCAGGTACTGAGTTGAGTCTGAGTCGACATAGGGGAGGAGGAGGAGGCCCATGACCGGTTCAGATAATCGCCACTGGTGGCGAAGGTAGCCGTGAGCAGCCTAGCGCTAACCGCTACACCATCGCTCCCCACACACACACGCGCGCGCGTTTATTTAAACGTTTATTCGCGCAATGCAAAGTCCACCCTACCCCTTCACTTACAAATGTGCGTGTATTCCGTGGCGTTGTGTTTCGTTTGCGGTTAAAAGCGAGTAGTAGGATGAGGAGGATGAGGGTAAAGAAACCGATTCCGCGCCGCGCGCCGCCCATGTTTTTTAGCGGGAAAAGCTCCGGGCGCCATCTTTAAACGGTCTCGCTCGATAAATAAAATTCGCTTCGTCTCTTCGACGTGAAACTACTCGTAGTGCAGTCGCGAAAAAAATCACAATTTCTCTCACACACACACGCGCGAAAAAAATATATAAACGTGTAATCACGGTCTAAAACACCGCGTTTTAAAAATAAATAAATTTATAAACGTTTTTTTTAAAACGCGAGCGCACGGCTGTTGCCGCCATTTCGCGCGCGCGCGGCGCGATGCTAATGGGGGTTTAATGACGCCGATAAAAACCCACGAGAAATAACACGCCTTTAATAAATAACACGCCTTTAATAAATAACACGCCTTTAATAAATAACGCGCATTTAATAAATAACACGCACGTGTGTACGGCTTCCCCTGCGAAACGATTAACGCTGGAAAGTACGTGAACTCATTTAAAAAAAACAACCACACAATTTAGTGGCACCACCTTGTGAAATGAACGCCGCCAGAGGGATTGTTTTATTATTCGTGTGCGGCTGGGAGCGGCGTCAACGTGGCCCCTCACCCCCCTCACCGTGTGCGATGCCGGCGAGCCGGATTCTATTCCTGCTCACGGCCACCAACAACCCAGTGACTTCTTATCCTGAACCGGGCATCGTCTCCCCCCCTAGGTAGACTCGGCCTCAAATGAGTGCCTGGCGAGGTGTTAAAAAAAACACATCGCCACTGAGGGGAAAGGGGGGGGAGACAAAGGCGGCCGGGCGTGGTGTTGGCCACCCAGCCCTCTCGTGTGCCACAGTTCCCGGCCTTCATCGGGCGTGTGCTAACAGCGCCTGCCCCAGCAAGTCTGTTACTAAATATTTACTGAGGCCAGCAGTAGAGAAGAGCGGACAGCGTGGGGAGGGAGGAGGGAGAGTGTAGTCATTGAGAGAGACGGCAGAGGAAGGCGTTGCCGAGCAGCGAGGGGAACCCTCCGGTAGGGGGGGCGAGGCCCCGGGCACCATGGGGGAGGTGGTGGTGGGGGGGGGCACCCAGAAACAACTCCGCCCACGGCCCTGAATGGCCGCCCCCCTACCCCCACCCCCCACCTACCCCCTACCCCCCACCCTACCCCCCACCCTACCCCCCTACCCCCCACCCTACCCCCCACCCCCCACCTACCGCCGTGCTAGGATCTCGTGTAAGGGTCGTCGTCGGCTTTATTTAGCGTGCGTGCCAACTACGCGCGGGTTATATTGATATAAATACATTCCGATCCCGTCCGCGGCAGGCAACGGCGCTGCACGTGGAAATCCGCTGCACGCGGACGTTTCTGTGGGTGTGGTGGGCACAACGCCGACCCAAATCGTCCACGGTTGTCATCTGAGCGGGTTCACTTAAATCGACTGCCCGCTGAATGTCCTCCCCCACACGTCGCGGGAGCTAGTTGACCGTACTTCACGTTGGGCAGGGTTGGTGAAGGAGGGAATCATTTGCGGGCGCATAGTCCGGTACCGTACAACAATGGGCTATGGCTTGCACTGCCCTCTGCTGCATGCCCAGAGAAATACACCTTTTTTTAGTTTTAAAGCGTTTAAACCACCGTGCCAATGAGCACCATCCATGTATAAATGCAACAAATAAAATATGACCTTTCAACAAGCCCGTCCTACTCACGATTAGGATGGCAAGAACAAAAAAATAATGCATGGATTATGTAACACGTTCGAACACGCGTGTGTGCTTAAGGTAATGCGTTTCATGTCATTAATGGGCGCTTATGACATGGATTAGGGAGGGACGTGGACATTCATGGGGAGGTGCACACCGACAACTATATGAGCACAGAGAAGAACTGCAAGTTAATTTGCACCATTCGAAGCCTCATAAACAGTGGATAGAGCATGACAAAGATGCTAACACAAAAAAACGTTCCGATGCATGATTGGGATTTTAGAGACATGAATAGGAACACCTGGATTCGGGAACTCAATTCATAATCATATTATTGGTCTTCATCAAGCAATAGCTAGATCATGATGGATGACTTGGGCAAAACCCAGTTTTGCCTATAGAGTTATGAAGACCTGGGTAGGGGAATCATGCGAGGCAGGCCTATCTCTTGGGGGCACGAGACATCAACTTTATATTTAAACGGATTGGTTAATTATAAACTAGCTTACGTCACACGTAATGAGGTGGTCGTTAACATGCGATAACGTCATCTTGTTTAAGGGGCCGTCCATAAATGACGTCACACGATTTTTGACCCCCCCCCCAATCGTCACACGGCGTCACGAAAAAGTCAGACCCCCCCTCAAATATGACGTCACAAAGCTCTGCCCCCCCCCCCCCAAAATATATGTAAAATATGCTTCAAATCGCTTTTAACTATTGTCATTGTAGTGCGTATTTAATGTGGCGCTGCACTCTGATGTAGGAAAAAACATTTATTAAAAAGTATATTTAATTAAGTAGAACGTGTTTATATTTATATTCTTAGCTCTTTCGGTAAAGTATATCGTTAAAATATGTATTTTATATATTTTATTGTTTCCCTTCAACGTGACTTTACCGAAAGAGCTACAAATATGAATTACTGCAGTCACGAAAGCTTTAAATCAGTGTTTATATTTATTTAAAGTTGCGCATTTTGATGTGACGTCACATTTCTCAAACCCCACCCACCCTCGTCACACATCGTCACAAATGTCTGACCCCCCCCCCCCCAGGTGCGTGACGTCTTTTATGGACGGCCCCCTAAATGAAAAAAGGGAAAGTTTTTGAACCAGATTGAAAGACTGTGGACATCATCAAAGAAGTTGGGACCATTTATTTAAACAATTAGGGGACCTATATCACTTCACGTTTACACAGAAATGAGCCAATTGTTTAAATTCTATGCCCTTAATTGTTTAAATTCTATACCCTTTTGGCAGGGGCCAAATTTTATACGATACAAAGATTTCGATTTAAAGCTTTCGTGACTACAAGGATTCATCTTCTTTGGTTCTTTCGGTAAAGTCACCACGTAGAATGAGAATAAAATAATAAATTGATAAAATAAAATAACAATAATATTCTCACGACGTTTCGGCCACAACACAAAGGCCGCTTGTGTTGTGGCCGAAACGTGAGAATATTGTGTTATTTATTTTATCAATTTATTATTTTATTCTCATTCAACGTGGTGACTTTACCGAAAGAACCAAAGAAGATACAAAGATTGTTGGCTCCCAACAGTGGCTCAGTCGACTCGCATCCACAATTTGAATTGAGAACCAAAGCTATGACCTAAAGGGTTACCTGCCTGGATAGAGATGTGGTAGGAAAGGGGCCGTCCATAAATGACGTCACGCGAGCTTGGACGATTTTTGACCACCCCCCCCCTCTCTCGTCACACGACGTCACAAAAAGTCAGACCCCCCCCTCAAATATGACGTCACAAAGCTCTGCTCCCCCCTCAAAATAAAACATGCTTCAAATCTCTTTAAACTATTGCCATTGTGCGTAGTTAATGTGCCTCTGCACTCTGATGTAGGAGAAAACATTAACAAAGTATATTTAATTAAGTACGTGACTTTACCGAAAAAAACAAAGAGTATGAATCCTTGCAGTCACGAAAGCTTCAAATCTAGAATTAAGTAGAACGTGTTTATATTTATTTAAAGTTGCGCATTTTGATGTGACGTCACATTTCTCACCCCCCCCCCTCATCACACATCGTCACAAATATCTGACCCCCCCCCCCCAGGTGCGTGACGTCATTTATGGACGGCCCCAAAGGTAATATTTAAAGTTACGTTATTGCTAACACTTGTTTGAAAATGTATTTCTGCTTGTAGGAGTGGGGGAGTGGACATCCCATAATGCACCATGTGGTGGCAGCACAGGGACTCTCCTCACCGTCATACCCTGACTCCACGCAGGTGCGTATTTCTCTCCACCCATCACCACTTACCACATCATCATTGCACGTTACCAACAATGTTTAACATCAAACCATTTACACGAATAATTGTGCTAATGCAACCGCAGCCATAATCATCTTCAACACTACTTGCAACCAATGCCACCAAAGCCAACAATCAAAATTATCACCATAAACACTTTAAGCATCGTCATAATCAGCACGATCATTATGACCATCACTGACTTGGCCAACACTTAAGATAAGTAAGTTAGCTTGGGCAGGAAACATCGCTGGAAGGGATGACGGTCAATTGCTGGGGTTTAATGATGGAGTAGCAGCCAAATGAGGGAATACGCCAGAGCAGATTTCTAACACGGAGATGGAGCGATGAATTTAGCTCGTCTACAGAACTGTTACAATACGATACCGTGAGAGATGGCTGGTGCTTGGGAAGGCCTTCTTGCAATAGTGGATAGATCATGACTGCTGTTCATGAAGATGAAGTGTCCGACAGCCTAGGACACCTGTGGTACGCATTCCTCAGGGGTGCACGTAATGTCTCTTGTGGGATTAGTAAGCAGGCCTGTTTTGCATGTGTGCACCAGTAATTATAAATCTATATACTTATCTGGTGTGTGACATTTGATGAATTGTGCGTTTGGGAACCTAATTCATCCATGTGGTCTCCGGTTAATAAAAGGTGCTGATCTACAGCATAGCAGCAATTCGTTTTTGTTAATCTTTCACAAGAGTGAAACATTTGGCAGGACATTTTGAACAATGAGAAAATTCACAAAATGGCCTTACCCACAAACAAATATGGATCATATAGGTAAGGGCAGCAGATCTATCTATACTTCACTCAAGCCAAGAAAGCCAACGCGTGTTGCCATACCCAAATGAGTACCAGACGATGGATTGTGGCTGAATCAGGCTGTTGCGATGCTCATGCCCTCTGTTGGTGTTTGCAATGCATTGTGGGTTTACCCACGAGGCCGTGCACGTGCTACATTCCGGGCTGTGACTGCGGTTACGTGTGCTGTGGGGGCTGCAGTTGTCGTCGGAGGGACCGGGGCCACAGGGGGGAGCGGTTGGCGATGCCCTGACGCCCTCCGCGGGGCCTGTAGTGGGCGGCGGGGCTGCTGGAGATGCCCAGGCACAGCTCGAGGCCGATAAGCGCGCGGTCTACAGGTACTGGCACGTTCCGTAGCAATCTGGATTTCTGTTGGAATTATATAACCTGTTATTCTCCTCACGGAATAGGAGTGATCTTGGTGATGGTGTAGATATTGCAGGTTATTATTGTGAGGATGATTGAGTTTGTGGTAGTTATGATGTTTATATGAATGAGATAATTGTGTTGGTGTTTATGGTGGTGTAATAGGTGTTTATGGTAGTGAAAAATCAATAACACTACTCATCAACAACACTACTTGAAAAGAAAAAATATATATAATGGTTGATGTTTGGGCCAATGGCCCTTCTTCATAGCACATGCACAGAGAGGCCAGATAGATAAAAGGGTTTGATGAGATTGTTATTCTAATGACCAACTTTTAAATTTGCATGGAAATAGTGATGGTGTTGATTGCAATTGTGCTAAGCACTCGTAATGGCGGTGTTGATGGTCGTGGTGTTGTTAGTTGTTAATGGTTTGATGGTTCCTTTTTGTGATGTTGGTAATGTCGACAGTATTGATATTTCTGGTGTCGTTGGTGTTAATATGGGGAGTGGTGGAGGAGTGATTAACATGCTGTGAAATAAAACCACCTCATCGGGTTAGATTCCGAGTCATGGATTAAATAGGTTTACATAAGGAACTGGTTCGGGCCTGGGCCTCCCCTAGACGCTGTATAACCCTGGTGTAGTTCCGGTGATCACACCCACACATATGCTTTGCAAGCCTTTATCGATGCTCTCCGACGGCGCTGCACCAACAGTGGTTGCCGATGTCTGTATTGATGATGGTGACCGTGTCAGTGGCGATTTGACCGATGTCAGTGGTGATAGTGTGACTGTTTTTGATGGCGGTGGTGATGGTGTTGATGTTGCGCAGGCACCCCTTGTTCCCATTGCTGGCTCTCCTCTTTGAGCGCTGTGAAGAGGCCACGCTGGGCTCCGACTCCGTGAGCTCCGCAGGATTCGATCTCGACATTGAGGGTTTCGTGCAGCGGCAGGAGAGCGAGCGCAAGCCATTCTTCAGCGACGAGCCAGAGATAGACAACCTGGCAAGTCCGTGCACACACACACACAACCGTGTTCTCAAGTGGTGCATGTTGAACTTCTTGAGTATCAGCCCAGTTATCAATGACTGTACAAAAACAAAAAACAATTTTCACTTTATTTGGGTTTTTCCAGCACTGAGAATTAAACATTCAGAATGATTGATATGCAACGAACAGTCTTTAGAGGACATATACATGGTGTGCCCCTTGTGTTGATCAGCCCATTTCAGTGACTGCACAAGTAGTTTTTGTTTTTTTGATACCATCTTCTGGAGTTAATCTCTGACACAGGGTGGTGCCCCGCTAGCTGCTAGAGTTTTAAATGTAAACTTCTTCATCTCGTGACACTATGACAAGAGCACAATCGGAATGTATCTGGTGAAAACAAACAATATCATAACGATAGCAACCCTGCATGTGCCAGATGGTGAAAGCGATCCAAGTGCTGCGTATTCACCTGCTGGAGTTGGAGAAGGTGAGCGATCTGTGCAAGGATTTCTGCAGCCGCTACATCACCTGCCTCAAGAGCAAGATGCATTCGGACAACCTCCTTCGCTCGGACGTGGGGCCCAGCAACTCCTACCTGGGGGAGCCCGTACGACAACCCTCAAGCCACAACGTCAAACAATACAACACCAACGCAGCTGCATCGTAGCTTCGGCATAATTTTATCAAAAACACCACCATACTAATGCCATAATGTAGGGTCCTCCTGAAAGCTAAATGCACCCCAAGCTTGTGCCCGGTGTTAATTAAGTTTTGCAAATTTGGCTATACACACCTACCGAATTACCAGACACACCTTAAAATTGTATTTAAAATATCTTGCACTTTCAAAACACACCTTGAATATGGAGTATGCCAAACATCCCCAAAGCAGGATCCCTCTGAAAAATAATCTATATAATGTGTGGTTTTCTGCAAATGACATTGGTAAAGCAATCTGTATCACAATTCCAACATCACCTTCATATCCATAACGTCACCAGCATGTCAACATTGTAACATCAGCATAACAATATAATTATTAATATTGATGTACATATAATTTTAGCACAACATGAATCTAAACATTATAACTCCAACACGATAGCCTCAGAAGATCAGTGTCACTGCTACCCCACCATCATTAAATTCGCATTGTGATCAAATCATCACAACGTTACTTTCAACATTGCAGCACCAGCATAAAATTAATAACAACATCACCATATGAAAATCATTATGTGAATATATAACTGTATCGGCATCACAATATCAACAGCACAATCATATCACCATCACATCATTATGATGTTCACGTCACAACAGACACATAGACATCACCACTCACAGATGTTATCCGTCATGAATATGAATTATTTTGCACCTATGATCCCCCACGCTCCTCTGTGAATTGACCAAGCAGGCGCTGGGCCTGACATCAGGTGACGCAGTTGCTGTAGTGAGCGTTCCTGCCCCTTCGGTTGCTGTGGCAACACTACAGTCAGCACAGGTGCTAACAGGTAACGCCCGGTCATGATGACGTCAGGTATGATTCACGGGTTTTGCGGAGAGCTGTTCAAGCCTAGCGGATTGTTCTGTCAAGGAGAAGTTGATGGAAACGGAGGACAGAGTGCTCCCCTAGGCTTAAAAGGCCTTCCACCACCTTGTGAATCACATCCATAGTCTGCCGTAATAATAACACACCCCATTATAACAACAGGACATTCTGCTTTAGCAGCACGGCCAATTAAACTTGAATACAGGAATGATGTGCAATGTAATGACATAATTTAATAACACACTATGACGGAACACCTCATTATAACAAGCCGAGAGAACACAAAGACCCTAGCCTGATCTCATGACGCATTCATATTTCACACGTGATGTATCGTTACGCAAATATAAGAGGCATGTTTTAAACAAGTGATAATGCTGTAACCTATGTCAGTGCAATTCCATGAATATGTAATTAATCTCGACTCACCTGCCATCCCAAATCGGCCTCTCAATACGAGCGTCGTTCGGTTGAGTTGAAGCATCAATTGTCCTACGACTTCTGTCATCGTCACAGATGCGTTCACGTCATTATTGCAGTCATTCCACCCATTTTTAAATGTTGCCATGAGTCATGCAGTTGTCACCATGCCGGGCATTATTCTTCGATATATTTCTATTGTTTTTAACAGTGAACAACAGCTTGCTGCTCTTATATTGCATCAGGTGTGCAAGGGCACAGCCACCTTGCATCATGTGACATAGCGGTCTTCTTGCGGCCATTCTGGAAGGAAAAAAACTTTGTTGCGTATCACTACCAGGGCTGTGCCCCATCCACGACACAATATTTACCACGATCACACTGACATAGGTTACCGTGTTAGAAAGCTCTATTGAAACACCTTCGTATGAATGTATACTCGATTTAGAATCCCTTTCTTAACAAAAGACTTGATAACAAGAAATTGTAATGATCATGCTTGATATTGTTTTGATTATTGATTTCATTTTGCCCTTATAATGACTGTGGTGTTATGTTATTGTCCTGGTTATTGTTTTATGTTTGTTGTGTCGTCCTAATGACCGTGTTGTTGACCATTGCCAGGAGGCACCATCTATCAGCCAGTTACCATGGTGACCCCACACGGTCAGGTGGTTGCCCAGGCAATGACACAAGCAACCACCACGACTGCCCTGCAGATCCATGGGGCACAGGTGAGACTCGCGTTAGAAGCCCCTGCTGTGGTGTGCAGTGGCAACGTCACCGGATTTCCCGGCTACACTTCCTTGTGCACCACGGTGGCGAGATGTGAACTACCTCAACTGGTACACAGGAGGTCGTGGATTCAATTCCAACCCTGACGTCTGCCGTATATTTGGAGTTTCCACGTTCTCCCTGTGGTCGCGTGGATCTTCTCCGGGTCCTCTCCCTCCATATTTAAAATCAACATGCGTTTAGTGTATTTGGCTGCTATAAATATTCACATGATAAAAAAACAAATTTCGTTGAGCTATCATTTGTGGCCAAGTCGCTTCTGAAAAAGAGCTATATAGCTCAGTGGGCCTTACCTGGTAAAATAATAATAAATTAACATCCGCACTATTGTGTATGACGGCCCACGGGCAGCATAAATCTCACAACTTCCTTAATGCAGCCTGCAGCCACATTACACCCACCGCTTCGACGTGGTTCACAAATATTTATCCGTCAATGCAAGCATTTTAGCAGCACTAATTGGGTACAAGAGGGACAGGTTTTTCACCTGGTAATACTGCTTTTATAATTTTAGTGGGCTCACTCACTTATGTCACTAAAAGGGTCTCTTTGTACCCAATGGACCCGTACGTTATTTTTGTGTTCTTTTGGATGATGCGAAGGTGTGTTTTACCCAAAGTTATTTGACAATATAATTTGGCCCTCAGTACGGAAAAGTCAAGTTTAGTTTTTAACCAGGTGAAGAACTTAAGGGATCAGGATAGTTTCATTTGCAAGATTTACCTAGGCCACCAAAATGACAAAAAATGTTCCCCTCCCATGGTGTATAATGTCCAACCATGTCATGCCATCATGTAAACTATTCAGTTTTTCCTGTATAAAGTATGTGTAACTGCTATGTTTCTGTACACTGGTCATGTTTCCATGAATTATGTGTGTATGGTGTGTGTTGTGTCTCCAGTCCGTCGTATCGTCTCCCTGTGTCATCAGTGGGATCTGCACCACATCTCACCTGCAGGCTGACAACATGGGGGGCACACACCTGGGACAGGTAACTCGGGGACACGCCGGGACACTGACGGAGACACAGACACAAGGGAAGGGGGACGGGCACACACAATGCCTTTGAGAGACATGTAAAGACACGGGGAGAGGAGGGAACATCGGATGGACATGAGAGACACATGAGTATACATGGGACAAGGAAGACATCGGAAACAGGAACATAGGATGATGGAGACATGGGGACGTAAGCACGAGGACATAAGGATGCAAAGCTGTGCAGATGAGAGATAGGGTGGTGCATTTAGAGACTTAGGTCATGGTGACGCAAAGACATGCAGATCAATGAAGATATGTGAGGACATGGGGTCTTGGTCTATACGGTATTCATTTACGCATGTCCCTGCTATATAAGTGTGTGTTTATACGTGCAATGATACGGATTGTGATGCTCAACACCAGTAGCAATAGGAATCAGAATATGTTGTCGGCTTCCCTCAGGATGCACATATACAGCTAGTTTTTGTAAAATCACTGCTGGATAAGGGTCTTCCCACGCCCTGCCAGCTGTGAGAGATATTTGACCATATTTCACCGTGCTAGTCAGTGTGGGTTAGTGATGGTGGGAGTAGTGTGGAACATCAATGGACTCCTCTGCACTGCCCACAATGTCTATTACACCTGGCTTATACGCATAATGGTCACCGATCCAAGCATCATGCCGACTCATACCAGCTTGGCTTGCGGTATTTGACAAGATCAGGCATCATTCCAGGTGAATTGGTCTGGTGTGGTATGTAAACATCAGCACTGGGGACAGACTGCAAAAGGGAGTGGTTCTGACCACGCCATCCCCTTGTGTGCCTTGCCAACTTTAATAGGTGCTTGCTAACTACTTACCCCAACAGTCCTTAAATGCTATACAGGGGATCTTTATATTTTTGTCCTTGCACATGTGGGTATATGTATGGGGATTGATGGCACAGTGATGAGCACACTGCACTACAAGCATCAGAACTGGGGAGACAAAGGTGTACAGACCTGTGCTGGATACACCACCCGTTTTGGTCACCATGTAGGCCTTACTCATCGCTTGGTAACAGCACTTGCTCCAACAGCCTGTTAGAGGCCATTCGGAGAATCCTTGTCTTTGTATGCATGCACGCGCACGTTACCGTACTGATAACTCTGTGTGTGTATGTTAGGACATCTCGGCGTGTGACCCGGATGACAAGCGCGCTCGTCTCAAACGTGGCGTGCTGCCCAAACACGCGACCACCGTCATGCGCTCTTGGCTCTTCCAGCACATTGTGGTGAGCACAGCCATGGGCCTGCCCAATTGGAGTCACGTGACTTTTGCCATCTCAAATTTACACTTGCACCACCCCATTCGCCTGCAGTCAGGATTTATCAGCTACAGTCTTCGTGCAGCTGCAGAGATTGGTTGATCAGCTGGCATCAAAATACACCCAGAATATTAGTTGACTGATCTATATAGTGGAGACTTTGGTGTACACTGTGCCACTCAACCAGATATGGTTTGCAAATGTGTATGTTGGTTATATTAGTGCTGCTTCAGTGAGGTTCATAAACTAAAGCATAAATTTATTGTATTTTTTACGTGTTGGACAATTCTGCAAAATTTTGGTGGACCAAGCCATGACAAAATTCATTATAGGCAGTTAAGAGTATGGAAAACATCGATATTCTTCAGTGAGCTGTGCCCAGCTACAGACTGCAAAGAACAGCCATCATGTTGGAGGCGATGACACCACAGCTTAGCTATGGGGCCCATGAGAGTCGCAGCAGTATGCAGAATTATATTACATTAGGTTAATGTATCAGTAAAATTAATTAACAAAAGGAAATGTAAATGGTATGTTTGACACGTGTATGATAAAACATCCCTGGGCTCCCCTGGCAAAGTATGGTAGCAATAAAAAATAGGGAAATAATAAAAGTACAATCAATCCATAGTCCTATGGCTTTCTTCCAGATTAAGGTTTATAGCAGTTTTTTTGCCATCGGTGTCATGGTTAGCACACCACACATCAATCCAGGTGATTGCTGGCCATACACAACAACAGTGGAAATGTGTATCTAAACCCAAGTGGCTTCCCCTAGGTCGATAGATATTAGCTGGTATGGTTTTGAACGTCAGTGCTGGGGGAACAGGGGCAGCTTGGGAAATTATGTTCACCACACCCTCTGTTATTTGCTGTGCTGGTCTGAGAAGGTTTTCATCAACAACACTTTCCCCTGCCATCTGTACGGCTTATTGGGGGATCTTTGTATTTACCATATATATTTGTGTATACCCGTGTATTTGTGCAGCACCCATATCCAACAGAAGATGAGAAGAGACAAATCGCCAACCAGACCAACCTAACCCTGCTGCAGGTCAATAACTGGTGAGATAATTGCAAAAAATGCTTGCTATGAACATGCCACTACAAATCACTAACATAGCCACAGCCCTAAACCTAAACCTAGTACTGTTTATAATCCCTGAGAGAAATCTGCCATAAGTATTGTGGAATTCCATCACTGGCTCAGGACCAACAACAGGAACAAGTGTTGTTCAGCACTCTTTAGAGTACTGGAGTAATGGAAATGCAATCTGTGTAAGGGTGTTTCAGAGTCATCACACCCACGTTAATGAGGGTATGTCTTTAATGTGGGTATCCCTTTAATGTGGTTATCGCTTTAATGTGGGTATCCCTTTAATGTGGGTATCCCTTTAATGTGGGTATGTCTTTCATGTCGGTATCCCTTTAATGTGGGTATCGCTTTCATGTGGGTATCCCTTTAATGTGGATGCATGGGGCCGTCTATGCCGCAGGTTCATAAACGCGCGGCGCCGCATCCTGCAGCCAATGCTCGACGCGAGCAACCCTGACCCTTCCCCCCGCGCCGCCCGCAAACTCAAGGCTGCACCGCGACCCAGCTCCCAGCGCTTCTGGCCGGACTCCCTGGGTGCCCGAGCACCGCCCGGGGACACGGGGGAACACGGGGACACGGGTGACGGACACGGGGACATGGGTGGGGACGGGGACGCACGGACACACGGGGACGGCACGGAGCATGAGGACGGTGAGGCTTGGGCAGGTGGGAGCAGGAGAGGAACGGGAGATGTACGGAGGGATGGAAGGAGAAAGGACGTTTACAGAGGAAGGGGAGGAGAAAGGGAGCTGGATAGGACGAGAAGTGGAATCCCGGACAGTAAGAATAGGAGAGAAGAGAGTGAATTGATGAAGGATGGAGAAGGACAGATGTATTCATCATGAGGATATGTGTATGAGGGTGGATGGGCACATGCTGGCCTCTACTCCTGATGTGCCATCTTGCCCTTACTCGGATTGATTACACCACTCGTCCCGAGGGTTTACAAGGCTAAACATAGATAATTATCTTTGTCAATATATTTGTACGTGTCTGTGTTTCAACGTGTGTAATTCCTACTCTGTGGGCCACAGCTTGGGATCAGAAGATTGTGAGTTTTAATCCCAGTCAGGGTTCAGCTTAACCCAATATTGTTCTGGGGTAAATAAAATTAGTACCACTTTGTGAGATGTCAACAGCAGTTGTCCTGCGGATTCACAGATTCCAGCTAGAGGAATGTGGAATTTTAACTTGTGGCTCAGGGCTGCGAATGGAGATGAGCAATGTTCAATGGCCATTTGAGGAGCCACTGCTTTTTGGTGTTTTTAAGATATGTATAGGTCTGGCTTAATGAGCAGTTTTAGCTGGACCCCACTTTCATATTATAGATATGGTGTCACTTCGTTGATGTCATGTTTTTTTCTGAGAGAACTAAACTTTAGCCGCTGCAGGATAATATTCTCCCAGCAATGTGGATTGGGGCAAGGGAGATGTTGTATGTGACAGTCTGTATCTTGGAGACACAAGAAGAGCTAAGAGACAGACACAGCAGGAGAGAGGTGTATTAAAGAGCAGTACATGAAAAGGAGGGAAATTTATTGTTTGTGAAATGTTTTTGGTTGCAGGTGATGTTGTAAATATTTGTAATGGTGATGATGGGAAGTGAAATGATAGTTGTTTAAATAATTAATTAACTAAATACTTGCTTCCTATCCCCATTACCCCATGACCTTAGTTAAGCTCTAAACTCTCTGACCTTTCAATGCCTCCCCCTGGCACCCAACTGCCATGCCCTCTGGATTTTAGCCTGTGAGTTTTGTGACCATTTCACTCGTAATGCTGTATAATTTATAATCCCTGACCCTGTGACTCCCCCACTTCTTTGCCCTGTGACCCCGCCCTGTGCCCTTTGCACTCAAGACGGCTGCCTCTCAGACCCGCTCAACACTTTGAGCTCGGACAGTGCAACCCTCGCCGTGCGCCGGGTTATTGTGGGGCATTTATCGGACGACGGGAAACCTGGCGCTTCCAACGACCACGGCCACGCGGAAGACGACCAGGAGGAGGATGAGGATGAAGAAGAAGAAGATGAGGAAAACATCGAAGACGAGGAAGAAGAAGAGGAGGAGAATGGGATGTCCCAGCGGAGTGAGTGTGGCCTGGCCCTGAATGCCGGAGACTGACTTCACCCCGTGTCACCTCCTCACCGTCCCTCTCCCTCTTCCATCGGCTATCCCCGGGGCCATTAGAAACTACACAGACTTAATTCTCAGAACATGTGTCTATGAAACAAGCAGTTTTCTGCGGGCTTCAATTTGCACCGCAACTGACTTTAGACGGATGGCTGAGTTTGCTGTGCGGTTTGGCGCGCTCGCCGCTGGGCCGCTTTGCATGGAGTCAGGCAGGAGTATAATTCCGGCCCAGTAATTTCCACGGGGAATTACAATCGTCAACCAAAGTGCGCCGTCTTCCGTAAAGTGGACGTTAAAGACGGTGTGACTTTGTGCACAAAGTTAGGCCATTGTGTGTCAGAATAGCCTGAGTTGCAAGTTTGAAAGTTACCTGAAAATTATTTGTATACCTGTGTATCTACAGTTATTAATGTCTCATTTGCAAGAGATAATCTCAGTGGGCTCTTGTCTGTTTGGACAAATTATGTTGATTTTCATATACTTTTCGGCGTTAAGGTTTGGACAGAAAGCCAGGGCAGAAGTCTAAGTGTTTTTTTATCAATTTAAATGTGTGTGGATTTGACATTTGTTACATTTTCATAGAAAATGCAAGCTGGAGCCACGGGGATTCTAAATCACGGGGTATAGTGGCATCCACGATCTCTACACATTTGTGCAAGAGAGGGTGAAAGCTGGCGAATTAGAATTTGGGAGTGGAGAGAATTTAAGAGACGGACAGTAAGAGAGTGGAGAGTGGATGGCAATTTAATGAGGGAGAAAGGGAGAAAAGTAAGAGTGGTGAGGGAGGAGAAACAATTGAAAAGTAGGATACTGTGGAGAGAGAGGAGATAGAGGGTGTCTTACGAAAGAGGGAACACAGACATGGTTGTTCCTACAGCATCAAAGAGCTGGTGACTTGTAAGAGAGGCTTGTCCATCGGACGCGACGACCACTTTTACAAGAAACGGTCCAAGAGCGAACGTTTCCTAAGACACCAAGAGCAGGAAATAGACGATGTGAAATGAATAATTCTATGAAACATCCACAAGCAAGCCAACAGACAGCTCTAACCAAAACTGAGCGATGCGAGGTGTGAGTGGCTCACGGAACTTACTAATGGTCATGCAAGCGCGTTGAGGCTACACTACTGATATTCTCCATTGGACTCCCAGGTGCACACCCAAGACTAAGTCATGTTCTCTTTAGTGGTGTCTGCCTGATCACTGCAGACTGCACAAAAAAGTTAGATAAATCATACATATGCATAGTGGACTCTGATGCTTTCCAACATTGAGGTCAATTGAGGCCTCGTGCCCCCGGGGGCATGATCAGTGAGTAACTTCATCAGCCGTGGCGTATGACGTTATGCATCGGTTAGAGGACCGTGTAAATAACAACTTTGGCCAATACTTTACCAACTTTGGCCAATCCTTTGATACATTTGCCCAGTCTATATAGTCTTTAATAGCGACACAACTTTATAATAACCCCTTATTTACACAATATCATCTTTACAAATTATTGTGGACCCCCCTTTACAGACGGACGGAGCTAATGCATTCATGTAATGCTAAAACCTGCATCATACACATGGTGATAATATTGTTAAGGCATAATTTTAAAACGAAAAGGAGTGAGATGAATTTGTACCGTTCTCTGTTCTTCCTTTGTGAACGAGTGCAAGTGAAGACTGCTTTAGCGTGGCCAAGATAGAAGCCTTACACCCCGTTTGTATGAACTTCGGAATTCTAGTACACACTCGAGTTTCCCCCCCCCCCCCTCCCCGTTTCCTTGTTTTTAGACAACTCAAATTTCGCTGGCAATACGAGCAACAGCTTAATTTCTTCTAACAGAATTTCGCTTCTCGGGCTTGCTTGAATTCTACGTCAAAATATGGTCTAAGTAGAAAAATCTATTTCTGGAAAAGCCCTGCCCAACTTGCGTGACAACTTGGTAAATTATGGATATGCCACTCTTTTTTTACAATTGGATTTAAGACCGCATCTCAAATTAACCAACTGAAGTTGAGAATCCATTTGGAAATCTGATTTAGCGGTGCTCCCCATCTCTTAGTGATCTGCGAAAGAAAATTCCCACAGGACTGCTCAAGAAAAAATATTTGAAGTGGCCTTGTATCCTTTATACACTCGGGAGCTCACTTCCCATACATGACAGTAAAACCTATATTTTTAACAGCTGAAATTTAGCTGAATTGATTTTTTTTATTTGATTCTTTTGTTGTGTGCAGTCTGGTGACCGGACTGAGACCATCAACTCGCTACAAACTGGTTTAATCACAAGAGGCTGCCTGGATTCGAACCGAGGGTCTCGGTGGAGCCAACTCTACCCAGCCCCTTCTCATCTTAGAATGTTTAAAGAGAGTCAAATTATCCCCTTACTCTCACAGGTATCGAGCAATGCTATCCCCCCTTGTTTTTCTTTAACGGGGGTGGAAATTCAACATTGTTATGGAGAATTGTAGTGTATCTTAAAACGCAACAAGCACGATTACTTGCCATCATATGGTGCGGATGGTACTTTTATCACTCATTGAATATTGAAGAGTTGAACTTGATTGAATTTTTTTTACTTTTGGTATTGCAATTCATAATATCTTCAATCTCCCGCTAATTGTACTGCTCCCATGGAGGATTTGTAAGTTATTTTGGCAAGTCAAAATTGCTTTGCTGAAGATCACAAACATCTCAAATGAAAAACTGCAGTCTTGACTGTAGATGTCACGAATTGAATGTTAAAAAGTAAACATGAAACTAAACTGAGGCTGAAAAATATTTGCAAACTTTCAAAACGTTTGAAATCTTCCCTGAAAGATACAATGTAACAGGGATGTTTTTAATCTTATTAATCAAAAAATGTCAGTAAGAAATGTTGCTTATATTACATCACTTCCTTGCTTTCTCCACAAAAAAGTGTTGCGAGGTCAATACGAAGACATGTTATATTATCAAAATATAAATGATCCGAACATCATAAAGGAACGCCCTAATTGTCCTAAATATCCTAAAGCGGAAATTGAAAAATACAAAACTCATCTCTACGACGCAATTACTTCACTGGATGTTTGTTCAAAAGACCTCTTACTAACACCACAAGACGGTCCTCCTGCACGCTCTGCATCGGATGGTTCACCGTGTCTCATCCCATACACAGTATGTACTACATTAATCCCCAATAGCTGTCCTTCACTGAATTAGGTGCAGCAGTAAACATTGTTTATTTTGCAGCCAACTTTATGCACCTGCTTTGGATGGAAGAATGGGACCTTAGTGTAACCCCAGCGTTATTACATGGCCATAATGACCACCCTGAGCCATCCAGACAATTTCGACTGAAAAGGTGTTTCTGATGCTCATTTGACCATTTGCTTTATTTTATCAATCGTTTTAATATTACCATAATGCAAGTTTATTATTATTAGTGTTATTAATATTATGTTATTGCTTTAATGTGATTGTGCCGATACTTTCGCTCTCACTGTAATATTCCTATTACATTTGTAACATTCAACACTAAATATAATGTATAATGTACACACACACACACGTACATTGTATAGCACACTAATGTGTGTGTATATACTGATACACAAACGGCTAGATACATGTTGCTGATATCAAACAAGAGACACCTGGCAAAACTACCACAAGGTAGTATTTGGTGTTTCGGCAATGGACTTTTTCTATGTGTGTCTGAATAAAACCACCCAGTTGTAAGAGATGATAACATTGCAGCCTATAGGCCTACAAGGCAAACATCTTCCATTGGCAGTTATGGCACGTGAGACTTGGTTTGTGATGGTGGCACCCATCAGTGAGCCACAGCTAGGTACATATTGTACAAAGTGTGTGACAGAGGTCTGGATGAGAGGAAAGAGCCAGTGCACGCACATGTGGAGTCAACATAAAAAATGCAACATTGGTATATATGTAGTGTAATTTAATGTGTTAGTTTACTCGCACTAGAAAAAATTCATAATTAAATTGAAGGCAAGAATTGACTCGTTTATACAGAATATGTAGTGAAATCCTCAAAGGTTGGCCACTCAAATTTATCCTGGTTGGCCTTTTGTAGGCTTTGTGATAGAAAACATTGCTTTGTGATGTGAAACCAGCGCTCTCACCAGCACGATGATCTCCTCTGTACGTGTACAGCCCTTTTGTCAATCCATTGCTGGATGAGGACCCCTTCATGGGTCGTGGTTGTTATTTGGCCATACTTCACCATGCCGGTCAGTGCACGATGAAGGTGGGGAGCATGTAAAGTACAGTACAATAATCGATTTTCCTACACTGCCCTTTGCTGCCTATCATGTAGCCCCCACACTTCTAGTGACCTCAAAAATCACAACATGTATTAAAAATTGATATGATTATCACCCTCTTTACAGAATATGGGTTTAAACACAACTTGAAAGAGCAAAAAAAGGGAAATCATTAAAGAAAAGTAATGCCAAAATTTGCTTTAAATAGTTCAGGAATATACATGAGACAAAACTCCAACAAAGTTTAAAATAAAATTTATGTGATTTTGATAAGATGAAAACACACTGCAAGCAAGCTTTTTTGGGCTTCTTAAGCATCTATAGTTTTATTTCTGATAGTTTACAACTGAGACACGTTCCTAAGCCTGGAATCAATGTGGTTTGACGTATTGGTTTGATATTTAATGCTGCCCCTTATTTTTGTACAATGTGCATTGATTCCAGCGGTCAATTGGATAAAAAAAAAAATCCCATTAATATGACTTAATCTTGTCTCCTCCACACTCACAGAGGTTTAACTGTGAATTCATATCAGACAGCGATTGCTTTTGAAAGTAGTCACCGCTATGGGAAAAACAGATGCAGCGTGTTTTGTAACATCCCTGTGCAAATCTGTGTAAATTGTTTTATAAGTCCACGGTAAAAAGAAGCACATTTTGAAGATCGTTCCTTCTTGTTGAGGTGGGGGACAGCCGCTGTTGTACCTGTTGGCATGAAGTACATTGCACTATATTCATGATTTTTTTTGCATTCAGTCGTGAAAAATACAAATGCTAATGTGACTTTTTAAACAAATAGATGGCAAAAAAATGTTTGGATTTTTAAACAAAAAATATATGCATGCATGTATCGACATTGTTGAGCGCAGTGATGTGGTACTAATATTCTAGCTACCTTAAGTTTGATTCCTGGCCATGATGCACAAGTTGCATGGAATATTGATAATGGAATCCAGCCTCGGCCTCTGTTAGGTCAAATCGGCCTAATACGAGCACCTAATCGTGCAGTCAACGTCAAGACGAAGTATGCTGGGTTTGCATGCCGCTGGCTCCGACACACTCATGTGTGCCATGCCGGCCTTAATATGTGCTCGCTAACAGCACTTACCCCAGTAGTCTGTGAGGCTACATAGGGTTGCTTTTATATATACTGTATTGAAATACAAGCATTTTGTGAGTGTTGATATGGACTGGGTGGTGGTGATGCCGTGACAGGCACGAGACTTGAGAAGCACATTGACATTTCGTTTGAGATGTCGGGTGCAATTAAGTATCAAGATAGAAAAAAGGTTTAAATTTAAACAACAAAACTAGTTAAATTTCGATTTAAAGCTTTCGTGACTGCAAGGATTCATCTTCTTTGGTTCTTTCGGTAAAGTCACGTAGAATGAGAATAAAATAATAAATTGATAAAATAAAATAACACAATAATATTCTCACGACAGTCTCGTCCCTTCACCTGATGAAGGCCGCTTGTGTTGTGGCCGAAACGTCGTGAGACTATTGTTATTTTATTTGATAAATTTATTATTTTATTCTCATTCTACGTGACTTTACCGAAAGAACGAAAGAAGATACAAAACTAGTTACCCAGATTTTGCAAAAGAGCTAATCACCTGGTTTCAAAATTAAATTGGATTTAAACTTAAATTGAGGTCATGGAAATTAAGTGATAAAAATTAATCGTGGCTCTCCACTTAATTTTATCGATAAGCTTCACGTTTTTGCCTGATGCGGCATTGACAGTCGTAATCATTTTCTCAACACTATCGCAGGAGACCTGATTTTAGGGTCATCGTCTTGAGTTTTATAACCCACAATGCCGATTTTGAAACCCTAGCATTCGCAAGGTGAGACTTTGGATGCTAAATACACTGAACTCGTCACAATGTTCAAACAAGTCAATTGGAAACAAGTGTTGAAACGCCGAACCTAAAATCCGGTCCCTGGAGGTAATTCTAGAGGCATTGAAACTGATTTCCCAGGACGGCCTCTTTAGGTTCAGTACTGGGAAAGTGGTCTCACAATGCCTCTGTCAATAAGCTTATAGAAGTAAGGCGATGGTGCCTATCCTGCCTTTACAAAATCCCAGTGTGAACCCAGAGGGAGACCCCCACGTAATCTGGGCCCATGTGCGTGCAGCACCCCCTATTGTAACCTTTTGTAGCTGCTTGTAGCAATTTTTAACGTAAAAGCATACTGTACTTAAGAAAACTAAATAAAGTATTTTTATACAAATGGAGAAATTATCACGAGTGGTAAAACAATGTGGTTCATTTTTTATTATTATTTTTGGTTGATTGCGTGAGGGTACATATGTGTACGATTGTATGTATGTATATTAAGGATATAGGCATCATTGTTTTAATATCCTTTTTGAGTTCCCCCAATTACGTGCCACTGGTGTCATGTTACGAGATGAGGAAATCCCTATTGAGAGTTCTCTCACAGTGAGCAGTGCATCACCCTGGACAAGACCGACGCCGGAAAACGGGAGTTCCAGAAGTTACTATAAGCCCTCTTTCATGACACTAGGGACACCCTTTCTGTGCCTTGAAAACCAAAGTGTTGTATATCAATACTCTTTGGTTCTAATCGGTAAAGTCACGTAGGTAAAAATAAAATAACAAAAATTCACGACGTTTTGGCCACAACACAAGTGGCCTTCATCAGGTGAAGGGACCGGACTGTCCAGAGGACAGCGTTGGAGTGAAGACAGCCAAGCCCAGGTCGCGTCCTTTAAGCTGTGTGGGAGCAAATAAAAAACGCCTTGACAAAGGAATTAGCATAACAATGATGTACTGGACCGGCACGGTGGGGGTGGGGGGAGTTTACATAATGTTGGTGTGAAGGGAAATAAGCTGCTGTGAAAGTTTGGGATACCACTACTTGAAAAAAGATACTGTACCATTGAAAATTAGTTTAATGTTTGGTTTGATTTAGAACATCTTTCCAATGATTGCTTAATTTGAAACCATTTTTCCATTTAGTAGGTACGCAAAAATCTGTCAAAACTTGACCCCACCTCCTCCTTCTTTCCCCGAATCCTATAGAACGGCCGATGTTTAATCCACGCAGAAACGATCAATGATTAATATTTAATAATATGAACGCGTTTAAGCAAACAGATAGTCCACCGCCGGAATATCTATAACTCATTTGAAGGCCGATGTAGACAAATGACACGATGTAACGCAATTTTTTTGTTCACGGGTACTAAAAGCGTTCTTTTTTAATTGCTTATGCCTAAAGAGTATAGGAAATGTCTATTGTTCCCCGCAAACTTCGCTTTTGCGACCGGGACTTTGTTGTGAACGAAAGCCACAAATGCACACCGCGTTTTCTCACTGAAAATGGGTACATTTCAAAATATCACTGTCCTGGTCACTAAATTCTACGTGTGAAGTCTGTTCACAAAAGCAAAGTTTGTGGGGAATAATAATAATAATAGCCATTTTCTGTACTTTCGAGGCATAAGCAATTAGGAAATAACACTTACTACACAGAAACACATTTTTTTGTGCACACAATGTTATTATCGAGGTTTCTCCCTCCCCGTTTTCTATGCGTCTGCACATTGTAAGTCGACCCCCCCCATACGCTAGCGTACGCATTTGGGTTACCCCCTCCATGCGTACGTACTAAATGGATGGCCCCTAAGGTCTGAATTGGTCTTTAATAAAGACAGACAACGTTTCGAGCAACGGCTCGTTTCCCCGAAACGTCGCTGTATTTACATTTGAAGCCACTACCATTGACGCACGTGCTGAGGGTTTGTTTGTGTTATTATCCTGTCACCGTTTTCCACGACTTTGCGTTGACGTCACGTCGTTGTTGCGCGTGTGCGCTTTCTGACGTCACGCCGTCCTCGACGTGACGCGCCCGGCGATCACACGGCACGCGCGTGACATCACCACAATTCACCTTCAGACGTGGCTGCGTCACGCCGTGCGACGTGGCTGCGTCACGCGCCTTGCGACGTGGCTGCGTCACGCGCCTTACGCGCTGACGTCACGCCGTCTTCACCGCCCCCACCCCCTGCCCCCCCCCCCGTCGCATGGCGGACAGGTCGCAGTGGACGGTCATGACTGTGGAGCACAGGGAGACGGCGGGGATCCCTTCCAGGGTGAGCGCGGCTTTGCCTCCCCCCCTCACTCCTCGAGCCCCGACGCGGGACCTCTCTCCCCGCGCGGTGCCGACTCGGACGCGCGCGTGCGCGTCTCGTGGGCCGCCGTGGAGTAGACTTTCTGCGGGGTGCCAACGGTGCGGCCTAGTGCACGCAGCCGGCCTGGATGGCGGGGGGGATTCCCGCAGAGGAAACTAGTCGAGGTCGCCTTTACGACGGGCCCCGCGACATCGGATAGCCGTCGCTTGTTGTTGCTGCTGCTGTCGGAAGTTGTTGGTGTTGTACAGCTTTGGGTCGCTTTGCAGGTGTTTGTGTTGACAAACCCTGCGTAGCAGCAGCAACAGAAGCGGCGAAGAGGGGCAATTTGGTTGAAGAGGTGCTGGTGAAGTTTGTGAGGGTGGAGATCACTGACGCGGGGTGGAGGCGAGCGAGCGTGTGCGTGTGTTTACGTGTGCGAGCGTGCATGCGTGTATGAGTTAGGGTGTGTGTGTGTTGTTCCAGTGAGGGTGTAAGTACATTGTATACATTTACGAGCGCGGGTTTAAGTGGCCGAGTACGGTTGTGTGTGTGTACGTGTGAATGAGTGAATGTGTACGTTTGTGTTTTGTAAGTGCGTAGTTGAGTGAGTGTGTTTGGCGTGCGAGTTGGTGTGGTCAGTGGGAGAGTGAGTTGAACAGGCGATTGGGTGAGAGATACGAGTGTGTGAGTATATTGGTCACAGGCGTGTATGATGATGTGGGTTTGTGGATGTATGTGTATCGCAAGTGTGTGGATTTACGGTAATGCGTGTGTGACAATGAGCACGCATTCTGGCGTGTGGGTGGCAAAGAGTGGTTATGTGCAAGTGAGTGGTTGCTGGCGAGTCCGTGAATGTGTACGTTTGTGCGAGTCTTCCTTTGGATGTGTATTCATCTGCAAGTAAATTATTTGTGACTGTTGATATGTGAGAATGGGAGTCCACGAGTATATGTAATGTTCATGTTGTTTGTGTGCATATATTCGAGTGTGGAAACACGTACACTTCCGATGGAAAAAGGCTAACAAAAAAAAACTTCAACACGTTCGTCAATAACACTGCCGTAAAAGTATAAAATAATCGACGGTTTGAGCACTGGCCCTTTAGAGCACATGAAAGGTTCAATAGGTGGAATCCGACTGTAAGGTAAATATCTACATTTGTAGATACTGTACTATATATTGTGAATACGTATCTGAAAAAAATGTGTATACATGTCGATAAACTTGTAGTCGTTTGTGTGGACATCTGTATGTATACTTCATACAGATTCCATACTATATGGATATTTCATATAGATGTCTATTTACGTAATTGTAGTTTCTATATTTATGTAATTGAGGCGTTACCATATGTAAATGCATGTACGTAGATCAATGCTTGGGTTGCATGATACTTCATGATTTGGCCACACGCAGCACCCAGTTTTAATTTGAATCTGAACCTGGTCTGAGCCTCGCTTAGGTAGGCCCAGCCTTCAATGAGAGCCTCTTGTGGTGTGTTTACATCAACAACACTTACACCGCAAAGGTGGTCTGACCCTGCTGAATGCATGCCTGAACAAGTGCTCTTTAAAATTCACTTGTCATGCAGCCTTGCAGCGAGATGAGTTATCCGCATAAATGTGGGTCATGTGCGTGTGTTGTGTATTTAGTGCTTCTGTGTATGCATATCATGAGTGAGTAATGTGTGTAACATGTAGGCTCTTAGGCAAGCACCCCTTGCATCAACATGTCTGGAGTTTGAGGAATAATGCCACGTTCACAAACCTTTTAATGAGCACACGTGAGTCTGCATTTGAACGCGTCACCACCACACGAGTTCGCGATGTCCACACTGGATTGGGCACACAATTTAGCGATTAACTGACGCATTCATCCCGAAAAAATATCTTAACGAAACTTTGCCGAGTACCGTATGAGATCCCGGTTAGAAGGAAATTATGATATAATTCAACTGATTAATTCTTTCGTATCTGGTATTTAAACACAAAAATGGTGAAATATTTCACTGAAATTTAAGATTTGCAAATTGTCAGCTGAAAATCTTAGATTTAGGTAGTTCTTAAAATGTAATCGACAAACGCATGCCTCAATATAGGATGACCCAAAAGGCCTCATTATCCTTCACTGCCCTATCTCGGAGTCTCCAGAATGGTGCAGACGATTGAGTGGTTTACCCCATTGCTAGCCACTGCAGGAGATGTTCAGAGCTAGGCTCAACCAAATTAAGTGTCAAATCAAATTTATAGGATGGTCTCTTTTGTGCAGTCATCAGTGACTGCACTCAGACCATTACACTTACTGCTCACAACAACCTGGCTCCGTCCTGGATGGGAGCCCAAGTATTCAGAGCAGATCTCAGTGTAGCTGGCTTTGTGCCCAGACATGGCCATTATGAGCCATCCTTAAGACAATCAGTGGCCTCTCACATTTGAGTTTGGTTTTACAGTTGGGATTATATGTAGTTTGTAATTGGAAGGTAAGGGAATTCCTTATTTTATGTTTGGATTTTGAGTTGTGCTTGTCTTTATGTTGTTGGTTGTCTGATTTAATCTGCTTTCTCCTCACTCACCCTGTCTCGCTCTCAATCCCATTCTCCCGCTATCAGTCTCCACTTCGTATCTATTTCTCTACCACTATCGTTCCCTGTGTCTCCCTCGCCATCCCAATTCTTGTTTCACCCAATAGCCCATTCCCTGTCCTCCCCTGTTTCTCTGTCTTTCCATCTCTCTCTCCACTCCTATGTCGTGCTTCCCTTCTCTCCTTAGTATCCCAATCTTTACCTTGCACCCTCTGTCTCCTTCACCACTTGTTTTCTGTCCTCTCTCTGAGCTACACGTGTGGCCCTGATGAGTGACGTGCGGGTGTGCGGGGTCACTTACAGCCCCGCACTATTATTAGCACTGTGACAAGTGTGCATGAGTTTGGAATGTGTGTGTGAGTGTCCGTTTGCATGTGTGTGTATGTATGTGCGTGAATAAGCATGTGTGTGTGTATATATCTGTGTGATTGTGTGTGAGTGTGCAGATTGTGTGACTGAGTATCTTTACACACGTGATGGTACATGCTTGTCCAACTGATATGTATGTGTGTTGTGGGGGAGCGGTGGCACAGTGGGTTAGCGTGCTGAGCCACCAACCCAGCGACATGCGTTCTATCCCCTTTCATGGCCAACATCAGTGCTGAATATTTGAACTGATCCTGGGCCTCCCCTAGGTCGACTCAGCCGTAAATGAGTACCTGGTGCAGTGTAAAAACATCAACACTTGGGGAAACAGAGACGGCCAGGCGTAGTGTTGGCCACTCGCCCCCTCGTGTGCTGTGTTGGCCTTGATAGGTGCTCCCTAACAGCACTTGCCCCACAATTCTGTTGAAGGCTGTAGGGGAGACCTTTGTCTGTTTGCTGTGTGAGTATGCATGTGGTTATATGTGTGTTAGACTACAGATTGTGTGTGTAGAGTCTACGAGCGATATAGATACGTGACTGCACATGCTTATCCAATATGTGTGTGTTTGGTCATTAAGTGAGAGCGATTCTGAGTTTATGAGTCTGTGCGTGTGGCGAGTGGCTTTGTAGTGGTTGGCACTCTAAGCTATAATCTCAGAGACCTGGGTTCAATACCTGACAATAAACAACATGAGTGGAAAGTGGCATATGAATGAAGCTGTCCTGGACCTCTCCTGAATCAATTCAGCATTCAGTGAGTATGTAGTGTGGTCAGTGAACATCTTTACTGAGGATACATAAGAGGCAGTGTGCGTTTGTTGGCCGCAAACACCGCCCTGTATAATTGCTTGTATCTTTTGCCCCCAGAGTTAATAAATGTTAATGGAGAATCCCGATGTTAAATGTACACAAGTGTTAATTCGTGTATGTCGTGTGTGGGTTGGAGTGAATGCAGGAGTTGAGTGTATATAATGAATGTGGGTGTTTTTGAGTGTGTGTCTCCCGTGATAACGGTGCTATATTTATACAGCGATCACAGAAGCAGCAGGATGTCTCAGCTGCTTCGTAATTGCCGGGTTAGAGCCCTGGGTCCGCGCTGCTGATGCCCTGAGTTCGATTCCTGGACTCTTGCCTGGTAATAAGAATAACCCAGCTCTCGTGTGGACTGTGTTTGGTGGTCTCAGTCCGGTCGCTAGGCGTTTTAATGATTCACCTGTCCCGCAGTTTGATGAATTGACGCAATTCATGGAATTCAGGGTCATCATTCAATTTGACGATCAATTCTCTTTTTTAACACCGCGCTAAGTGTAGCAGCGTCTAGCGACTGCGGGGGGTCACTTGAACCCATTACGTTCAACATTTATACGAATCAAGAACATTGATTCTTACACACGGGATTCGATGCAAGCATCGTGAACTTTTAAAGTCGATTTTATAAATCGACGAATAACCCCTACCAATCACGCATGGCTGGCCTACAATTGTACACTTTAAACATTTTACCCATTCATACAATTGAGTTCATCCCAGAGGGGCTTCATTTGATAACCTCTCTCTCATTTGAGTGCTTGCATGGAGCACAGCCACCTGGTGGCTGTGTAGGATAGGCCCACGAACGATTATTTGCAAGGACCTGGGGTGCCTCCCTTACCCAGGCCTCTGAGCTAAAACCAATCTTGTTCTTTTCATGAAGAGAGCCTCTGCAAAAATTAGTAATGGTATTTAAAAGTTAACAAACTTTTTATACATATATACACAGTACACAATAACTTTATACAGCCCTGATGGAGAATGTGGGATGGTGGAGAGGAAAGGGGATGAAGAGGTAGGGCAAGGATAGAGACGAGCAGAGAGTAAGAGACCAGGGGAGATGGGTAGAGAGCATTTATTTGAATGTGGATTTTTGTTGCGCTTGATTGTAATAGTCTCTAACATTTTGGCTTTTTTTTGCTGCAAGGAGCTATTACTACCGTCACCGTCATGTATATGCTATATAGAGTCTGCAGCTCAGGGCCGCCTAGCTATAAATACATCCTCTATGAAGAACCAAAGGCAGCTAATGACGCCTAAATATGTCCAGTGACATTAGAGGGCTTCTCCTGATATATTTTATCATATTTCTATCTTAAACAAAATCCTCTCTTACACAAGCACTTATAGACATTTTGTGAATGTGATTTGCTCCCACTGGCAGCTTAAAAATGAAAACCCTGTTTAAAATATCCACATGAACTTTTTAAGTTGTGAACAATTGCGTCTGCTAATAATATGTAATTTTACACTGCTGACAAGCATGGCGGTGTGTGCCTGTACTTACTGGAACACAACCGCTTCAGTAATAATTATAGTTTAAAAACAAAGAAACCTTCACTGGAAACATATTTCAGATCCGTTGGTTGGGGTACTTGGTGGCTCGTAGGATATCGCGCTAAACCGGCATCACTAACAGCCTAGGTTCTAATTCAGGTTTTAAACGCTCATGGTGTAACACACAGTTCTCAAGTTTAGCAAGTTGGTTTAAATCCGGCCACCAATGGCCGCACAAAAATGATACTCGCGATTTTTTTATTATTATACGTGAAATTTGATCACTAGGAGCAGCTAGTAATCGAACCAGCGCACTCAAAATATGTAAAATGTATAATTTCCAGCGCAGTTAATCTGCAATCCGGATAATCCGCTCATGGTTAATAGAGAGGTAACTGTGATTCTGTGAAGATCTCTTGCGGTTCTCTGAAGATATCTTGTGCAGCCATTCTTGGGCACATGGTATTGCACTACCGTGAGGTTTCCAAATGGTTTCTGTGTCTCGTGACATAACGCCGAGAGCGCGCTGGGAATAACATCGTGAAAAAATACAACAAAAATATGAGAACTGGCAGTTACCATGAGTTGCCTAAGCTGAGTATTAATCCTAAGCTTCAGTGGGAACACCCAGACTGAAATGACCACATTGAGGCACTCTATCGATATTTGTATGGGTTTTAGGAGAGATGCGTTCTACGCCGGCTTGAACAGCTGTCCTGTTAAGTTTCCTTTTGGTGTTTGGTTTCCATTTCTGAGTGAGTTGAGGGTCGCCCGTGAATTAATAGCTCCCGCCTGTTTCTTTCGTCCCATCTCACTCTGCTCCCCTCCCCGTGCCCTCTGCTCCAGCCACGAAGGCCCCAGTCAACATGTGCTCAATGGAGCGATCGCTTCTTCTCCTCTGCCAGCCCCACTGTCTGGAGCTCCCCACCCCCCTGTGTCTCTGTCCTTCCCGGTGTCTTTAGGCCCACCAACGTGGTACTGTACTTTAATAACAGACAATCGTCTCTCTTTGTGCCGTAAAATATTTACGTCTTTCAACCACAAGACCTTCCCAACGAATGTGTTCTGGCAGTATTTGCGAAGTAAAATAAGCACCAGACTAGTTGAAATTGTCAGCCTTATCACCAAGCTGTGGGTCTATTATTCTATACTATACGTCGCCTAATTATTTTCTGATCACTCCGTACTATCCCATTGCTCGCATCATGATGAGAAAGTTATTTAATCTGTGGTTATCTGCCAAATAGGCTTTCAAGTGCTGGGCCTGACCAAATTTCTGTACAGTCAATGGTGACCAGGCTGAGAGCAGTAAACCCACTGCTCATGAGAACCTGATTTAGTCTCAACACAAGATTGAATCCATTGTTTTGAATTATTATTAGTAGTATTGTTTTTCCCAGGAAAGCCACACTGAGTCTCATGGCCTTTTCAGGAGGGTCCTGCCAAGTGTTCACAGTCAGGATCAATGGTTACTAGGTCTAATTAAAATTGAGAAATGTGCAGCTAATCATTTCAAATTCGGACCATGACGCCACCACACAATAGGCCCACTCTTGCAAATGACGTCACAGGAACTTTTTAACGTCCACTTTGAAGCGGACGGCACGTATTGTTCCGGTCAATTGCACCTGCAGTGTTAATTAGGGCGGCTGCAGGATTGGAACCATGGACCTCTGCAACAAGTGGAGAAAGCGCTACTGCTGGGCCTTGCCACCGCCCGTAACACGTGTGGTGTGGTGTGCTGTACTGTGGTGTGGTGTGCTGTACTGTGGTTGGTGTGCTGTACTGTGGTTGGTGTGCGTTTTACGTGGCGAGCGTGGAGACCGGTTGCGTAGCGGTTCACGCGTTGTGCTACGAACCGCGAGGGCCGAGTGGTCAATAAAGGTGGCGAATATACGAAGCGGTTCTGGGCCTTCCCTAGGTCGACTCGACCTTAAATGAGGATCTGATGCGGTGTGCAAAACGTCATCACCGGGGAAGCGAAGGCGGGCGGGCGGGCGTGGTACTGGCCACCCCCACCCCCCTTTGTGCCATACCAGCCTTAATAGGTTCTCGCGAATAGCACTTCTCACAAAAGTCTGTTATAGCTATACCGGGGATCTTTTGTCTTTGTGACGTGGCGTGTGTGTGATTTGTATTGCAGAATAATCAGATCATCCTGAATCAACTGAGAGAGATCACGGGCAACAGTGATGTCATCGCTTTACAGCAAGCGCTGCAGGTGATCCATCGCCGACATCAATAGCATTACCATCACCTCTTCCTCCTACCTCCCTCCCACAACATCGCCAGCAACAGCACCAACATCGTTCCCCCGCACCTCCAATTAGCGTGTTTGGCGGCATATGGTGCGAAAGAAGTTCTACATACATGTAGCATCGCCATCACCTCTTCATCCTACCGCCCACACCATCATCAACAACAGTACCCTAATTGTCTCTTTTTAACAACACACAATGAAGCAAAACGGTCTTCATTCCATTGTATCACTTAAATCAGTGTTGAATGAACGTCGGCACGAAGGAGACAAATGTGGCTGGGCGTGGTGTTGCCTGTGTGCTGGCCTTTATAAGTGTACGCAAACAGCACTCGCCCCTACACGCCACTCATATGTGGCTAAATCTTTGCTTTGTGTACTTTCTTTTAATTGTAAGCATGTGTGATTCTGTGCGTGTGGGCACGTGTATGTGCGTGCATGTGTGTTTGTACAGGCGTGTATGTGTGTTTGTGTACGGGCGTGCTTGTACACGTGTGTGTATGTGTGCTCTCGTGTATGTCTGCATGTGTGTGTACTGGCCTTCATGGGGGGCTCGCTAACCGTACTTGCTCCAATAGTCTGTGAAGGCTATGTGGGCGGATCTTTTTTATGTTCATGTGTACTGTACGTGTGTGTACGTGTTCAGGCCGCGCAGGGGGATGTGTCCCAGGCCGTCGCGTTGCTCACGGAGACGCCCAATCAAAACGCGGGCTGCGCACTCTCATCCAGCCAATCGCATCGCTCGCTCCCCAACCAATCACAGAACAGCAGTGAGTATGGCATTTCATCTGGTTAGGTGTGTTTACAGGCGTGACTGCACACTCGTATAATGCATTGTTTCAAAGCAAAGGCTGGTGAGTCGTGCATATTGATGAAACGCCCAAACCGGCGGTGCTGTGAGATGGGCAGGAGATGGCAGTACAGGAAGTGGGTTTCTGATCCCGCCTGTGTGGACATTTGAGTGTTTTCCTCCCACATGCTTGGGTTTGAATGCTCCAATTTCCCATCATAGCCAAAACACTTCTTCATGTAGAATGAGCCAAACAGCACAATACAAGTATCCTTTAGACAAACATTGCATGAATGTTATGATAATGTGTGCCATTGCAATTTCTGTTAATGGTGCAGGATTCTATGGCTTTTTACCAATGTGTTCTTGATTTGGAACAGATGCAATGGGAGGCTGCTCACGTGCCCAGATTAGGCCTAGAGTTGCTTTCCATGATGCATGTGCCGTAAGCTGTCTGTAAGTGTGCATCTGAGCCTTGAGTAGCTGAGAATGATTGTAGTTCATCGTCTTCCGGGTTATGTGTCAACAACCCTCCCCTATGTTGTGTCAGCCTTGAATGAGTACCTGGTGAGATGTGCAAGCATCACCACTGGGGAGACAAAGGCGACTGGTTGTGATGCTAGGCACACCACCCCGTCGTGTGCTGTGCCGGCCTTCATAGGTGCTCGCCGATAGCACTTGCCCCAAAAGTCTATTAAGGCTAGAGAGGGGATCACTGTCTCATCTATAGAAGTGTGCGCGTGTGTGTATAAGTGTAGACGTGTGTGCGTGTGCGGGCGAGCAAGCAGGCGTGATTGACCTCACGGGCGACGACAAGGATGACCTGCAGCGCGCCATCGCCCTGAGCCTGCAGGAGACGAGCGAGCGCGCCGTCAGGGCCGACCTCACCACCGAGGAGCAGGACATCAGCCGGTGCGGCACCTTTCACCACATTCATCCTGCCTTGGGGGCATTTTGAATTTACACCGCCGGCTTGAGGAGGAAAAAACAAACCAATGGCAACGAGCACCGTGCCACCATATTTTGCAGGGGGAGAGACGCTGGCGCCATTTTAACAGCAGTGGCAAAATACGGCCTCCTGTGGGCCACGAGCCGCGCGGCTGATCCTCCAACCCGGACGTAACAACGCGTGCTTCCGTTCCGCGCCCTCGCGTGCTCCATTGATCCCACGAGCACCGTGTGCAGCGCTTGCACAGGCAAGCGTGCACTTGTTGAACTTCGAACTTGAACTTCCTGCGCACCGTACGCAGCCACGCGCGTGCTAACGGGAGGCGAAACGGGACCTACGCGTCCTGGGTGCCGCGAACTGATTTCTTCCGGTCCATGACAACATGGACGATGGGAACGTCCTGGGCGCTCGGATGACACCTCCCACAATTGTACCCGACTTCGCGGTGATGGTGGAGATCGTTGCGGCACCGTGACCCGTTGACCAATGGTGGCGCCGTTGCGGCGGCGGCGGCGGTGGGCGCAGGGTGCTGGAGGAGAGCCTGGCGGAGGCATCGGGCCCCGGAGGAGTGAAGCGCAAGCGCGACTCCCCGTGCGCTTGCTCGTGCCCGCGAGAGGGCGATGGTGCCAGCGGCGGCGGCGCGGCGGAGGGGGAGGTGGCCGTGTCGGCCGTGCGGGCGCCGGGGGCCCCCGTTGGGCTCAAGAACGTGGGCAACACCTGCTGGTTCAGCGCCGTCGTGCAGGTGAGCTCGTGCACGCCGTGTGTTCACGTGCAGAGCCGTGGTGCAGCGGTTAGTACTGCACCGCGTTACGAACCGGTATCGCGAGCTAGAATTCCGCTCGCAATTAATAACAGCTGCAAATATATGAAGCGGTCCTCGGCCTTCCCGAGCTTGACGCGACATTAAACGAGGACCTGATGCGGTGTGTGAAACATTATCAGCAGAGGCGGACCAGGCATGCTGTTGGCCACCCACCCCCTCATGTGCCGTTACCGGCTTTTGTAGGCTAACAGCTCTTGCCCCAACAGTTTGTTAAAGGCTACGTGAGGGATCTTTGTTATTTGTGTTCATGTGCTGTGCCATGACAAATAGTAAAGTTGTAACGCTGCCGCGGCGTAGCGGTTGGCACACTGAACCCGCGACGCTGATGTCCCCGTGTCCCCCAGTCTCTGTTCCACCTGCCTGGGTTCCGCCGCCTCATCCTCGGATTCACCCTCCCAGACTCTCGGCTCCAGAACCCGCAGTCGGAAAATGCAAGTCTCACGCTCGCACACACGCACGCACACATTCGCTGCAAACGGGTGCCAGGGTGACACAGCGGTAAGGCTCCCCTCACGGATAAACGAACTTGGGTTCGATTCCTGACTGCGGTGCCTTTTTTTGTGGAGTTTACATTGTGTCGTCCTCCCCCCCCCCGTCCTGCATGGGTTTTATCCAGGTTCCCCATTTCCCTCCCGATGCACAAATCAAACCGTACAAACTAACTTGTTGTTGGCCAAACATCCCAATGCTGAAAATCTGCCTGCAGATTCCTCAATTGGGATTACACACAGCGGCACCATCACCCCCTTAACAAGCGTCATAATAATTTACTCTCATGTGCACTGAGTGCATACCCGCGTACACACTCGCACATTCGCTTATTCACTCGCTTACACAATAGCTGAGACACTCTTTGCATGCATGCATACATACTTGCACTTCTACACTCCCATTTACACACTGATAAAGAACCCCCCACTTGGACAACGCATGTCTCCGCACTCGATTACGCAATCACTAACACACTCACTGATTGGCAGATGTACCACCTGTGCTCTCCACTGTCACATACACTCAGACACTTAAATACATAAACAATAATTATTTTTGTCATATCCTGCGATAGGTGTGTATCTCCGCTTGTTCCCACGTGTACCCCCACCACCACCACGTGTCTCTTTGCTTGTCCCCGTGTCTCTCAGCATATACCCAACAGAAGCACCTGGGGCTGTGTCCTTGTGTCCCCAAGTGTACTCAGGTGTCCCCCGCGTGTCCCCCCCGGCATGTTCCTCACAGGAGCGCGTGGGGCTGTGCTTCATGCGGGAGCTGCGCGTGCTCTTCGCCCTCATGGTCGGCTCCGTGCGTGGCTTCGTCGACCCCTCCCCCGCCGTCCACATCCTCAAGGGGGCCTTCCGGGGAGCGGACACCCAGCAGGTGCACCCCCGGGAATAGTCGAGGGGACCCGAGTCCGAGATTCAGATCCAGGAGACGTGGTCTCAAGGCTAATGTCTGAGACACGGATCCAGGAGACTGGGACTCCTTGTCTTTCCAAATCTCCATGAGTCCCTTTTTCTCTCTTTTGCCGCCCATTATTCCTGCGTCTTCTTATCTCTGTGTCCCAAGTCCAATTATTATGTTTTCTCTGTGCCCTTAAGTGTCCCCGTGTTTGCGTGTGCCCTTTTTTCTTGTCATCAGGATGTCAGCGAGTTCACCCACAAGCTACTCGATTGGCTTGAGGATGCCTTTAGGATCTCGGCTGAAGAAAGCAGGTACAGAGGGCACACGTGAGGACACATGCACACACAAGGTTGCACGCAGCCGAGTACACACACACAAAGCTGTCAACTTAACTACAACAACCGCCGTTTGCCACTAAGTGACGGTTACGTCACCATGGCCCTTGTGCACTTTGAGGCCACGTCAAGTGTCGAAAATGCTCACTGCTGGCAGGAGGTCATGGGACATACCCAGGTGCCATGGGTTGACTGACTGACATGTATACACATACCAGTAGACAAATAAACATACACACACACCACGATTGTATAATTGCGTAAAATTATTTAAGCACCCAGCGGGCACGCGCGCGCGAGGATACGTTCAAGTGGTGCTCCACGCACACAGATGGTTGCGCGCACGTGGGAACACGCGCAGAGGCTGTGCTGCTGCCGTGAGTGACGCTGTGGCTCTGTGTGGTGCCCGGCTGCTGTAGGGACGACTCTCTGAAGACCGTCAACCCCATGGTCGACCTCTTCTACGGCCGAGCGCGCTCCATCGGCACCAATCAGGGTCCGGCACCCTCCCCCGGCCCAAACCCAACTTCTACCCCGCACCTCTACCTAATCTTAACCCAGAACACAGCCCTTATCCACTAACCAGACACCTATTGTTAACCTTACCACCACTAACCCTCAACCCTAACCTACCAATAACCCAACACCCATTCCGATCCTTCCTGCTTTGCCTCTCACGCTACAGCTCATCGTCAGTCAGGATATCCTCATGATATCCTTGTAACTTTAGCACGAACCCGACCTCCAACCCGACATCTATTCTTACTTTACCATTGCCCTAACCCCCGATCCTACCCTTATAGTTTCACCTGCGTGTTTTCTTGTGCGACCGTGTCCATTCCTGCATGTGTGCACTTTCCTGTGTGTACGTGTGTGGCTATACCTGTCTGTGTGCCCATGCCTGTTTGTGCGTGTGTGAGTGTGGATTTGTATGTATGTTTGGGAGCGGTAGTGTAGCGGTTAGTGCACCGCGCTACGAACCCGGCGAACCGAGTTGGATTCCCGCTCACGCCCAACACCAGCGACAATTATTTGAACCGGTCCTGGTCCTCCCCTAGGTCGAACTCAGCCTCAAATGAGTACCTGGTTGCTGGGAGACAAAGGTGGGCAGGCGTGGTGCTGACCACCCACCCCCTTGTGTGCCGTGCTGGCCTTCATAGGTGCTCCCGAACAGCAAATGCTCCAAAACTGTTAAAGGTTATATATATATTTATATGGGAGGGAGGATCTTTATCCTTGTGTGTGTGTGTTTAGGGAAGCGCTTCGCGGTGCTCGAGGGCTTCGGACCACTGCCCGTGCGTGTGTCGGGGTTCCACGACCTCCACGAGTGCCTGGAGCACGCCACCATGGCTGGCGACATCGAGCAGCAGCAGCAGCAGCCGCCTGCGTGCGCCTCCTCTGGGCAAGAGGTACTGGCATCGCGTCTGTTGGTTCCCGTGTGACGATGGCGCCGTGTGATGGTACCCACGTGGTGGTAAGCGTGTGATGGTGTTTGGTGGTCTCCATGCGTCGGTGGTACTCCGTGCGTCCATGGTCTCTGTGCGACCGTGATCTCCGTGTGACTGTGATCTCTGCGTGTGTAGCTGTGGTTCTCGGAGCTGCCCCCTGTGCTCACACTCGAGTTGTCTCGATTTCGCTTCAACACGGAGGTTGGACGCCCGGAGAAAATCCACTCCCGACTCGAGTTCCCCGACACCATCTACATGGATCGGTACCAACACACGAAGCACAGACACGCGAGCTCCGACTCAGAGCACTGAGCGTAACACACAGCGCATTGCTCGGCCATATAGTTGCACAATAAGTACTGACTCACACCAAGTTCTGACACACACCAGCCAACACACACCCCTAACGCAGCCATCAACACGCACCCTTACCCGTAGTCTCTCACACACATTACAAAGGTTACGCAGCGTAGCACACTAACCACTGCACTACCGCTCTCCGCTGACAAACGCACACACACACACACCCTACCGCAGGCTCACCAACAAGCAGCCTAACAGCTATCACCACACACCCTAACATACATCTTAACACATACTCTTACTCACCAACAACAGACAACGACCAATACACATCAACACGTGCGCGCACTTATCCATGTCTATAAACACCCCAATGCCCACCTACCCACATCTACACTGGGTGTCACCGATGCCTCATCACACACCACTTTGTCAATCACAGTGGTGTTGATACTGATGGTAACCGTTGCGGTGAAGGTGATGTTGGATGGTGTAGGATGTCGACAATGGGGGCCGTGATGGTGTTGATGGTGACTGTGCGTTGGTGTTGATGATGTCCCATTTGTTGACAATTGGGGCGTGGTGATGTTGATGATGATGATGTTGGGCATGGTTATAATGGGAGATGGTGCTGGTGTTGATAATGTAGGACAAGGTGTGACGATGGTCGTGATGGTGGCGATGTTGATAATGTAGGGTATGGTGACGATGGTAGTGATGGTGATGATGATGTAGGTACATGGAGAGTAACAAGGAGGTGACAAGGATCAAGAGGGATGAGATCCGGCGCTTGAGCGAGCAGCAGAGCCACCTCCAGCAAACCCTAGCACGGTAACAGCCTCACCCCCCACTTCTCATTTAGCATTTATTGGCTGATTACTTTTCCTCTTCTGCTGGCCCACGCTGCCCTGCTGTGTGGCACCACAGCTTCATGGCTGCGTGCCAATAGCGAGCCAAACACAGGTGTTTTGTAATGGTCATATATGCACACACACACTCCCAGTGACTTGATGTGCATTCTTGTCTCATTATCGTAATGTGTCTCTCTCACATTCCCTTGTTTTTGTTCGTCTTTGTCCCCCTGTGTCTCTGTATGTGTCCCTGTGTTTCCGTGGGTGTCCAGATATCAGAGCTATGGGTCCGGTCCTCAGAGGTACCCGTTGGTTGATATTCTCTCCTGCGCCCTGCAGTTTGCATCCACACCTCCTGCTACTGTCTTGCTCCCTCCTACATCCTTAGTCAATCACAAGGGTCCATCGTCCGCTGCTAAGCCACCTTGCACGCTCTCGACCAATCATGTCACTACATCTCCCACCGTCTCGTCCTCTCAAGTAGTCTCGACCAATAACATAGCTCTGTTTCCCATTGTCGAGTCCACTCCAATACCATCAACCAATCACGTTGTTTCATCTTCCGCAGCCTCGCCTATCCCTGTACTTACAACTAATCACAGTGATCTGTCTTCCACTGTGCCGCCCACTCCTATGCAGTCAACCAATCGCGTTGTTTTATCTCCTACCTCCTTACCTATACCTGTACCTTTAACCAATCACGTTGCGCCATCTTGTGCGACCACTTCCACCCCCACGACATCAATTAATCACACAGCTCCATCTCCTGCGGTCTTGCCCATTCACATAGCCTCGACCAATCACGTTGCTCCGCCCACTGTTGTGAAGTCACCGGCTGACCGGGCCTTGTTAGTGGATGACACCGGCCCCGTGTTGATTAATGGGGTCGCCGAACTGGGAGTGGCTCTACCCCCTTCTGATGAGTCATCTAAACAGCCGAAGGCAGAGGCGCTGGATATCAACGGCGATTTATCCGAGAGCGAGAGGTGATGTCGCTCACACGTCCACACATTTACACACACACGCACACACGCCCACTAGTGCATCAACGGCCACTGCATGATGGTGATGATGGAGATACCGATTTGTGGTGATGGTCATGTCGATGATGTTGGTATTGGTGATGGTAGTGAGTGTAATGGTGTTGGTTATTGTAATGAGGATGATGTCGATAATGGTGGGGATGTTGATGGAGATGCTGATGGTGCTTGATAATGTAATGACGCTGGTGATGATGACGTTGATGGTGATGATGAGCACAGCGGCGATGCTGAAGGAGATGCTGACGGTGCTGGGTGATGCTGGTCGTTTCAGCACAGCTGCTCCGGGCTGCGTTGTCGCTGATGGTGAAGTTCACCAACTGCGGCAACAGCCGCAGCCACCTTCTGCAGCAGCCGCTGTGGCTTGCTCAGCACCCGAACCGCACCACACGCAAGAACGCCACGGCGCTCGGGCGCGACAGGAGGTCCCGGCGCAGCAGAAGTCTGGCGAGCAAAATCGGACCGGCGATCCACCACCACCCGGGACCGAACAACGGACAGCCGATTCGCAGCAGGCCAGTGTGCTGCAGCAAGGCAGCCTGCAGCAGGAGGCAATGCAGGTGGACACACTGCAGGAGAACGTGCAGCAGGGGGAAGAGGAGGGGAGCCAGCAAAAAGACATCACGCAGCAGCAGCAGGAGTTGGCACAGGGGGAGAGTAACCAGCAGACGGAGACGCAGCAGCGTTTCGACCTGCAGTCGGAGGCAAACCAAGTGAGCTTGCTGCAGGACATGCAGCAGCAGCAGCACCGAGGAAACGTGCAGCAGGAGCATGTGCAACAGGGTAACCCACAGCAAGGAAACTTTCAGCAGGAGAACTCGGAGCAGTGTAAGGAGCAGCAGGAAGGCTCGACGCAGCAGTGTGACGTACAGCGGGTGCAGGCGGTCGAGGCGCGGCAGGAGGGGGGGCGCCTGGAGTGGCACGGTTGCCCGGCGCCACAGGCGGTGACGGCGCTGGAGCTGGAGCTGGTGAGGGCCGTGCTGAGCCGCTGGAACAGCCAGGTGCAGAGGGAGCTGCAGGGTGAGGGCGCATGCACGCACCCACCCACCCACACACTCACCCACACACTCACCTACCCACCCACGCGCCTACCCATTCACGCACCTACCCACTCACGCACCTACCCACCCACGCACACACATACCCACGCACACACCTACCCACGCACACACCTACCCACGCACTCACACACACACCCACGCAACTACCCACTTACCCATGCATCCACGCACGCACCCACCCACGTGCCCACCCACGGGCCCAACCACGCACCCACCCACGTGCCCACCGACGCACGCTCCCACCCACGCACCTACCCACCCACGCACCCACCCACCCACGCACCCAACCACGCACCCACCCACGTGCCCACCCACGCACGCTCCCACCCACGCACCTACCCACCCACGCACCCACCCACGCACCCACCCACGTGCCCACCCACGCACCTACCCACCCGCGCACCCACCCACCCACGCACCCACCCACGTGCCCACCCACGGGCCCACCCACGCGCCCACCCACGCACGCTCCCACCCACGCACCTACCCACCCACGCACCCACCCACCCACGCATCCACCCACCCACGCATGCATGCACCCACACACGCACCCTTGCAAGCACGTGCACTTAACAACCCATTTAAATCACAAGACAGCTGCCCGGATTCAAACCCAGGCACGCAGCGATACTGGCTCAGCGCTTTGAGCCCCTGAGCCGCCTGGCCACCACTATGCCGAGGCTGTTAAATGCAGATGTGCACTTGGAACGCCGCTCCGCACGCGGCCTACATGGGAGAGCGTGCATACACAGACGTGGGGCGCACGCCGAGTGACGTCTTTACTCCCCTTCTTCTTGGCTCACTTGTGCTCGCTCCATCTTCCTAAATCCCCTTGCTTCCTCACCCTGGCTATGTATTTGTCCCAGCCCACCTCCCCTCTCTCCTCCCCCCAGCCATCTCCATGTCTCGCTCTTCCTTCTTGACTCCTACTCTTGCCTCTCTGTGTTAACCCCTTTCCCGTTCCGAGGCGTCTGCAAGTGGCAGGGTGGGTTCCGTTGACGTTATTTTTATTTTAAGAGGCGTAGCTCCGTTGTTTGAAAAGACATTGCCCTCACCGCAGAGAACTGTAGCGACACGATCGCACTCTATGATAGCTGTGCCACACGTTTTCCCGCATGGCCTTGTGGGAGTCTCGGTACCGATTGAGATATTTTATTTTGAGATTTTCTTCCGGTTTCGTTTTGATTATGTACACACGCACGTCATCGGAAAGGGAAAGGGTTACTTACTCTCGTTTCATTTTGTTGTCGCACTCACATTCCACTCTGTTCCTTTGTGTCTTTTTTCCTATCTGGTTCCGTCACCCACTCTCTCCTTCGTCCCTGTGTTCCCCGTCTGCGTCCGTCTCCCCCGCTTTGTCTCTATGTCCCTGTCTATGTATTTTTCACCAGATCTTCAGGACAGCATCTGTCGAATCAAAAGAACCATCGACTTAATGTACACGGACAAGACCTTTAGACAGGTACACACACACAATAACATGCACATGAACTCGAGCGTCAATTTATTTTGTTTAACCAGGAGAACCCAAGGCCACCAGGATGGTCTCTCATTTGCAGGAAGGACGTAGGTCACAAAATTATAAGAAGCAATCGGAAACAAAACCACTGCCGCGTGAGGATTCAGAAACAGTTCGCAAACACAAATCGACGTTAAATCAAAGCCAAGCGTTAAATTCCTTGCAGCGCAAATGTGATTGGTTAGATCACCTCCAGATTGATCACAGCACAAATTACGAAACTAAACATGAAGCCGACATCGGGTGACTATAGCACTGATATATAAACAAAGACGGATGTATGGCGACAGCCATTTTATTCTTGCTGTTTGCATGTGTGTGTGTGCGCGCGTGCAGTGGGGAAGAGTGGCTGTACGTTGTTTTGCTGGCCACCCACCCCATCGTGTGCCGTGTCGGCCTTCATAGCTGCTCGCTAACAGCACTCTCCCCGACAATCTGTTAAGGCTATACGGGGGATCGTTGTCTTTTGTACCTGTGTGTGCGCGCGTGTGTTGTGGCACCGCGCCCAACCCGTGTGCAGCTCCCGTACCGGCTGCACGCCGTGCTGGTGCACGACGGGCAGGCCATGGCGGGACACTACTGGGCGTACGTCCGCGAGCACGCGCGTCTGCCCGCCGCCGCCGCCGCCAGCAGCAGCAGCAGCAGCAGTGGCAACAGCGCAAGCTCCAACAGCAACAGCGTTGGTGCGAGTGACGAGAGCTCGGGCTCCGACTCCTGCTGGCGCAAGTTTAACGACGTGCGCGTGAGCCGCGCCTCATGGGCCGAGCTGGTGCGCGACTCGTACGGAGGGGGCGCGCGCAGCGCCAGCGCGTACTGCCTCGTGTACGTGAACGCCCGCGCGCACGACTTCACTTCCGGTACGTGACCACACACAAAGAACCCCCATGTAACTCTCACCGAACTGTTGGAGCATAGTGCTGATAGCGACGTATGAAGGTCGGCGCTTCGCATGAAGGGGTGGGTGCCCAGCACCCACGCCCAGTCTCCTTTGTTTCCCAAGTGACGACTTTGACATGAGTAGACACAGGGGAGGCCCCAGGGCCGCTTCAGATATTGGTCACCGATGGAGCGGGAATCGAATTCGATCCATCCGGTTCGTAGCCCAGCAAGTTAACCACGACACCACTGCTCCCCACAAATGCACACACGCGCGCACAAAGCCTGAACAGACTGTTGGGGCGAGTACTGTTAGCGAGCACCTACGAAGGCCGGCACGCTCAAACAGACGAGCACACGCACGTAATGATAACTCGACGCGCTCGCGCGAGGCCCTGTCATATGTGCGTTTTTTAATATATGCGTTTGCTTGCGTGCGTAGAGCTGGCGGGCGAGGCCGTGGGCGACCTCTCCTCCCTGTCGCCCGCCCTGCGCGACCTTGTCGCCAAAGACAACCACCGCTTCCTGTCGGAGATGGCGATGCGGGGCAACGGGCCGGAGCGGCCCGCAGAGCCTGACGCGGACGCGCGGGAGCCCGGGCAGCGCGCGGAGCCGCGCGAGCACGAGCAGGAGGAGCGCCGGCACGAGCACGGCGGCGAGCAAGCGCCCGCGCGGGCGGCCCCTCCGGCGGCGGCGGCGGCGGCGGCGGCGTCACGCGAGGGCGAGGGGTCGGGCGCCGCGCGCGAGCAGGAGCGGGCGGACAAGCACTCGCAGACGAACTCGCTCGAGCAGGAAGCGGAGCCGACGCGCGAGCGCGTGGATGGACGCGCTCGCGCGGGCGAGCGAGAGGAGACGCGCGTGCACGAGGGGCGCGCGCCGGACGTCGCCTCGATCAGTGAGTTACGCGCACATGCGCGAGAGTAAACGTGCGTGCGGTTGGGCGTGGCGGGCTGACCTCCATTGGTGCTGCTCGCTAGCAACACTTGCCTTGACAGTCTGTTAAGGCAATATGGGGGGGGATCTTTGTTTTTCTGTGTGCGTGGGAAGCACGCGTGTTGTTGTGGTTTGCGCCACTCTGCGCCGGACCCGGCGACCTGAGTTTAATTCCCGCTCACGGCCAATAACGATGGGGAGAATATTTTAAACAGTCTTGGGCCCTCCCCTCGGTTGACACCGAAGCTGAGTGGTGTGTACATGGGCTACGTGCTGAGTGACCATGTGCCGACAGGGACAGCTGCCACTGGGGGTGCCCTTACAAATGTTTGAGCTATCCCAGTGTACAGGAGGGCGCTCTATCAAAAACAGATTATAACCATTATTCTTTATTGCTCTCAACAAGGGCTATTGCCCCAACACTATACCTGTCACAGTATAATTTTTTTTCGTTCTGGGAGGCGAGACCCAGAGGCAAGGCAGTGAGGCGGACGGATCTGCGTCTCTTCCTGGTCGTGAAGGGACTTCAGCCCCGTCACCCTCACCTTCAGGCACGGAGGAGTACATGAAAGTAGGCCCGGACACGCCCACGGAAAAGGCAAGTGTTTGTCATCAGCGTCGTCATCCCTGGGATTATCATCATCATCATCGTCGTCGTTATTATCATCCAAGTGATTATAGTCCACTATATCATCATCACGATATTTCGTCATTTATTTCCACTTTCCGCTATCTTGTGCCAATATGCTCAAGTAGTGCATATCTCTCCGACATCAGTCTCTTATGTCGTTATCAGGCCATTCTCTGTTAGGCCTTCCTCTCTTTCCTGTTCCTTCCATCCTACATATATGTCCGAATAGTGCCAGTTTCCCTCCCATCACTGCCTGCATCATCAGGTCTCCTACGTGCTATCATTTCCTTCTACGTCGGTCACTCTTGGGGTCCGGCTCAGATGCAGTTATCTTTCTTCATTATCATCACCGTCGTCGTCATTCCGGTGTGGTGGAGCCCGGCGGTGACGCATCGCGACACCGCACGTCGTTCACCTCGTCAGCGATTGACCGCTGTGCTGCGCCCGTCTCGTCCGTGTGCCCGTGCGCGTGTGTGCCTGCAGCCCAGGGTGGAGCGCGTCGTCGAGGTCTCCATCCCGGACGTGGGGACCATCGTCGTCCAGGCGGAGGAGCATGGCTACAACGACGAGGTGAGGGGGGGGGTGGGCGGGAGACGCGGGAGACACGCGCAAGGTGAACAGGGGAGATAAATAGGACGCACGGGGAGGCGAGGGAGACACTGGGACGCAGGCAGACGGGGGTGAGACAAATGGGACTCGGCGTGCGGTGTGCATGAAGCATCACCACTGGGGGACACAGGCGGCCAGGCTTCGTGCTGTGCACAGCATCCTTTCATGCGCTCTGCTGGCATTAACAGGACCTCGCTGACATCGCTGGCCCCAGGCATCGCTAGCCCCACACGTCGCTAGCCCCACACATCGCTAGCTGACCACACATCGCTAGCCCCACACGTCGCTAGCCCCACACGTCGCTAGCCCCACACATCGCTAGCTGACCACACATCGCTAGCCCCACACGTCGCTAGCCCCACACGTCGCTAGCCCCACACGTCGCTAGCCCCACACGTCACTAGCCCCACACGTCGCTAGCCCCACACGTCACTAGCCCCACACGTCGCTAGCCCCACACGTCACTAGCTGACCTCACATCGCTAGCCCCGCACGTCACTAGCCCCAGATGTCGCTAGCCCCACACGTCGCTAGCCCCACACATCGCTAGCCCCACACGTCGCTAGCTGACCACACGTCGCTAGCCCCACACGTCGCTAGCCCCACACGTCGCTAGCCCCACACGTCGCTAGCCCCACACGTCGCTAGCTGACCACACGGTGGATGTTTGTGCGTGCGTGTGTGCATGTGCAGGTGATGCTGACGCCGGCCATGCAAGGCGTGCTCATGGCGGTCGCTCGAGCCCGGCTCGTGCGCGAGGCTCAGGGGCCCGAGGCCACCCTCATTGAGGTAGCTGTCGCCGCGGTAACCGGCCACTCCGAGAGCTGCCGTTGCCATGGGGACACGGCGTCGACATCCTGGGTTAATTTGTAGGGTTGCTGCTTCCCTCGAAGCTTGAACCGGGTCCTCGTGTGTCGCGCGTTTGTGTGTGGTCCACACGATGTATTTATTGGTCGGCGCAGTGCGCGTATACACGGCGAGTTGGACAGAAGAATCTGTGGCAAAGAGCTGCATAGCTCATCGGATTTATCCAGAATTAAATGAAGATTCCGAGATGGCAGTACACCCGCAGATAACTTGAATCTCTCTGTGCGGACCTTGTTTACCCTCCTCGTGCACCGTGGTAAGCTCTCTCCGCATACTCCGGCCTCCTCTCACATTGCACCGTCCGCGTGCCTCTGCCCCCCCCCCCCACTCGCCACCACCCCACCGTGCGTGCAGGCGTTTCGCGTAGAATACGCGCGCCTGAGAACCCTGGCGCAGGAGTCGTACCCGGACGCCTCCTCGCCCGCGTCGCCTCCCCTGGCGCCCGCGGGCGCGTCAGGGGCGGCGGCGACGGCGTGGCGCGGCCGTGAGGAGCGGCTGGAGCACGTCGTCATCTACCTCTTCCAGAACGAGGCTCCCAACCGCGTGGTGGAGCGCGCTCTGCTCGAGCAGTTCGCCGACCGGAACTTGAGCTACGACGAGCAGTGAGGCCCTGGTGCACTGATCCCCTGGTCACAGTCGCCTGACGCATTCATCCACTCATCACAGTCGCCTGATGCACCGATTCCCTGGTCCCACTCGCCTAGTGCACTGATCTCCTGGTTCCACTCGCCTGATGCAATGATCCCCTGATCCCAGTTATCTGATGCACTGATCCCCTGGGTCTCACTCGCCTGATTTACTGATAGACTGATCACAGTCACCCGGTGCACTGATCCTGCTCGCCTGTCTCCTGAAATAGTCCCAAGCCTCTGATCCTGAACACCCGTTTTCCTGGAACAGAGCACCAATTCACTGATCCCTAACCCCAGTTTCCTGGACACTGATCTTGAATATAATTTTCATGGAACAGTCGTAAGCCACTGATCTTGATTATTACCCAGGTATCCGATTGTATTCGTAGTCACAGCTCGGCTCTGACGTGGCCTCTAACGCTCAGGTTTGCTTTCAAAGAAGAATGAGTGGCTCAGTCGTGGCTCGGCTCAGGGCTTAGCTCAATTGAAATCCTGAACATGGCTGGGGCCGTCCTCAAAGCCGGCTCAAGTAAAGCGTTGGGTTTGAGACGGCTCAATCAAGCCAAGCATTAGCCTGAGTCGCGACTTAGAATATGAGTCTAGCATTCGGTATTGTGAATGCAAAATGCGTGTGTGTCTTTCTCATTAGGCTCATTAAGATAATGAAGGTTGCTCAGGCGAAATTGCAAGAAATCAGTCCTGAAGATATGGATCCAGCTGAGTACCAGGTGTGTGATCCACCTCCAGCACACACAACCCTCAAGAAACCCGCATGTATGTGTTTAAGTAGTGTATGTGTACTCTTTGGTTCTTTCGGTAAAGTCACGTAGGTCGAAAATAATAGATCACGACGTTTCGATCGCAGCACAAGCGGTCGTCATCAGGTGAGACAATTACAGCAGGAAAACTGCTGAAGTGTATGGATATATGGGGGAGCGGGAGTGTTGCGGTGTAGCGCACTGCGATACGAAACCTGAGTTAGATTCCCACATGTGGCCAACACCAGTAACAATTATCTGAACCGGTCTTGGCCCTCCCCTAGGTCGACTCAGCCTCAAATGAGTACCTGGTGCGGTGTGTAAGCATTGCTACTGGGGAGGCAAAGGCAGTCGGGCGTGATGCTGGCCACCCACCCCCTCGTGTGCCGTTCCGGCCATCGTAGGTGCACGCTCACACTTGCCTCAACAGTCTGTTGAGGCTATACGGGGATCTTTGTCAAATGTATGGATGCGCATATGTAATTGTAATGCACGTGTGTGTGTGCTTTATTTGTATGCGTGTTTGTGTTTTTTCTTTTTTATAGAAATGGCACCAGGAGTATGAGCTGTTCCGGCAAGTGTGTGTTTACCTGGTTATGGGCATCGAGAAATATCAGGAGGGCAGGTACCACACTGTGTGTGTGTGAGGTTGAGAGTGAGTGTGGCTGTGTGATCATTGAATAGTGAACATCAATTACCTCGGATCAGTAGTGCAGAGAACTGGCATCGTTAAGTAGCGTACAGAGAGATTGGGCTCAGGTAAATATTGACACTGCCGGCAATATGTTGCTACTAAGTGGCAGTGACATCACCATAGCGCCTGTGCCAGACCAGGTGTACTTTTAGGTCACGTGAGGCTCGCTTACAGGAGATCACGGGACAGACCCAAGTGCCATGGGTTGACTTGAGATGACTGGCAGATGCACATACCACCTACGCTCCGCACTGTGCCAACTGCTGTTTTTTCGGCCCGGCCCGGCGCTCCGCTCCTTGTTGTGAGCGTCGCATCCCTGCCCTCTATTGGAGAGCAACTGCCTCCCAACTACCGAGTAGCATCTTTCACGAGCCTCCTCCATAAGCAAATCTACTCATCTCCACATCTTCCTGTAACCACATCAGCTCATCTCTTCTCTAGCCCGTGCCGCACCCATTTAGTCCCCCCTGGCCAAACAAAGCCTGCTTGGGCAAGCGGTGGTTGGGTGTGCGGGCTTTATTATTGAACAGCAGACACACACATATGTAATGTGCAGTGCACAGAGATTCCACGGTGGTTCAATTTCAAAGTGAGGCCGGGGTTTACAAACAGATCATCTAGACCTCGGCCTCTGAATTAAACGCAGAGACACACGGCTTGAAGTCTTGTGTTGTGTACATGTGTGGTGTTTGATGGCGGCCGGGCGTGGTCCTGGCCACCCACCCCCTCGCGTATCGTTCCGGCCTTCGTAAGTGCTCGCTAACAGCACTTGCCCCAACGGTCTCTTGAAGCCATACGGGGTGGGGGGGATCTTTGTCTTTTGTGCGCCCGTGTGCCCTTGTGCACGCGTGCAGGTACACAGAGGCGCTGCCGTGCTTAATGCACGCGCATGCGGTGAACGAGGAGCTGCTGGCGCGCGGCCAGCGCCGGGGCGTGCGGCGCGACGTGCTGGCGCGCTACCGCAGGGTGTGCGTGCGGGTGAGGCTCCGCCCCTGGCTTGCTCACTCGCGAGCCACACCACCACCGCTCTCACACTCGACAACGACAACAACAACAAACGGCCACCGTTCGCCACTAAGTGGCCAGTGACGTCGCCACAATGCTTGTGCCAAGCTCGGTGCGCTTTGATGCCGTCGCGTGAAGTGCGGAAGACTTTTGCTGCCGGCAAGAGCGTCACGGGTCAGACCCAGACGTTATGGCAGACGAGTCACTTCTTCTCCCCTACTGTGCACTATTTGCTGTGTTTTACGTATGTATGTTGAACTTATTTCGCACCGTATTTAGCCAGCCGTGCTAATCGGAGGGTTAAGCTGCCTGGCCACGAGCAAAAACATAGCCAGGCACATCAAGAATGTCACTGTATTGGTGCCAGATAAGCTCTTGTTTTACCCTTCCAAAGTCTTGTCTGCTTGTCAATGTCCCCCACACTCTCCTCCCTCTCCCGCCGTCTCCCCTCTCTCCCCGTGCCGCCCCAGCGAGTCAACGAGGCGTGCGCGCTGACGTTCGGCACGGGGGACGTGGCCCAGGCCACGCGCTCGCTCGCCGTCATGACGGAGTTGGTGCTGCCCGCCATGGCGCTCCTGGCCCCGCTGGGCAGCTCCTGCGAGGGCGGCGACGCCGGGGACGAGGCGGCCGTGGCCAGGGAGTCCGACCTGTGCGCCGTCGAGCTGATGCGCGACCGCTGGTGCTCCTACCTTGGCCGCGACGACATGGCGTGTGAGGGGCCGCACGCCACGTGCCGCGCTTAGCACGCAGCATGCCGCACCGAACAACTAGGGTCGCAGCACACCGACCGCCCTGGCCTAACGTCTCGAACCGCACTCACCGCACCACACAGTTGGCCACTCTCAAAGTGGCAACGATGCACTGACCGGACGATGCACAACGCTGAATGAAGACACAACGCTGGCCACATTTGAGTTACTGCACCCACACTGGCCGAGCACTCCACACTGACCAGTTGCCTGTCGCCCTCCCGCAGCCGAACTCCAGGAGCTGCTCACCGACTTCCTGCCGCGGCTGCTGGACTACCAGCCCGAGCCAGCTCCGCCGACACAGCTCACTCCTCCTCCCCTGCAGGGGCCGCCACCGCCGCCGCCGCCGCCCTCCGAGCCCCGCAAATGCGAATCTTCCGGCGAAAACTGGCGCGGCCTGCGGGCCCCGCCGCGCCTCAAGGCTTACTCGCCCCACACGCTTGCCGAGAAGATGGCAGAAGTACTCAGGGTGAATCGGCCCCGCGAGGCGTAGCGAGTGAGCGAGCGAGCAGGGCGTGGGGTTAACGGGGTGCGGGGGCTGCTCACCCACAGAACTGATTCTCAGCGCTGTTGTTTTGATGCTAGGAACTTTGCCGGCTCTTCCCGGAAATTCTGCAATTGCTTCCTTTTGCTGCGAGAGTTTTCCCAGCTTTGGGGGAATTCCCTCGAATGTTTTCTTTGGCCCTGGAATATTTATCAGCACTTCCCAGGAACTGAGCTGCCACTTCTTGCGTTGGCAATAGAGGGATTTCTTAGTTCTCCTCGGGAATCCTGAAAATTATTCCTTCTGCTCTGAGGGATGTCACTGTTCTTCCCAGAAATCATAGAATGTTTCATTTTGTCTTTGGAGGTGAAAGAGCATTCTCAGCTCTTCCTGGAAATTCTGCAGGTCCTTAGACTCTTCTTCAGCGTCAACACACACAAAACCACCATTCCTGGAAACATCCCATTTCAGAATTTGACTTGCGGATATTGGACCACGCCACTGGAACACAAAGGTCTACCCTTGTGAAGGACGCCACGAGTTCTTTAATGTCCACTTCACAGCAGGCGGTGCACTCTGGTTGATGATGATGACGATGATTGTGATGAGAATAACATCTGACGAAAATCACAGGGCAGTGATGGGTGATGGAACCGTCAACTCAGAGCAAACTTGTCAAGCGTCGAGCGTGCTCAAACAACGGCCGCCCGGCTGGCCGCCGCCATTAGTGGCGGAAGATTTTTCCACCTCTTTCCGGGAATTCCCCGTGTGTGTCCGTGCGTGTATCCGTGCGCGTGAGCTACAAAGCGTGTGCAAAGTCTGGCTTGTGATCCCATGGGAAGTATGTATTTTTTTTCCACAAACCCCCCCCCCCCTTGTGAATGATGGCCTGACATCTGGGACAAGTTGTGTGCTGTACGTAACCTCCGGGAAAGGTCCCCGGCACGCTTGCCAAAGTCTTAGGGAAGAGCCCATGCTTGCCGTGTCCTCAGCAGGCTCTTCCCTCACTTCATCCCGAGCCCATGTAACTGTCACGCTTGTGGTTTTCCTTGTGCTCGTCTCAAAACAACGCAACAGCGCGAGAACTCCTCGACTGGCCATGGCCATGGTCACGAGCTTGAAACGAGGACTGCGCTGTCCGTCATCATTGGGCCGTTGGGCCGGCGTTGATGTGAAGAAACGACCACGCGATGTTTTAAACTTTTAAAGTGCAATTGAGGGAATGGGGGTTGCAGGGGGGGGGGTGGGAAGTTAAGAGGGACGACCCCGTGTAGGCACGACCACAGACATCGTGATGGGCAAAGATAAGCGTTGGTTTGCATCGGTCTCTCTCCTTGATCGTCATGCGACAGTTGATCAGCCTCTCGCACACCTTATGTATTTGTGTTACAAGTTTAGAGCTCAGTCACAGGTGAACTGCAAGAAAGTTTGTCGACCTATTTGATTTTGTTCTTTTGGTCGAAATTGCAGGCAGGCACAGACCGAGCCACTCGCTCGGCATTTGGGTTTGAAGCCGGTGGTCGCCTCCCGACCGTGCGGGTCAGATAATTGAAAGACGCTTGGGCCACCGTGCCACCTCCGTGGCCGTCTCTCAATCTGAAGTGTTAGCTCCGATGCCCATGCAGGGATGCGGAGTGATTTAACGATGCCTTGCTTCGTATCCAGATGCCAAGAAGAGCGCCAGTCGGATAAACTGCCGAATCTTGACCCATCTCCAAAACGCAACGTGTCCTTCATGTCTACGTGGGCTCGTCCCTAGTACCTGTTGTCCGTTTCTCTCATCCTTGCTCTCTTCGTCCTGCCGGTCTTGCACCGTTTCCCTCCCATGTTTTCACCTCCCACACACTCCACTTTAGCTTCAACACTCCGGAAACGTTGCATGACAAAAACTCTTCCCATCGGGAGTTGAGGGAGCTGGCGCTTTTGTGACGCTACCACTGGTGGTGCGGAACCGTTGCTCCGGTTGCTTGCCAATGGTTTGAAACGTAGGCTTTCGCGACCAATATCCATTATAAAGGTTTTTTTTTAGTTAGCCATGAATATAAATGTCTCGTTAAACCCGCCACCACCCGACACGAACAATTAGTAAGGTTTGTCACATAAACAGAACATGCCAATTCGTTACTAATTTAGCACATCTGTGTGTTGGAGAGTAAACCCACAGCATTTACAATTCGAGTTTTGTGGGTTTACTCTCCAATGCACCCGTGTGCTGAACTCGTAATGAATTGGCACGTTTTGTTTACGCAACAAAACCATACCAGTTGGCTGTGTCGGGTGGTGGAGGGTTTAACGACACATTTAAATGTAAGCGATCTAACCCAAAAAAAACCTTATGCTTGCTAATGCTCACGTTGGTTTGCTGTTTGCCCAACTCGACACGCGTCCCACTGCACCCCCCCCCGCTCTGCGTGCCGACTCGGCGAGCGTCCGTAGTGGACGGGGGTCAATGAGTGGCTCGTGTCGTGTGAACATCACTCCCAAGAATGTGGAGAAATTTAAATTAATAATTGCACCTTGCAAACTGGCATGGTTAATGCTGTCCGACCAACATTAATCTAGATCCACCACGGGCAGCTCGACGGTTAGTGGGAGAGAATCGGTGCAAAAGGCAATGACTAATAAGAGAGGGCACCACTGTGCGGGTTATGTGAATGTTTTGATTGCGCACAGATGTCCTCCCAGTCGGGCGCTTTGTGTCTGCACAATGAAGCATTTCAATTAATTCCAGATTCCCCCCCCCGACAGGAATTGTATGGTCACACGATGTTGTGGAACAACCTGGAAATCACATCGCAGGCTTTTTACCAATGTTACACAGCAACCAATCCTTGTCCTCCTGCTGTGCGGATGAGCGGTTCGCGGCCGTGCCCGTCTTGTCTGCTCAACAAGCCCCCTCGGTTGTTGAAGCAGTTTAAGCTAAGTACGTTAGTTTGGACGCTGCACCCTGCATTGGCGCAAGCCCTGCCCTTCACTCGCAGCAGTTGCCATTCAACGATTCACAATCCAATGTTACGATATGGAGTTGTATCCAAATTAATTTTTGTCGCCTCGTGTGTCCTGTGACCTGTATGTTCCGTCTCTTTTGCACCGTTAAGCCTGAAGGTCGCGTTTGCGTATCGTGCATAACGTCCAAGGGATTCTTAATGCACAACTTTTAAGCCACGTATCTAGAACGTAATAATTTCAATTGGGGAATTGTTACAGGCGTACACACTTGATATTGTGTTGCTCTACGCTTTTGTAGTCTTCAAAGGTGATGCCCTGTCATGGGAATCACTGCGTGGAGGAGTGGGCAGGACGGTCGCAGGAAGCAATTTCCCTTCGTCCTCTCACCCACAAGTGGGCCTGGCAGTAAACAGCCCGGTCATCATGGTTTATCGTCTAAAAATAATGCCCAACCTCCACACCGACGCGGTGTCCTGACATAGCCAGTGTGACCCCCGGATGGAAGACAACCCCATTGGCTGGTTTCACTTAGTTTATTTAAAGCAGTAAGTAAAACAAAATGGGAAAATACAAAAAGTATTTAATGGTACTTGGCTGGAGGGGCTGATATCGGTGCCTTGGGAGGTGCTGGCTCAACGCCCTGACATGTGGCCGTTGTGAACCCAAATACTTTATTTTTAAGATTGAGGTGTGGTGTGACAAATCCCGCGATGCCAATCCCTGCTGTTTGAGTCTGTGGGCCTCTCGGTCGGCGAGGTGCGTTTGCTTTTGTGTTGAAGTGCATTTGTTGCCTGCATTTAAGTTTTTTATGTTTAAAAAAACATGAAAATAAGCTTGACTCAATTTCCCACCAGCTTTCCCTGCTACACTTTCAAAGGTCTGATCCATGAAAAATCCATTTGTCACAGGAAGAAAATACTATCAGCCCACAATGCTTGCCGTTGTGTATGGCTCCTTAAATGACATTGCTTTAAAACCACTTTTCCACAATTTAGTGCTTCGGAACCAATATTTACCCCCAGCGGAGTGGTTCACTGCCACCCTTCTCCCGCAATGCTTTTTCCAGCGCTTATATAATACCCATAACACCACTCTTCAGAGCTGCAACCTAAGGTGACGGGGGAAGTGTATCTAAATACGACGGGAGACACTGGGGAAATGCCAGCCCTGCAGTGGGGTAGCATGGGTCTCGCGCAACGTCGCTTGGGCATGGAATCGACGCTCCGGATCGAGGATGGACGACGGAGAAACATCCACAGCCGCGCAGTCATTCAAGCACAGCTACCCACACAGCCGCTCGCGAACAACCGTGATCCACGTCACATGCACAAACCACTATATCTGGACTTAAAAGAATCGCTTACAACGTGCAACAACACACTCGCCAAGTTACTTCTTGTGCGTCGCGCGCAACGCACGCACAGTCGCACTTTAATACACGACCGCCAAAGCACGCGTGTACATTCTACTGAACTTACACAATGTTAATGCTGCTAGAGCGAGTGATAAGACGTACAAATGTATATTGTTACACGCAGCAAACTCGCCGGGGGACGTAACCGTATTCGGCACGACCGATGAACCCACGCGCACAAAGTGCTGTCATGCATACGAATTGTACGCACGGTACGTGCGAGGTTTTGACGGCGGCGCCCGGCAGGCGTTGTTCTCCAGTGCTGCTTTAGCTGTGTTTGACGCAGCATTGAGACTGACCCACAGTAATGGTTATGCTCCACCTGTATATCAAATAAAGACAGCGGACATTAACTGGAGAGGTTTTGGTAGCTTCAGGGTGTGTGTGTGTGGTAAGTGTGCAGGTAAAAGTGTCGACAGTGATCATGTTGCGATGGGACGGTGGATGGAGGTTGAAAAAAAAAAGCAGTCGCTTGATTCCAAATGTGCAGGTTTCCAAAATTTTAACTTTAATTAAAGTAATATACAAACGCTCCATTTACATTCAAAGTCATTTTCAAACAACTCCTCTTTAAAAAGAGAAACGGACTGCTACACACACGGTTTGTATTTTCCTCGTCTGACATTGGACAAGACTTAAACAGCCTCGTGTAAGAGACACCAAGCCCGTGCAACCCCAGGCCATATGCACAACACCACTGGTAATTGGCGTATTAATAGAACACGGGCCTCTCCCGAGTTCACTGAAATTAGTGTTCACTGTGGGGTGCGAATGTCGGCAAAGAGGAATGCAGAGGCAGCGAGGTGTGGCGCTTGTGACACTGCCTTCGTCTGTCGTGTTCACCTTACCGGTGACCAAAATAGCGTTTGCAACAATGGTCTCTGGGGTGAAATTGGGGACATTTGCTTGAATGCATGAGTGTGAATGCGCACACTTTCATATTTGATTGTGGGCAGCAGAGGGCAGTGCAACAAAATCCATCAATGTACTTGTGCTCCTACATGTACGCGCTTTCTCCCCGTTTAAACCGCATTGACCAGTGTAGTAAAGTATGGTCAATTAACTCCCATGAAACAATACGACAAGTGGAGACTCTCATTGATTTGTGGACTTTACATGTGTGTTAATGTATGTGTGTGTTAATGTATGTGTGTTAATGTGTGTGTTAATGTGTGTGTTAATGTGTGCGTGCGTGCACGAGCGATACACTCCGCTGCTTCTGACGCGGTTATCTGGCTTGACCACCCGAACGTGAAATTGTTGCTGTTACTCTGCATCTACATAAGCCATACGAAAGAAGTGGAGTGTTCATGTGCGTGATTTCCGGGGGTGTGGAAGTGATTACGCACGTGCTTTCCCACGTGCTCGTTTATGCATCTGCGGCGCTGGATTGTTGTTCGCGCGCGTCGACCAGCGTCGAAGCGCGCGAGCTGCGCGCCGTCACGTGAGTCCGCGGAGACTCCCCGGCGGCGCGAGGAGCACGCCCGCCGCGTACAGCAACCCCACGGCCAGGCCGAGCCTCGCCGTGCCCTGCGGGACGTCCCCGAGCGTGCCCGCGCGGAACCGCCGCTCCAGCCTCAGCGCCAGCGGCAGCGCGGCGAGCGGCGCCGCCAGCGTGGGCGCGCGCAGCCTCGCGGCGCCGGCGGCGAGGCCCGCGAAGGGCAGCAGCAGCAGCGCGATGTAGAGCGCGTACGAGGCGGCGGGGCCCATCACCATGGCGAGCGTGACGGCGCCGGCCGCGCGGTCGCCCTCGGCGTCGCGCGCGTTGTTGGCGTGCAGCGCCGCCTGCGCCAGCAGCGCCAGCGGAAGCCCGTAGGCGAGGGGCCCCGCGGCGAGGCGGCCCGTCTGCGCCGAGAAGGCGAAGAGCACCGAAAGCGGGCCGAACGTGACGAAGATGAGCGCGTCGCCCATGGCCACGTACTTGAGGCCGATGCCGCCCGTGTAGAGGAAGGAGCTGGAGAGGCCGCCGAAGTAGAGCAGCGCCAAGTGCTCGTTGCGCAGCGGCGACGCGGCCGCCAGCGCCAGGGCCCCCGCGCAGCCGGCGCTGTAGAGCAGGGCGCCCAGGCGCACGACCTGCGCGGGCGCCAGCAGCCCGTCCACCAGCGTGCGGTCGTCGCTTCGGCGGTCGCCCGAGTCCACGCCGCGCGCGAAGTCGTAGTAGGTGTTGACGAGGTTTCCGGCGCCGTGCACGCACAACACGCACGCGAGCGTGGCGGCGAATGCCGCGGGGCGGAACGTGCCGTCGGCGCGCCACGCCAGCGCCGCGCCGAGCGCCACGGGCGCCAGCGACGCGCCGAACGACCACGGCCGCAGCGCCCGCCAGTGGGCGCGCCAGCGGCGGGCACGCAGCCAGTGGCGCGCGCGTGAAACCGAGCCGCCGCTACGAGCACCAACTCTGGTAAAGCCGCCGCCGCCGCCGAAGGGATCTTTTACGGAGTGCCATTCGCCGGTGCCATCGCCACTTCCACTGCCGCCGTTTGCAAATCCATTGGAATGGAGTCGCCCGCCCACGGAACCGCCGTTTCCAATGGGAAAGCTGTCGCCGTGCGGAGCTGGGCTGTGGCCCGGGAGAGCCGAGTCTTCGCCCGCGCGCAGGCTGGCGCCGGCAGGGGGCCCCGGCGTGGCCAAGGGGGCGCCGTCATCCATGATGTTGAGATGGAGCTCGCCGGCCGTGGAGGCGGGAGATCGCGCTGACAAAGCCATGAAGATAAATCACCAAGAGGACGGAGTCATCTCCTGTGGGCGGCACCACCATCATCTTCAACATCACCACCAACATTTGCATCACCATTGCACGTGTATCATCTTATTTTTTTTATACGTGCTTATGTTGTATTTGTTTTGGCCCATGTCCCTATTGAAAAATCGATCTTCCATCTCACTGGACTATCAGATGGATTTGTTAAGCAACGTCCATTGCCTTTAATTATAGGTGGCCAAATACCGCCGAGATCCTGAGTACCAATCTGCGCTTCAGCCATTGTGATAAAAAAAACATACTCAAGTTTAGCAAGTTATTGGATTAGTTTGATGAACGATAATACCAGCATTTAAATAAACCCTTTTACTCAGTATACTCCATCCAGGGCATGTTTCCGCCACTTTCTAATTTAAGATGTAGCTTTGTGGCTTTGTAACCACTCCTCCAGAGTTACTATCAACTCTCCCTCTATCACAAAGGCTGCCACTCCTTCAGAAGCGTGGAGTTCTCAAACTCGCCGAGACGACCTTAATATCAAGTTTTATCTGCTACTAGTTCAACCTGCTTCCAGTTCGACTGCACTTTATTCACCCGACAAGAGTCCACGCTTTGTATATAGCAATGGTCAAATCAAGAAGGCCTCCCCCCTCGTGTTTGTATCACTTCTTAGCATTCGCCTATCCACCACCTTCCCAGCGAACGCTACCAGAGACCCACAAACGCACAGAAAAGCTCACACCGACCGGCGTGGTGAAGTATGGTCAAAACAACCCCCCCCCCCCTACGTGAGACGCAAATGGCTGGTGGACACCAGAGCCTGGGTGGGGGCCATGGTTTAAGTGCGTCAGTCAGTGAGTGGGGGGAGGTTGTTTGACCATACTTCACCACAATGGTTCGTGTGGGATGGTGAAAGATGCGCCTTGCGTGGTGTGGGTGACCCTAAGCCAGCGAAGGGTCTGAAAGGCTCACAAGCTTGGACACCACGTTGAGGCAGCGCGCCGCTCTAACAAGATTACGGTGTTGGTTATGATAGTTTATGTTTTTACATGTTGATCGCGATGATGCTGATGATGATATTACCTCGATGTTGCTAATGTTGATAGCGAAGATAGTGAGATTGTTGATGGTCACAGTGGTGATGTTGAGGTTGTTAAAAGCGGTTAGTGATGGTGAGGTCGTTCATATGGTGAGGTTGTTGAAGGTAATAGTAAGGTTGTTGATGATGATGTTGTGAATAGCGTTACTTTAATGTGGATAGTTACACTTTAATATTCTTGGGGCTTTCGTAAGTCACGTAGATAGCGGTCGTCTTCCTGGCCGCTTGTGTTGCGATCGAAACGTCGTAGTTTTTTTTGTTATTTTCTTGTTATTTTATTTGAACCTATCTACGTGACTTTACCGAAAGACCCAATAAAATAATTTAATGTTGATGGTGTTGATGATATAATGTAATGTTGATGGAGACGTTTTAATTATGACGTTGATTTAAGATAGTGAAGTGTTCCTGATATGGATGTTGTTGATAGCAAAGTGATAGTGACGTGTGAATGTTGTTGATAGTTAAGTGTGAATGTTGTTGATAGTGACGTGTGAATGTTGATAGTGACGTGTGAATGTTGTTGATAGTGACGTGTGAATGTTGTTGATAATTAAGTGTGAATGTTGTTGATAGTTAAGTGTGAATGTTGTTGATAGTTAAGTGTGAATGTTGTTGATAGTGACGTGTGAATGTTGTTGATAGTTAAGTGTGAATGTTGTTGATAGTTAAGTGTGAATGTTGTTGATAGTTAAGTGTGAATGTTGTTGATAGTTAAGTGTGAATGTTGTTGATAGTGACGTGTGAATGTTGTTGATAGTGACGTGTGAATGTTGTTGATAGTGACGTGTGAATGTTGTTGATAGTTAAGTGTGAATGTTGTTGATAGTTAAGTGTGAATGTTGTTGATAGTGACGTGTGAATGTTGTTGATAGTTAAGTGTGAATGTTGTTGATAGTGACGTGTGAATGTTGTTGATAGTGACGTGTGAATGTTGTTGATAGTTAAGTGTGAATGTTGTTGATAGTTAAGTGTGAATGTTGTTGATAGTTAAGTGTGAATGTTGTTGATGTTTATGGGCCACTCACACGCCGCGATGCACGCGCCCGCAGGACGTGGCGTGGTCACCGGGTCAAAGGATCCGAACCCATTGGTGGATCCGGATCCTATAGCGAAACACGAGGATCCGGATCCCACGGCGACCCCTAACCCGTGGGGAACCACGTCCGCCGGAATTGCAGATGACGTCATGTCGTTCGTGCCAAAAAAACATTGGTCTCTCGCCTCGCGCAAATAAAAGGCCTGGAACAAACTGCCTGCGAAGGCGCAACACAATTGCAACAACAATATCGCGTGTGTTGTCGTTATTGTCGTTGGGGGAGTCTCGCTGCCACCCATTGACTGTGATGACGTCACTCAGGGCGGGTTGTCCGGTCGGATGACGTTGCATTCAGAGACAGAACCGCACGCGGAGCTTTGGAGACGTCAATCGGCGCGGTTGTGTGGGGGGATGACGTCACGCCGAGTGGCGTAATCGCGCGCGGCGCTGCGCACGTGAATGGATTTTTTTTCTTACGTCGCCCTTTGCGAGCTGTGTTCCCACCGTCGCTGATGGGAAGGAGAGAGAAACGCGACACGCAGAGACCTTAAAGGCGCGCGAGGGAAAAGCGCGGGAATGTGGAGCGCGTCTCGCGCCGTCGCGGTCGCGCGCGCCCTGGGTGCGAGGAGCCTCGCTCAGGTCGGTGAAGTTCGCATGCGGTCGCCATCTTTGTAAGGGGTATGGGCGCCCTCTTTGTAGGGGCGTAGATGTGCGGGTCGCCATCTTTCTAAGGGGCTAAGGACGCCTTTGTAGGGGACGTGAGGGTCGCCTTTGAAGGGGACATGGACGTGAGTGTCGCCATCTTTGTAGGGTGCTTCGATGTGCGAGTCGCCAGCTTTGTAAGGGGTTGTCAGTGGCGCCATCTTTGTAGAGGACGTTGACGTGCGGGTCGCCATCTTTGTAGGAGAGGTGTCAGAATCTTTGTTTAGACTGCAGGAAGAATTAATCCGATGAGCTATTAAGCTCTTCTTCATAGATGTCCAGTATGGGGGGGGGGGGGGTCAGCAGGTTACAACAGCAAACAATACAATACAAAACACGATATGAGTGCAAAGTACAGAAAAGTCACGAAATATCAATATATAAGTCCGATTTATCAAACTTGGGTAACAAAAACATGTAAAACCTGCGCTGTTAACTGGGCTACCTGCGTTCCGATTCCCAGCCACGCCTAAACATCGGTGCCGAGAACCATCGGAGGCAGTACAGTGCCATAAAATGAACAAAAATATATAACAGGCGACATTTCGGCGCATATAGTACGTCCAAGTGTCTCCCATGTGCTGGCCTGTCTCCCCGCGTCCACTTTGGCCTCCGTGCCCACTGGACATCCGTGGGGGGGGGGGGGGAAGAGCTTCGTGGCTCATCGGATTCCCCGAGTATAAATCAATGTTCTGGGTCCTGTGATTTGAGTTTTTTTTGGTTTGGCCATGTTTTTGTTTATTGTAGTACGGAGTTAGACTGATGGCCTTAATCTTAGTTGTATTGTTGTTGTTTGACTTGTATCCCACTGGGATTTTTGCACACAGCGTTGGTGTACGGTGCTATTTCAGGAATATTTTGCCGGGTTTTTTTCCTGGATTTTCTGTTTGCACAGTCACACATAATCACTTTAAGATGTTTTTCATGTTCGTGATTTTGTTTTGTTTGTTTGTTGCACCCGATTCAAGAGCCGAATGGCTCACAGGGCTATACCAACATAAACGGAACTATGAACTAACATATGAGTGCCTCCCAAATGAACTTCCCCGTGTTGCCCCCCGTGTCGTCATCCACAGGTCACTGACCACCAGAGGGAGCTGCAGGCGCGCGGCTTACCCCGGAGGCGCGCGGTGCCCGGGGTCAAACGCGTGCTGTGCGTGGCGTCCGGCAAGGGCGGCGTGGGGAAGTCCACGCTTGCCAGTACGCGCTCTCTCGCGCAGTCACGATGTACCCGTGCACCAGGTGTTTGTCCTGCGGGGCCCACTCATTTATAGCTTGCACAGAGTTGTAAATGCACCCGATAGGGCATTGTCTTCGTGCTGCTCGCCTTTTGGAGACGAGGCTCAAAAGAAAGCCGTCTCTGGCGTGGACCGATCCATTTTAAAGACAATGTATACATTGCATGTGCACAACAGGTACGCGTGGTTGATGCAGACAGGCATTCCTTGAAAAAAGGAATTCTGTTTGGTGTTTTAACATCTGTTTTATTGCCAGAAAGGGTAAAACCTTGATTTGAAGGTTTTGATAACTCCAGGAATCCATACTCTATGGTTCTTTCGGTAAAGTCACGTAGGTAGAAATAAAATCTATTATTTAAAAAAAAATCGATTATTTTTCTACCTACTATTATTTTTCTACCTACTATTATTTTTCTACCTACGTGACTTTACCGAAAGAACCAAAGAGTATAGGGTAAAACCTATTGTTATATTTTGATATTGGCAAGAAGGGTCCCATATTGAATACACAACATGTGAAAACACCCCAGTGATTTAAAGCTTTCGCGACTGCAGGGATTCATATTCTTGGTTTTTTCGGTAAAGTCACGTAGAAGGGAAACATTAAAATAATACAAATATATTGTTTTTATAATTGTATTGTTTCCCTTCTACGTGACGTTACCGAAAGAACCAAGAATATATAACACCCCAGTGGTTTTAAAATGTGTGGCGGCCCTCACACTGATGATGTCTTGTCGGCGAGGGTGGCCCCAAACTCTGAAAATTAGTGAAGAACAATGCTGTACACCAACAACAACAACAACACCAGGCTCAGTTCACCGCTAAGTGACGGTGATGTCACCACAGATTGTGCCAGGCTAGGTGCACTGTGTCTCCCCCAGTGCTTGTGTTTTTACACCATAATGGGTACTCCATTTAAGGCTGAGTCGACCTAGGAGAGGCCCAGGACCGGTTCAGATATTCGCCATTATTATTGGTCGTGAACGAGAATCTTAACTCGGGTCGCTGGGTTGGTAGCGCGGTGCACTAGCCACTACACTACCGCTCCCATACATACACACGCACACACGCTGGGTTCGTAGCACGGTGCACTAGCCACTACACTACCGCTCCCATACATACACACGCACACACGCTGGGTTCATAGCACGGTGCACTAGCCACTACACTACCGCTCCCATACATACACACGCACACACGCTGGGTTCGTAGCACGGTGCACTAGCCACTACACTATCGCTCCCATACATACATACGCACATACAACAAGACCCACCGTTCGCCACTAAGTGGCAGTGACTTCACGGCACCCGTGCCAGGCCAGGTGCACTTTGAGGTCATGTGAAGTTGTCGAAAACTCGCTGACAGGAGGTAACGGACAGAGCCAGGTGCCATGGGTTTACTGGCTGAGATGACTGGCAGATGCACGTCCTGTGCTCCCCACTCTGCCTGTACACACACCTCAGAATTATCAACAGCATCGCCATGGATAATTCTTCATCGAACTAGGAACCATGTTAGAGAGAGGTTCCTTGTTTATAACTTCTGATAATTCACCAGCAAGCCCCTACTCTGCTGATGAGACACTGTATATTGAAATCGGTCCAGAGTTTGATTGTATTGGGCCAATCCTGTTGAAATTATGCACTCCCAGAATGTGGTTGATGGAAAGTGGAAAAATATAGATTTTTGTGTAGAGGGACATATGTATGAAGGAGATGTATTATCTGCTCGTTTATTTTCTCACGCATAGTGTGCCAAAATGTACACACATAAATGTGCATATGCGAATGCTCACTCGGTCAGGTGGGTAAAATGAAGCCTAATAAGTATGTTTCCTCCCTCAGTTAACCTGGCACTGGGCTTGCAGGCTGTGACAGAGGTGAGGGTATCACCACACCAAAACACTAACTGCTCACCCACACATCAATCCCACTGTAGCAACCCCACACTCGTCACTCACAAAAATTCGCCATTCCCTGCTCACGCACACTTCACTCCCACATCTCGCACACTTCAATCAGCTCCACACTCGCCACTCGCAAAAACTACCAACACTACACTCCCATCACTGGAACGGTGACATCATTTACCACAAAAACTCAACACTCACCCTCACCGCCAACACGCACCACTCACAAAAACTCACCACACATTTACTGCCGTGCGTACATCCTTCACCGTTCACACTGAGGCGGCTCACCCATTCAGACTCACCACTCGCACGTACATCTCCCACCCAAGCATCCGCGTAAAGCATTCATGAACACTCGCCAATGGTATTCTCACCTCCCGACTAATTACCCACACCTCCAATTATCACGGTTGGCTACGTACCGTGCGAAAGAAGTACAACATACATTTGTCAATACCTCCACTACTTGTTCACCATAATGCACTGACCTCTCATCCAGATAAATCCAATCAGAACGATGCCGGATGAATGATCGGGTCTTATTGTTGCAGAATGATCCAGTGGGTCTTGTTGTTGCAGAATGATCCAGTGGGTCTTGTTGTTGCAGAATGATCCAGTGGGTCTTGTTGTTGCAGAATGATCCAGTGGGTCTTGTTGTTGCAGAATGATCCAGTGGGTCTTGTTGTTGCAGAATGATCCAGTGGGTCTTGTTGTTGCAGAATGATCCAGTGGGTCTTGTTGTTGCAGAATGATCCAGTGGGTCTTGTTGTTGCAGAATGATCCAGTGGGTCTTGTTGTTGCAGAATGATCCAGTGGGTCTTGTTGTTGCAGAATGATCCAGTGGGTCTTGTTGTTGCAGAATGATCCAGTGGGTCTTGTTGTTGCAGAATGATCCAGTGGGTCTTGTTGTTGCAGAATGATCCAGTGGGTCTTGTTGTTGCAGAATGATCCAGTGGGTCTTGTTGTTGCAGAATGATCCAGTGGGTCTTGTTGTTGCAGAATGATCCAGTGGGTCTTGTTGTTGCAGAATGATCCAGTGGGTCTTGTTGTTGCAGAATGATCCAGTGGGTCTTGTTGTTGCAGAATGATCCAGTGGGTCTTGTTGTTGCAGAATGATCCAGTGGGTCTTGTTGTTGCAGAATGATCCAGTGGGTCTTGTTGTTGCAGAATGATCCATTGGGTCTTGTTGTTGCAGAATGATCCAGTGGGTCTTGTTGTTGCAGAATGATCCAGTGGGTCTTGTTGTTGCAGGCTGAGTGAGTGCGTGAAGTCTAGGCAACCTCTTCGCATGTTTTTTTTCCTTCCGGCAATGCTGGTAATGCTGTGGTTGTTGTTTTGTGGTCGTTGCAGGGTGAGCGTGTGGGTCTCCTTGACCTCGACGTGTTCGGTCCGTCGCTTCCTCGTCTCATGAATCTCAAGGGGCAGCCCGAGCTCACAGCAGGTAGTGGTAGGAGCAGCAGCACCAGGCCACACACCCGGCATCGTTAATTTAGCCCATTGAGACTCAAACTATTTACTGGGGGGTCGGTGCGATGTTTGTTGGGCAAGGTATAATTTTCACAACTTTTTTCAACTTTTGAGCCAGTTTTCAGAGTTGACAGGTTGGACTCCCGCCCAGAGACACCTGAGCATGTTTTGAATGGGCATTTAGACCTGCTTATTGTGGTGAGATTGTTGTTCTTCCCCCGCCCCTCCGATTAGCACGGTTGGCTATGTACGGTGCAAAAGAAGTTCAACATACATACATATAAATAAACATAGGTGCACTGAATTGTGGATTTTAAATACTCTGTGATATCATTCACACGAGCAGTACCTTGCGAGTCACTTTCCGAGCCAATATGCCACGTTTGCCAAGAACAAAAAATATCTGAAACAAAATTGTGTGATATGGAAGTTGATGAAGCTGCTGCTGCTGTTGTTTCAGATAATTTAATGAAACCATTAATCAACTTTGGGATTCCATGGTGAGTGTGCGTGTATGCGTTCAAGTTCATATGTGTACGTTTGCATACATCTAATTTCATGTTTCTGTGTACGTGTGCATTTAGGTGTGTGCGTTGAGATTATGCACGACGGATGTTATAAAGGCAACTGTAAAATTTTGATTTAAAGCTTTCGTGACTGCAGTGATTCATATTCTTGGTTCTTTCGGTAAAGTCACGTTGAAAGGAAACAATAAAATAATAAAATATATTGTTATATATTTTTTTTATTATTTTATTGTTTCCCTTCAACGTGACTTTACCGAAAGAACCAAGAATATAAGGCAACTGTAGTCGACCTCAGCATGTTGCAGATGAGATATTCACTGTTCCCGTGACTGCACTTAAAACGAGGAAGAAAAATAATGAACATGCGTGGATTCTGTAATGCTTCTCAACATGCGATTGTCCTCGGAAATATTTAACTAGTGATCTTAACAGTAGCGATTGCACCAGGCGAACATGAAGCAGTGCATCCAAAGGCCAGGATGAGTCAACGGAGCTAAGATATTATCAGCTGCACCGCCGAGGGAGCGAGCGACCCTTTGATCAATTTGCCCGGTTTCCTGTATCGGTGTCTCTCAAGTTTTTTAATTTCACGGCACTCGCTTTCGAGCTTTCCAGATCTTTGCGGCACACCAAACCAAAACATCGAGGAAGTACCCCCAACATCCCCATATCCCTCCCCCTGGGTGCCCCCCCCCCTTGTGCGTGACAGCCTCCAGGCCACCCCCCCAACCGCACCCCCCCCCCCACCAGCCGGCTCCTCCCCCCCCCCTCGTGCATCCTTTCCTTAACTCCACCTACGCACTGCCCCCCCCCCAACACAGCCCCTCCCTTCGGCCCCCTCAGCATCTCCTCCCCCACGCGCCCCCCCCCCCCACTTTTCCTCCAGACACCCACGTGGCCCCTTGCCTCCCCCCCCCACCGACGTGCTGGGGCAAACTTGACACCGGTTTAGTTGTATGTCCCCGCATCTTCAGTTTTAAAAGCCTTTACTGTCTACGAGGCTACGCTGAAGGAGACGTGTCTCTTTATCTCTTTGCGCATTGCACACTTCAGCATGTCCATGGGGTTCCTGATGGAGGAAGGAGCGCCCTTGGTGTGGAGAGGCCTCATGGTGATGTCAGCGGTGGAGAGACTTATCCGAAAGGTCAGCGACACGCATGGCGGGATATTCGCGCAGATGTGTACAAACGGGAACATGGAGATATAGCCATACAGAGACACGTGGGACACAATGAAGCAGATATGGAGGCACAAGACACACGGAGACTTGGAGACACAGGAACATGTAGACATGGGCATATATACAGACACACATAAACATGACAACATTGAGAAGCACAGAGAGACATAGATACACAAATACACAAGAGACAAATTTGTGTGGGACTCTGGAGACAAGGGGACACGGAGACACAGCAACACTCGCACATGGAGACATGAGAAGAGACAATGTTGGTCGTTGTTTTCTGAGGAATGGTGCAGCCTGATGAGCTGGTGGTCGCGGCTGTTGCCGGGACATTGCAGGTGGAGTGGGGGGAGCTGGAATACCTGGTTGTGGATTTGCCTCCTGGAACCGGTGACGTGCAGCTCTCCCTGTCCCAGCTCCTTCACCTCCAAGGTGACCTCACCCCCAAACCACACATTTCTACCACCACACTCGCTACCACACTCACTTTACTACATAGTGTCCCCATGTCTCCGTCTCCCTATCTTTCTGTGTCTCCATGTCCCCGTCACTCCGTTTTTCGTGACTCCATGACTCCATATCCCTTTGACTTCGTATTCCCGTGACTCCTGTGTTCCCATGACGCCCTGTCTGTCCCCGTGTCTCTGTGTAGGTGCTGTCATCGTATCCACACCCCAGGACCTGGCATTGATGGATGCGAGGCGCGGGGCTGAGATGTTTAAAAAAGTGGACGTTCCCGTGAGTAATGGGGGACCCAGGGATTAATAGACACCGAAACATGGGAATTCACACACAAATATGGGGGACGCACAAAGTGATATGGGGACATGGGAACACAGTGCCAAGCGAACACGGGAAGCACAGAGTTACAGAGAAACTGAAAGACACGTGGACACAATAGACATGAAGATAATGAGACGATAGAGAAATGCTGACACACAGACATGGGTACACAGGGTCACAGGTAAGGGACAGAGAGACTAAAACATGGCGACACACAGATATAAATGTCACTCAGTTACACCTTCTGCCAGCGAGCCTTCCACACTTCACTTTATCTCAATTCAACAAGCACCTTTGGTGAAGTACCTGCCACATAGTGATGAATGGCCGCTGTTGTTGTTCCTGTGCCTGGGTTCCTCTGGGGAGCGCTAGTGCAGCGCTGCACTATGAACCCGGTGACCCAAGTTCAATTCCTGCTCACGGCCAACACCAGTGATAAATAATATGAACCAGTCCTGAGTCTCCCCTAGGTCGACGCGGCCTCACATGAGCACCTGGTGCAATGTGTAAACGTCGTCACGAGGGAGATTAAGGCGGCCGGGCTGGCCACCCACCCCGTGTGTCATGCCGGCCTTGATAGGTGCTCCTCGCTAACAGCACTTGGCCACAAAAATCTATCAAGGCTACGCGGGGGATTTTTTTCTGTGTTCCTGTGCATATGTTACATGTGTGTTCACACGCAGGTTTTGGGGGTGGTGGAGAACATGAGTGTGTTCACGTGTCCTGCGTGCGGACATCGCACACACATATTCGGAGCCGAGGGGGCAAGGCAAATGGCCACCAGCCTTGGCCTACGCTTTCTCGGTGAGATGTTCCGACGTGAACTCGCACAAATACTTTTAAACATCTTGTCGGGTATGCGCCGTGTTGTTCGGTGGTGTGTAAGGCGCTAACCGGTGCATCGTGGTGCGTTGTTGGGTGTGTGTACAGGTGAGGTGCCTTTACACATCAGCATCAGGGAGTCATCAGATAGTGGGAAGCCGATTGTCATCTCTAAACCAGGAAGCCCAGAGGTGAGAACACGCCTCTGTGCATCGCGTGACTGAGTGGTGGTAATCATTTCATTGTGCCGTTATTCCAGAACCCTAGGAAGGATTCCTCTCCACGGATATGTCCCAATTCTATTAAGAGGCTGTTCTCAAGCAAAAAAATATGGAATTTCCACCACCCACTCAGGGCCTCAATTTGAACAGGGAGACATCCTGTTCATGGCGTGATATTGCACATATAACGATTAATTGATTAATTAAAATTGTTACACCCAAGACACGGGCATCGAATTGTTCATGTAAGAATCAGTTACTGTGTGGAAGAATCATCTGGTCGTACACAATTTTATGCAAATGTGACCGTTTGGCAAATGGTAGGGAAAGAACACATGCTAAAGTACAGATTACCATTCCTTATGGCATTGCAAGGCAGTGGGTCAAAACCTGCCCGCCCACCTGCTGAATGATGTTGTATTGCAGTATGTGCCTGCTGTGCATACTCTGCGTATGATGTGTATGTGCTGTGCACCAGGCCGAAGCCTACCTCACGATTGCCAAGGAAGTGATCAAGAGCCTCGGGGAATTGCAGACGTGACCAACTGGGGTCGCGACCTGAATGGGTGGTGACCAGAGTTGGATTGGGCCACTTAGCAACCGGGCCTGTGCCCAGTAACCCGGTGCTGGAGTTGGTTCATCGTACATTCGCTCAATGTAAATCTGTCTCGCCAGTCAGCCAGCACGTGATTTATTTTTTTGCAGAGTGCGCAGACCCGAATCCAGAACCAGATTACTGGCAGATGCCTGGTTTCCTATTAGTCTCAGCCTGTTCTTGAAAAAGGACAGTTTTAGAACTTGCGCTGGCTGTTATTGCACAGTTAAGACATCCTTGCAATGTCCAAAACGATCTTCAACCAAAGTAAATCTCCAAAACGCACTGCCTGTGTACCTATTTGAATATACAGTTGAAGTTGGATTAGGGTCACTCAAGGTTAACTCATGGGGCTTTAAATGTACGTAGCAGCTTGGATAAATTCAAGACGGTAGGAATTAGGGGCGGCAAGAAAAACTCACTGCAAATTAAATTTGATTCCACTTGATAACTTAGTATTAAAAGATGTTTGAATATATTTTGAAGTTGTGTCCTTGTTTCTGTTTGTGGTGTGTAAACCATGTGTTACTTTTGACCGCTTTTACAATCTAGGGATTGTGCGTGAGAATCCCTGACAAAAGACAGATCCCCCATATAGCCTGAACAAACTGTTAGGGCAAGTGCTGTGAGCAAGCACCTATGAAGGCCGGCATGGTACACGAGGGGGTGGGTGGCCAACACCACGCCCGGCCGCCTTTGTCTCCCTAGTGGCAATGTTTACTACACACTGCACCAGATAATTTGAGGCTGAGTCGACTTAGGGGGAGGCCCAGGACCGGTTCAGATAATCGTCACTGGTGGTGGCCATGAGCGGGAATCGAACTCGGCTACACTACTGAAAAAAAATACAAATGCTTACAGTTCACCACGTTTATTTAAACAACCATATTTAAAATAACCCATAATGTGCTTAAGCTCCAACCGTCTGCTCATATGAGTTCACGTTGTGAGATTAATTTCCCCTAAAATGAGGGGTAGTCTAAAAGTATCTTAGTAAATGCATTTTACAAAAAAGTTTGTTTTAAGTACAACACAGTATTTACACATTTCAAACAGTATATATGAACCCAGCCGATGATAGAAACGTCATTAACATTTATTTCAATCGGCATTGCAAGGAGTTGCCCGCAGAGGGTAGTGTAGAAAAATCCATTGTACCACACTGCCGACGTATATTCTCCCCACCATCACCGCCTTTACCAACCTTGCATGGACCAGCGTCGTGAACCGGGATTCGGGGCGTGCCTGCCATCCCGCTGAATCTTAACAATTGTGAGCAGTCGGTAGCAAGCTTTCTTGGGATAACACACAGCAATCAATAACCCCTAATGGCAGACAATGCCCATTTGCAGGCCAGGTGCTGTGTCACCTTGTGCCCACAGCAACAGTTGCCAGAGTGCGATCTCAAATCGTCGTCATGATTACCACCACAGCAAAGCGGACAGCTCGGGTTGCCGCGATGTCATTTTTCACTTTACGACATGAATGTTCATGGTGTGATGATCATCGCGATAGTTCCAATGGAATAGCACGTGCCCCTTTAAAAGGTCATGTGTACGTATCGACATTTTTAACCGAAATGAAGCAGCACGCTCCACGGGGGAACGGAGAAACGCCCTTTGCCTGAGAAAGTCCGAATGGCTCAATTCTCAAAACATTTTTACGCACGAGCACATTGATAACATATCATGCACATTCACAGAAAGCAGATTGTGAATTATATACCAAAAAAATACCAATGTAACGTTACAGGTTCGTGTATAGTTCTCTATGGACCTTAATTACATCCAAGTTTTAACCAATTTTGCACGTACAGCCCTTTTGTAAATGCACTGTTGGATGAGGGACCTCGCCATGCCGAGTGGGTCATGGGTGTTAACTGACCACACTTTACCACGGTGATCGGGTTGGTGAAGGTGGGGAGCATAGATGTGCAGTACAGCAATGGATTTTGCTTCACTCCACACGACGTTTGATGCAAGGTGGCCGCCCATTCAAGCACCGTCAAGGTTCAGATGCTGCCTAGCTTCCAAGCTCTGATGAGATCAGAGATGTTCAGGGTGATGTGATCATAGGCTTCATCACTTTAGGCACAGGTGATTTGTAAATGTGAGACTTGTTCGGGATGCTGAAAAACAAAAGTCCAGTCTCGTGAATGACTTCATGTCAACCAATGGCAAGGTTTCAAAATATATCACTAACTAAACTCACCTTTGGCTGTGCAAATATGTACTGTGGCAGTCGCACCGATTGCTCGGCTATCCCTATCTTTGGTATCCTCACTTTAAAAAAAACACTTAATTAAGACTTAAAAGCATAGCTTAAACATACACAAATAAAAACCATGCTCGGCCAACATTGAAAAATAACTCAACGGTATTTTTCTTCTGCCACTAGTTAGAACACTCAACGCTTAAAAAAAGGTAGCGAGTTGAAATCTCAGTTTGGGATGGAATTAAGTCTCTCATCTTTCTGCGGTCCATAAACTAAGTACCACTTCATGAGAGGTCATCAGTGGTTGGCCTGGCATGAAAACAGCCCAATTCGTGTTGATTACGCCACCCTTTTGCTCACTTGACCATGAAGACACCTTTAAAAAAAAAAGTTAGTCACAGGATGGAACGTCTCTATTGAAAGCCACGGTACACGGGTGGGGGGGGGAGGGCGAGCTACACATACAGGTCGTTTTCACGCGAGTGGTTCCGCGAACGCCTGGGCCTGTCTGCCTGGGGCTTCGGCACGGAGGGCGGCTCGCTCTGGCAAAGCGCCGTCGATGGCTCCGACACCCGGTAACTGCTTTTGGGTGACCACGTCATGGGCATGGCGCTCTCGCCGCCGCCGCCGCCGTTCCCGTTTACGGCGCGCGCCTTCCCTTCGTGCCGCTGGAACTGGCGCAGCTTCAAGGCCGCGAACACGGTGCTCACGACGTACAGGATGGCCAGGATTATGCCGAACAGCGCCGTGGCGGCGTCCCCGCCCTGCACGGAGCAGTTCATCCACGTGTAGCCGCGCCCGGCGTAGACCTGCTCGCGCTTCTTGCAGGTGTCCGTGGCGTTGACGTTGATGACCACGGTCAGGTAGAGGGCCACCCCGACGACGCTGAGCACGAACGCCAGCAGGGAGAAGACGAAGTCGGCGATCACCCACCGGCGCGAGCCGCGCAGGCCCTGCTTCGTGCCGCCCACGAGCATGCCGAGCGTCATGCAGAAGAGCGAGATGCACACGGCGACGCCGCCGTACACGGCCGGCGAGCGCATCTGGCTGTAGGCCCTGTCGAGCTCCTGCACCTGCTGCATCTCCGTGCCCTGGAAGGGGCTGTAGGGCATGTTGTTTATGCTCGACGACGCCAGGTTGAGGCCACCCATGGCCGTGTGTCCCGCCATGGAGGCCTGGGAGGCCGCCACGCAGATGAGCGTCATGAGGCTCACCAAGATCTCCGCGAGCTTCAGGATTCCTGGGGGGGGGCGAGCGGCGACGCACGCGGAATGAGTACAGCTTCTGTTTGGCACCGACAGCGCGCGTGTTCCTTGCTCGAACTTAGATTGGATATCTTAATCACAATGAATATATACAGCAAGTGGATAATTTGTATGTTTGTGTCTACTGTATGTGTATTTGTCCAGAGAACTCCTAATTGACCACTCCATCAGTTAAATTGAATGAGGTGTCATTGAAAGCTTAGAATATGTAGTTAATGTTGGCCCTATTAATCTTATCAGCTCTGTTAATCTCCATTCGGCCAGCGCATTGCACGAAGTTCCACAGCCCCATTTCAAAAGCATACAACGGATAGGTGTGTCACTTGGGGAGTGGAGTGTGGGCTGCGGGCATTGCATCTCGACAGGCTTTCTGCTGTATTGTATAAACTAAAAATATCTAAAATGTTTTTATTTTTACCAGGTAATGCCCACTGAGCTATATATCTCTTTTTCCAAAACGACTTGGCCACAAATAATAGCTCAAAAAAGTGGCTTATCACGTGGAAATATATAGCAGCCAAATACTCGAAATGCATGTGGATACTAAATATGGATGGAAAAACCGGAGGACCCAGAGAAAAATGCACACAACCAGGGGGAGAATTACGCAAACTCCAAATATACAGCAGGCGTCAGGGCCGGGATCGAACCCACGACCTCCTGTATACCAGGCGAGGAAGTTAACATCTTGCCACCACGGCGAGATGCTAATAAACTAGTAAGTAGTGAGGGTCAGGTGAGCAGTGAATGCCCCGCACCAACGACAACCGCCCCACAAGTGTTTAACTCAGTTACATCACAAACTAAAAAGACTCTTTCTTAACCATCTCACTATCAATGCATTAGAACATAAAACATGCATATAGTAGGCCATAGTGTTAGGCAAATGACCGTTTTCAGAACAGGGAGAAAGCAGCCAAATTGACCAATTATAGCTGTGAACTGCACAGCGTCTGCAAAAACTCTGGGAAATTTGATGACAATTGACTATGACTGGGTATAAAGCCACGTTATTTAGCCCACCTCAAAACCAGAAAATATCGAGTTTTTCGGTGAAAATTGGGTGTTATATTTTTAAGCAAATTCAAAAGTCACTGTTTTCAGCACAAGATGACGGCGTCAAAAGGTCAAGACGTCTCGCCGCTCAGAACGAGCACTCGAGTGGCGGCGGCGGCCGTCACCATTGGTGGCTCGGATCCAGCGGCGGGATCTGTAAACTTTTTCCAGAGGGCAAAGAAAAACAACAACCGCTGTTGAATTCCAGACAAAGTGGTACTCGTTTCAATAACCCGGGGAGGGAGGGGAATGTGAAAAAGAGCTTTATAGCTCATCAGATTCCTCCATCGAGAGGCACAACATCATCTCAGGCGGAGATGTCATCACACCCGGTACCATTTGGTCATTTGCCAAGTTCTTCCATTTGCTAAGCCTTTGTTCGATTTTCAGGAATGTTGTCCAAGATGTGTGCACGCGCATTCACAGTGACAAACTTTATCTGTGCCCCGAAGATTTGTAAGACTTTCATGAGAGGCTACAAGATTCCGATATGACAGTAATGCTGCAAGAAAAGGCTTCCTCCTGAAAGCGCGTACCAGGTATTGTGTTTCTGCCTCACTTTACCGAGCACAAAAGAGGCTGTAACGTCTGCCTCTGTGAGATGTGTTCTAACACACCTAAACCATCATCATTAGACCTCCTTTGCCAGTACCAAAATGTAATAATACTGACTACAGGTATTGTGGTTAATGCAGACATGAATCCTTGTAAAAAGGTTTTAGTTTTGTTGCCAGAAAAAAGTGGAAAAACCCTATTATTACATTTTGGTACTGGCAGAGGAGGTCTAATGATGTAGATGCTCACCCCGAGCCCTCATTACTTTGATAGTGCATTATCTTTGAGTTGTACGCCTTTTGGCGTCCTCTGGTCGAGCACCAATTGGGTCGAGGCTCAAAAGAAAGCCGTCCCTTGGTGTGGACCAATCAGTTTCAAGGACAATGCATCATATATTATCATAGTATGTTTTTTGTTTGCATTTTGACTGCAGGTATTGTGGTTAATGCAGACGTGAATCCTTGTAAAAAGGTTTCAGTTTTGTTGCCAGAAAAAAGGGGAAAAACCCTATTATTACACGTAAACCAGTTTTACATGACTTCCCATTACAGTGGGCACGACTGCAAACAACAATGTACGAACCTTACACACAGGCCTAACGCTGCGCCTCGAGCAACCCAGTTGCACTCGCCTCACGTTTCATAATTAACAGGAGGATCCCGGTAAAAAAAAAGAAAACTTGATAACTCGCACAAAACGTGACCGTCCTGAAACGTTGCTCTCGCCGACGGTAAGTTAAACAAATGACCGCGTTGGTATTGTGGTGCACAGGCATAAATAACGAAGACTCGCCACATTCGTCCATGGAATTTTGCCTTAGGAAGGAACAACGTGCAACAAGAGATGGCCTCAGAACTCCTTCGGAAAAATCCTTTAAGTCATCTTTTTTACAAGGGGCCACACTTTATCGCCCGCACTGCCGTGACACTGTCATGTGACAAACAAGCATTTTAGTTCTCAAGTCTGGAATGAAGCCCAAATTGAGCGCAAAAAAACAGATTTAATACCATGGGGTGTTTTTTGCGTGTCCAGCCATTGATGTCTGAGCTGAGCCCATCAACCCACTACACTTGAGAAAAAAGTTTCATCACGGGCAGAGTCGGCTCAGCACTGACTTCTGAGCCACCCGACGCACAACGTAGGTACTTTCCAAAGAATTGTGTTTAGAAGTGAAACTATTTTGACGGAATGGAAAACACTACCAATGTTGTCAACGTCACTGGCTTGCTGTATCAACACACGCCACACCTCCCCCAACGCTGTGCGATCGATGCAACACTTGACTTAATGACAGACTTCTGAACAGGTTTCAGAATAAAATCTAAAATCATATTCACACACCTCCGATTAGCACGTACACACATACTACAGTGTTTACTTGGAACAAATGTGCAATTGTAAATGACGCTTACATGCATCCCAATACAAGATGAGCATCTGAGGTCACCACAGCCAAAACTCTTGATGCCCATTGCTTCCTTGAGCCAGGTTCCCACAACGGATGCACAGTTAAACACTCGATCTCCAAGATCTCTCTGACAGTATCCACTGCGGATGGAAGATCTCCTCAATCCATCACCTACGCACGAGCTGATTTCGTCGGTCCATCTCAGCGATCAACACCCTTTCCAGTATCTTCCGTTCTTTGTCTGCCACGTATGTCATTAGTCTTGACCACTGGCCATCACCCCCCCATAGCGATGTGTCCTGCCCCAGACAATTTACTTTTTTTCACAGTCACTATTATGGTCACCGTTGACCACTTCTGTCGCAGACGTGAGATGTAAATGTTCTGTAAAGTTCACAAAGCATCAACATACTGCCTTTGTACTATAGGAATTGAGCAAAAACCACATGCACTTATATATCCTCTAATCCACATGTTCAATGGATGAAACATATGACCATACTCCACCATGTTGGTCAGTGCGGGTTGGTGCGGACGCCCACTTGACACGGACAGTTCACACTACTAACACTCTGGTGACCCTCCCCCCCCAAAACTGTGTGGAGAATAGCCAGGAAAAATATACAAAGGTCCCCCGTATAGTCTTAACAGACTGTTGGGACGAGTGCTGTTAGTGAGCACCTATGAAGGCCGGTACGGTACACGAGGGGGTTGGTGGCCAGCACCACGTCCGGCCGCCTTTGTCTCCCTAGTGGCGATGTGTACACACCGCACCAAGTACTCATTTGAAGCTGAGTCGACCTCGGGGAGGCCCATGACCGGTTCAGAATATCGTCACCGATGTTGGCCGTGAGCGGCAATCGAACTCGGGTCGCCGGGTTTCGTGGCGCAGCGTAGCGCTAACCGCTACACCCCCAGGCACACAGCTGAACGTAAGCCGCAATGTTGGCCCTTCCTGGTCGCCGCCCCCCTATTATTGATTGGCGTCAAACGTGGAACGAGCGACGCCGCGTGGGAGACCTTACCGCGCCTCGTGCAGACGTTGTTGCAGCACTTGCAGTTCAGCGGCCCCCCACTGCTGCGTTGGGGTTCTTCGTACTGGGAGTAGCCGCCCGAGTAGGCGCTCTGCGCGCCGTCCTGTCCATCGTACCTGCATAACGCTCGCGCCGGGCCCCAGGCACGACGAAACATCAGCAACGTTCACAGCGCCATGCACAACGTGCAGCAGCCCTTTGCCGACGTAACTACACTGGACGAGGGCCCTCCCCATGCCATGTGGAGGATCCTGGGAGATATTCGACCGTACTTCATCACGCTGGTCGGTGTGAGTTGGTGAAGGCAGCAACCGCACACGTGTAAGTATAGAAGTACGGTACGACAATGGATTTTGCTGCACTGCCCGATGCTGCCCACCGAGTAGCCCGGCAGCTGCCTACGGCAAGCCTGTTTGTGCTTGGTGATAACAACCAATCCAAGCACTAACTAGGGCTCTACTCTCCTCAGTTTCCGAAATCAGGCAGATTCCGGGTGATTTGTTCAAACATAGATTGGAATATAGTCGATACAGTTTGGTGATTTGTTGATACACAGTTATTGTTTTTATGTAAGACACAACACTGTCCACAAATAATGTGCTGGGAGCATGTAAAGACATCACTTCCGTATTACCAAAACGGATTTGGCTGCACGTTTGAACGCTTCGGTCACGAGGTTGGCTAGCAGATGGCAAACACAGTTTTGTGAACCAATATTTGCCAATCTTGAGAGCTACCCCCCCCCCCCCACAACCCCTGCATGGATATTAGGATATTATCTGGTTACTCCAACACACAAAAACTGAAATTGGACCTGCACAAACATCTAAATGCTAACACAGTTGGCGGGGGGGGGGGGGCATTCCTAGATAAATAAACGTTTGGTCTTGTAGATTCTTACACACGATCGCATTTGCAGTTGTTTCATCAGGTGGGCGAGTCATGTCACCTGGAGTCTCGGTCGTGCTGCCACTCGTTCGGGTGCCGCGAGGAGCGTCCCGCGTGCGACATCTCGGCCACTTTCCCGGGCGGGCGGGCGGGCAGCCAAAGTAGCAGCGACTACAACAACAGCAGCAGCAGCAGCGGGTTCATTCAACGTAATAAAGCTGCTTTTGGGTTTGAGGTGTCGTTAACCCACCACCCGACACAACCAATTGATTGGCCCATTAATTATTATGGATAATATTGGTCGCGAAAGCCTACGTGTTAAACCGAGCAAGGATCGTGAACTACGCGAGTGGTATTTTAATGGGCAGGATGGATTGTGCGCTCGAAGGTTGTCAACAACCAAATCCCAAACGTGAAAGGTGAATAAACAAAAGAGGAGGAGGCAGCAGCAGGACAACGCAAATCTCCGATGGTCAATGTGTCATCCATTCCTATGAATGTCATGATGCCTCCATTGTCAGGATGCCTCCATCGCCAAGGTAGCCTTGTTGTCACGGTTGTGTTCTCCAACGTTGGCTGCCAGTCCGTCCCTAGTCTCGACCATCAGCCATCATCACCGTACAGATGGGACCCAGGCCCACGGGTTACACCGCATTGTGTCAGGTACATTGACGTGGACAGTGCCGCCTTTGTCTTCCCTACACACGTAAACATGACGTGATTAGAGCACGCCTGCGTGTAGATCGTGTTGCTGTGAACACAATCTATTTAAGAAAGAAACAGGAGGATTAATCCACAAATCTGGCTGTCGCGTGATGATGCTGGTTGTAATTACTGGCGAAAGGTCGTACTCGAATTGTAAATGTTGTGGATTTACTCTCTAACACACCGGTGTCGCTGTACTAGTGACGAATTGGCACGTTCTATTTACGTGTTCAAACCTTTATAATTGGCTGTGTCGGGTGGTGGCGGGTTTAACGACACATTTATATATTTACGCAATCTAACCCAACAAAAACCTCTATTATGGACAATATTGGATGGCCAAAGCCTTACTACGTGTTTTAAACTGACAATCTGAACGGGTTACTGCAGTAACGAGTTCCAGGCGATGATGACCCAAAACTTGTCACTGAAACATCTCAACCATTGCATTGCCTGCACGGTACATGATGTGGTTTGCACATCGCATTGGCCCCGAATCACCACGAGGTCGTCCATGAGTTCGACTCCGGGTTGAGGGGGTTGGCCTCGTGATGGGGTCAGGGGGTCAACTCCTCGAGCCCACCCCCATCACATCCGTTCATCCGGCGGTCGATAAAAACTCAGTTTTAGTACTACCTTGTGAGAAAACTCAACAAAGTGGGTCTTTGTTTTTGTTTCAAGAGACAAAACACCGCTGTTGTCATGGCACAGGAATGTGGACATGCCAACGCTGTGCTGCTGTATTCTGGAGAGACAAATACGGTCGGTTTGGTTGAAATGTTACACTACTAGCAGGTTCCTGCGTCAAGGTGGTAGGGGTGGGGTGTGCGTGAGTTGGCAACTCCTTAAAGCCAGACGTTTCGAGATACAGGCCTCGTAAAGTCACCGCTGCAGACTACAGGTATGAAAAATATAACAAACCGACAGATAATCCTTCTTCACAAGTACTTGGGCTCACGTCAACAAGCCAATTTACAAAGCATTTCCACGCCTTAAACTCACAGATGATCCTTTCCATACACACAGAGTGGCGTAAATTGGAAAGGCTTCCAAAATCTAAACCCCATTCTTCCCGTAAATTCGATGGATTTTGTCGCTCGGGAAACCATCAAATTTAAAGTCGCCACATCTAATTGGTAACTACCGTATCTTGGTTCTTTCGGTAAAGTCACGTAGATAGAAAAATAATAAAGTTAATAGAAAATAAAATAACCCACTAATGTAGACTGTAGCTTGGTTCTCGGAGTGAGTGTCTATAATGTGGACTGTAGCCTGGTTATTAAGTACGGTGAGTGTACTGGCAGTCTATAATGTAGACATTGTTACTGACGAGTGTGTGGAGTTGTTGTTTTGATCTTGCGCCCTCTCTCTCTCTCTCACCTTTTGTGTGGCGTAACCACGGCCCGAGTCGCGCAACTTCCGCCCCGAAAATCTCTCTCCACCACCCAGCCCGACCCGGGCTCCTTTAAAGGTCGACCGCCCACCCGGCCCCCTCCACCCTCACCACCTCCTCTGCCTTCTTGCCGTCCCGCGTGCCGTGAAGCGACGTTAATCACCGGTACTTTCAATGAATCGAGATAAAGAAGACGAGACACCGATTAGCCCACGCAGGTAACTTTGCAACACCAACCTGGCGTGTGGCGTGGTCAGAGCTGTGGGGGCGTGGTCAGATAGGTGGAGGGCGTGGTCAGAGAGCTGTGTGGAGGGTCCGTGGTCAGAGCAGAGGGGTGTGGTCAAAATGGTGGGAGGCGGGGCCAGAGATGTGGGGCGTGGTCAGAGCGGTGGGGGCGGGGGTCAAAACTGTGGGGGCGTGGTCAGAACGGTTGGAGCGGGATCAGAGTTGTGAGGGCGGGGTCAGAACTGTGTGGGGGTGTGGTCAGCGCTGTGGGGGTGGGGTCAGTGCCTTGGGGGGCGGGGTCAGTGTTTTGGGGGGTGCTGTGGGGGCGGTGTCAGAGCTGCCCCCTGTGCCCCACCCCCGTGTGACGTCACTAGCCAGGTGCGGTTCAAGTGAGGGGTGAACACAGGTCGGGTCGCCAGCTTTGATCTACGAAAACCAGGGAGATATCAAGAGGAAAAAAAGGCCGTAGCGTATCATAATTTACAATCATTTACGTATTTATCCAGAAAAAAGGGCTGCTTTTTCGAGACGATCCTACTGCATTGGGTTTATGTTTTCAGCAAATGAATGATGAATATGTTGAACGTCTTTCGCGCCGTACGTAGCCGTACGTAGCCAACCCTGCTAATCACCCCTCAGGGTCCTGGTTTGAGCCTCCCAGACAAATGTGACACGACCTTGCAGGCCGTGCGTCTCATTGAAGAAGGTGTGCCACGTGTATACACCAACAAACATATTAATTTGCGACGTTTCGGACAAATGCCTCTTCTTCACGTGCTCGCTTACGAAGGGCCATCGCCCGAAACGTTACGTGTCCCCGTGGGCTCCGTGCGTAATTACGTCCGCGCCCGCCTTGCCACCAATCAAAGAAACCAGGCGGAGTGACGTGTCAACAACGCATGACGTCACAACAACGCATGACGTCATGACGCACGTGCCCTGTGCGTGCGTCATGTCGTAACCGCGGGGAAACATCGGCGCGTCACCACAATGGCGGAAAGCGACGCCCAGGGCGATTGGTAAACATCGCGGTGTGCGGTGCGCGGGACTGTTGGTCACTTTGTGGGGAACTCGGCGCGGACGTCGCCTCTCGATGCGCGACAAACTACACCGGGGACCAACTTCGAAAGCATTGTCACCAAGTGAAGGCCTCGCTTCAACTTTACAATTTCCACGTCGCTTACGAATTCCTCGGCTCGGTAGTCTCTTCGCTATTGGCCCGACTCCGTCACGTGTCTCACGCGAGCCAATGGCGTGTCGCCTCTGCCGCGACTGCTTGGCGCTCAGCCAATCGTCGCGATCGTACCTTTTCGTCTGCTTAAGCGGACTATGAAATGTAACAGTTATTTTTATTAAAAAATACGCGTTTTTTATTGCACCGAGAGAAATAAAAATCAAATGCCTATTTCACCGTTTTGATTGCCAGCGTGCGCATTGTATAATCGCACTGGACATGCTAATTTGTTTTTTGAGATTCTGCGCGGACGGTACGACCCACCAATTGCGGCCTATGCGGCGCTACCGGCGGAGGCGAGGGGATCCCGGCGGGGAGATTAGGCCAGGGCGGGTACCCCGGGGATACGTCCATTTAACATTGTGTTGACACGGAGAGAAGGTTCTGGGTGTCTTATTTATTATAACATCATCATCTCGACATATCATCATTAGCATCTCATCAGCCAGTTTGTTTTCGTTATCGTTATATGCATTTTGCAATCGTTATCTTCGTCATCATTCCATCATGGTATGTAAAAATCGGCTAATTTTCAGCATTTTGTTTTCATTACGTCAAAATAATTTTCACTCTCGAAGCGATAAAAGTATTTTGTGATGACGGTGCAACTATTTAGGCTGGCAACAAACAAATTTATATTTCAATTGCTTCCCGGAAATGTACCGATAGCGCCGTCGTCTGCTGTAAAGTTCACGTTAAAGACTACGTGACACGTAAAGTCGGCCACTCCGTGCGAGTTGGTGTCAAGTTTCACATTTTGAACATCAGACACATAGTGCTGCTTGTACCTTCTTCCAGTGTAGTTAGGCACTACTCCCACCTTGAAAGACTTGCGAGTGAAAAGTTTTAGTCCCGCGTGCTTTGCTTTATGCGACACGTGTGCATCGTTGCACATACTGTATATATCTCCCGAATGAATTTGCATGATAAACAGTTTTAACAAAAGGAATAGCTCCCCACGTAGGAATTCAACATTTCCATCACTGCGTTTGGACCATTGATAGCGTAGCCCAACGGTGTGTTTGAAAAGGAAAACGATGAATTTGTAAAACCTGATTCTTACTGCTATACCAAGGCAAACTTAAGTTTTCAGGGTACTCCAAGTTAAACAATGTTATCCTCTGTTACTTACATAGAGTTCTGTTGGGTCCAAAGTAGTTATACGTGTGTCCATATAAACAAACCAAGCACTGTACATGGACACACTTTGAGGTTTTCAGTATGCTTTCAGCGTATTGTTTCTAGTAGTTTGCATAGTGGTTTATGCGATTATGTTGAGTTTTTGATTTGCTGGTTTTATGCTTGATGGTTATGTGCACGGTTCTGCAGAACGGCTGAGTATTAATTTAAATCAATATTTTTTTTGTTCAGTTTTAAACAAGTTGTAGAAAATTGTGCAAACATGATTATATAATTCATAGCTTAACATTTCTATGGTGGTTTTTGGTGGTAAAATTAGGTGTCGTGTTCAATGTGTTTTGTGGTTAGCTATTTATGTTACCCTGCGTTAATATCTGTCACAAATACCGCCAAGTGAACTATTTTAATCGATGCAGGCTTATAATTAAAGGCCCCCAATGAAAGTATATTTTTGTTAGAAAGCACTTTGTGACCGTTCTTGCAGAACTGTCTGGTATGAATAAATGTGGGCGCTACGGTGGTGAGATGTTAACTACCTCGCTATGTATACAGGAGGTCGTGGGTTCGATCCCGACCTTGACGCCTGCTGTATATTTGGAGTTTGTTCTCTCTCCCCGTGGTCGCGTGGAGTTTTCTCAGGGTACTCCGACTTGTCCCTCCACATTTAGAATCAACATGTGTTTAGAGTATTTGGCTGCTATACATTTCCACGTGATAAGCCACTTTTTTGAGCTATTACTTGTGGCCAAGTCGTTTTGGAAAAAGAGATATATAGCTCAGTGGGCATTACCTGGTAAAATAAAAATAGTAACAAAAATGAACGCTTTATGGAGTGATGCAATGTTGTGCTTTAGGTTGACAGACCTCGAGGACCTGCTCTCGGGTGGAGCAGGTGTGGATGTGGAGACGTTGAAAAGTCTCCTGCACGGACACCCAGTACCCGCACATCTCCGTGCCCGTATCTGGCAGGTATGCGTGCACTCAGTACAATACAGTTATCTGTCACACAAACTGCATATACTCATAAACCACTGCATGCACACAATGAACGGTCGTATATCACACTTTAAGATAACCTTAAGGTGATGAGTGAAGGTACTGTATTGGTTTCACGCAGTAAAATAACTTGCTTGATTTAGCGGGTTAGCTTTGCCAAGACATATCCAAAATGAATGTTTTGCCCAATGAACTATTTTATGAATCCTTATATAATTACATATGGCATGGTCTCCTCTGTGTGATGTGTATACACAGGCATGCCTGGGTGTGCGTGGACCGGCAGATGCACTGGCCTCGTGGGATGGGGTATGTGATCTACCTGAGCAGGAGACCCTTCATGCCGACTGTGAGAGACTTATTGGTGAGAATCAGACCATTCACTTGCAACTTTTGCCTCTATGGCCTCTCCAAATCCTTCACCTCCAAACTCCAGGTGATCCAAAATTTTACTGTCAGAAACTCATGATTGACATCTGCTCGTGAAAAGAGTATATATGCCTCATGTTTTTCCTTTATTGCAGTATCTTAATATGTGGTTCCATTTAGATGCTTTTTCAATCCAAATCTTAGGTTGTTATTTGTTTTCGTGTTTAGTTTTTAAACTGCATGCTGTGTGTGGGTTTGTGTGCTATATACAGTTCATAAGGTAAAGTATATTGTGTTAGGTACGTGTAATGTAGTGCGTGTGGTCAGTGCAAGTGTGTTGTTGGAGTGTATATCTCTGTGTGTGTGGTTATTCTAATGCTGTGTGGTTTTGTACCACTTTGTACTAGTGTGTGTAATGTGGTGTGAATGTGTGTGATTAGTTTATCGGTGTATGCGTTTAGTGCAATGTTGTATGTGAGTTAGTGGCGAGTGTCGTTCTGTGTGTGCGTGTGGTACGTGTAACACTGTATGGCATTAGTGAGTGTAACTTGGCCGGTGTGTGTGTTGTGTGTCCACGCAGCCTCGTTACCCGACGAACAGGACAAGGGCTCGCTCTTGAGCCTGGCAGAGGATGTGCTCACGTTCTGCGTGAAGTCGCGCGGTGTGCGCTACGAGGCGGGATCCGGTCTCGTGCACCTCCTCGGGCCGCTGCTCACACTCAACATGACGCGTGCGCACACATACGGCTGCCTGTATGCACTGCACACGAAGTACACCCCCAGGTAAGTTGCACGCCGCTTACACGCACGCTCAGATGAGCCCCACGTGGGCATCTTCTGCAGTTGAATTGAAGATGCCCAGAGCAGCAGCAGCAGCAGCCCATCGTGAAAGCTTTACAGAAGAAATGTGGGCCCTGTAAGAAAACATCACAAATTACTTCTGTAGTTACTTTCATAGCATTACATTTTCCACGCATTTTACAGGCCCTGCAGAGACTGTTAATTTGCATGGAAGTAAAATGACGCTATTTAATAATTGAGAGTTGGAATAAGCGAAATGTAACTAAAAATTTGGCGGTTTTTTGTGCAGTCACTGGTGATGAAACTTTGAACATAAAATCGCTTTACTTGAGATCCCAGTTTAATCATGGGTTCAAATTTAGTTATGGGTGACTCGCCACCCACATTCTAACCCTAGGTCTCTGATGTGCCAGCTTGGCGAACTGGCATCGTATACGTCCCCTCAAGCACCTGGTCATTTACCAACAGTCTGCTTCTGACCATGAACATGTTGTGCGATGTCCAGGGATGGCATACAGGCTGTGCACGCACTGCGGCTGCTGCTCCAGTACCACGAGCCACGGCTCTGCTCCTTTCTGGAGACAAAGAAGATTTCACCCGATGCCTTCGCACGCACATGGGTGCGTGCGTGCACGTGCATCGCGTTAACACACACCGCTTGCTCGCACGCAAACAGAAAACATCTCATTCACTGAAAAACAATTGCACACTTTTAAACATACACACAGCCTACGTAAATACAGATTCCTGTAGATTCATAATGCACATTTAACTTTAAAAAGGCATTTGTGTGTGTCTGTGTTTCTTTTGTTGGGCTTGGTATATTTTACATGTGTATAAATCTATTCTAGTGAAGTATATAGATGCATTCTTTTTAATCGGTGTGTGTGGCAGTATGTGTTTCTATTTGTGGGAGCAGTAGTGTAGCGGTTAGCCGGCTGCGCTACAAATCTGGCGACCTGCGTTCGTTTAACGCTCACGGCCAACACCAGTGAAGATTATCTGAACTGGTCCTAGGCCTCCCCTAGGTCGACTCAGCCTCAGTTGAGTACCTGGTGCGATGTTTAAACATCTCCACAAGGGGTCAAAGGCTGTCGGGTGTGGTGCTGGCCATCCACCCCCTCGTGTATCGTGCCGGCCTTCATAGGTGCTCGCTAACAGCACTTGCCCCAACAGTCTGTTAAGGCTATATGGGGGATCTTTGTTTCTGTTTGGGTCATATTCCTGTGTTTTACGATGTGTCATGTGTCCACATGTGTGCTTGTATGGATGCAGCTGGACAGCTTGTTTGCCAGCATATTCACGGTTCCTGTTGCTATAACGATGTGGGACATGATCCTGCAGCTCAACGACCCCTTCCTCGTGTTCTTCCTCATTCTCGTCATTCTCGTCAATGCCAAGTACGTGCAGCGCGCACAAATCGCGGCACATTTGACACGGGAAGAGAACACGTGAGATGCAGAATTAATGTACGGTGCACGTAAGCGACGACCCATTGCTCATTTCCTTTCGGTGAGTCTTGAGACTTGCTAGGAAGAATTGATAAGCGTTTCTCTCGAGTGAATGTTGGAAAAAAACATTTCACTGAATACACTACCAAGGATGTCTGTGACATTGTTTGCAATGATAACCAAGTCCTTGAGGAATTAATGTATGCTTTATGTCATGTGACACACACGTGGAAATTCCATGCATACAACTTATAGGCAACTCTGACACCCTGATTTGAATGTTGGTCTGGACTTGGGAAATATTCTTGACTCCATGGGGTTTTAGAATCTCAGAATTTTATGAAATTCTAGTTGGACTATTGCATTGTGTATGCATGTATATCACGTATGTCACAATGAAGTACGTGTGTGCTTGACATAAGCCTTTATCACTTGTTTTCATTGCTTGTTGGTATTTTGTCCACTACATCGTAAGCACTGCTGAAGTGTAGTCCTGTTTTTTCCAGACTAAAAGACTTTACTTTCTCTTACCGTTTCCTCTACCCATAACCTGATCCTGCTTAAACGCTAAAGTCGCTCAATCCCTACTTGGCCCCATAATGTCTCGGTGTGAATAATCCCCATGGTATGTGGAATTCCCCAAACAACACTGCTGTACAATATCTCTCAGCATTATGTCAGAGATGTGTGACCTTGGTTTAAAAATAAAAACAACTCTATACTCTCGTCAGTATATGGTATAGATACTCGCTCGCCCTCAGAACCTCCGATGCTGTCAGCCAGTTTGTTCCGCTGCTTCCCACTGTTATGGACGTGTTAAGTTGAAATTGCATTTAGCTTATTTATAAATGCAAATTATACGTTTGAAATTATACATTTCATATGCGAGTGACGGCTTGCAGAGCTGTGTGGGTTTAGTGTCATACTGTTATAGTGTTGTGCTCATGTAAACTCTACTCACCGTGTAGCGTGATGGCGAGTGTAATGCATGACGATTGTATGAGATTACGCTTGATTGTTGGCCGTGCATACGCGTGGCAATTAGTGTTTGAGCTTTTGCCTGGACATTCCTTAGGGCAACTCAGCCGAAGATAAGCACCCTGGCAAGATTACACGAAACAACAGCTCAAGAGTGAAAATGACCCTTAATTTGCGGTCAAAATATAAGGGGATGTTATTTCGCGAAAGATGCTTTATGAAACCCAGCCCTTGTGTGGCAGTGTGTTAACTTTAGCGTTGGGGAAAGAGACAGGGGATTTGTCCCAGACATGCCAGCCTCCTACATATATGCTGTTTTTCGTCCTGAATAGATTATTGCTAACAGCACGTGCCTTACCTCATGAATCTGTTCAAACTATGAGGAGAATCTTTGTATACAATAGTATGTATTTTTTAGTTAGTACTATACAGAGCCTTAGTACAACACATACATGGGTACCTTCACTCAGCGTCAATACTAGTCATAATTGGTACATGTATCGGTATTAGGCTTGCCACCACGCCAACAGTAGATGCTTATAGTAAGTGTTTATTTTATAGATTACAGTATGAAATAGATCAGCTGATGTGGTCGGCACTTATATGCTAATGGTGAATAGATAAACGCAAATGAATGTTTGTGACGCTAATCCAATGTGGTTTGTTTTGGTATTAATAGGGACTCTGACAGCTCTGATGTCAGCAGGATAACAAGGAGATATTTGTTTTGCAGGGAGAGTGTTCTAGCTCTTCAGGATGGAAGCCGAGAAGATATATTAGGTGAGCTTTGCATGCATATAGTTCACAAACTAATTTATTGCCTGCAGTATTGATTCACTGTTAATCAGTGCCAGCATCTCAGGTTTTTTAAAATCTTGATGCACTCAAAATTGAGTTCCATATGGTGAATGCTTACTGTTCTGAAGTTAAGTTGACGAATCCGAATATTATTCGGGAATGGTTGGCTTGATTAGAATAATTCACGAGACACCCCTATACTGTGGGTGGAGAAGTGAAGCCTTCTTTATGGGATTCTCCTGTGTGTGCTTTTATACTGTATTTACCCCATGCTGTGTATGTCTCCCTAACTTTCTTTCTGCCCACGCCCCCTGTTTCCATAATCCCTACATGCTCCACTCCCTGTGTTGCCGTGTGGAGCAATGACATTTGTGCTTCGTGCCCCACCACGTCTCCTTGTCTCCCTGCAGCACTACTCCAACAGGCTCCGTGTGGTTTGCAGGAGGATGATATTGAGGACTTCTGCTCCCTGGCACAGTACTACATTTCACGCACACCCGTCTCCTTCCGCAAGGTGTGTCTATCGGGAGGGGTGCTTTGGAATTTGTGCGTTTGTGTACTGTGCCCCTTGCACACTTATCCGCTGCTCCAATTTGAGTGTATAGGGCACTGCGGTGGCGGGATGTTATCTCCCTCGCCTAGTATGCAGGAAGTTATTGGTTCGATCCTGACCCTGACGCCTTTTTTGTTTGGAGTTTGCATGTTTTTTCCCGTGGTCGCGTGGTTTTTTCCTTCAGGTCCTCCGTTTTTTTTTCCCTCCACGTTTATAAACGTGCGTTTAAGAGTATTTGGCTGCTCTAAATGTCCACATGATGAGCCACTTTGTTGAGCTATCATCTGTGGCCACGTCGCTTATGAAAAAGAGCTGTATAGCTCAGTGGTCCTTACCGCTAAGATAAAAATAAAATATGAGGGTGTGGTGTTTGTGCAGCAGGGCGGTGACATGGCCCAGTGGTGAGTTAACGTCATGTTCGTGGCGTGTTGCACGATGCGCAGGAGTTCCAGGCTGTGTTTGGGGGATCGCTGGTAGCGGTGAGGGCTGCAGTAGGAGGAGGAGCCTCGCAGACCCTGTGCCTCCCAGTGAGCGCCTCCGAAATCCTCAACTCCAGCGCGCACACCAATGGGGTAATGCGCGGCACATCAAGAGTACCGCGTAGGCCAGAGTTTTTTTTTTTACCGAATTCGAAAGAAATGTCTCTTTTTGTTATTTTGGTTTCCGACCCCTGGCCTAGGCACTGCACACTTATTTTCACCACTCGAGTTCCCATACACAAACATCACCGTGGGCAACTCGCTCTCAGCCAGTGGTTAAAAATTTCACAACACAGTGTCATCATCACCTGCACAATACTTCATCATCATCAGCTACGATCAATCCACTGCTCGATGAAGGCCTCCCCCAGCTGTTGTCATCTCACCATCTTGCGATGCAAAAATTCATCTCGCAACTGTGTACCAGCTGATTTCATCGGCCCATCTCCACGGTGGACGCCCTTTTGAGCATGTTGCTACTTTTGCCTGCCACTCCGCCCTTAGTCCCGACCACCATCCATCCTCTCTTCTCGTGACGTGTCTCGTCCCCTTGCTCATTTTTTCTTTTAGCTGTCAATATGATGTCTCTAACATGCGTCGGTACAGTACATGGTGTGCTGCATGTAGCATGTGGTGTGCTACGCCATGCGTGAGTGTGGTCGGTGTTTGTTGACGGTTCAAGCGGTGTTTCGGTGTGTCATTGCAGGAGGGTGTACGGTTCTTTGTGGTTGACTGCCGGCCTGCTGAGCAGTATAATGCAGCACACTTGTCCACCGCCTTCCACCTCGACCCGCACTTGGTGGGTACATCGGATCGCGCAGTCGATGTGTTAGTGGCTGTGTAGTGTGTGCACAGTGGCAATTTACGGATAAACATCACTAGTGTAATGATGCTGTAACCTGGGCAGGTGCGCTGTGGGACAGGATGTAATTCACAATAAAGGAGTTGTTGGGTTAATTCCCAGTTGATTCTGATAAAGCTGGTTCCACTTTGTTGGAATCCAACATTAGGTTGTCCGATTGAGATACTACTCTCGACAATGGGAATATGGAATTTCCACCACTGGCTCTGAACTGCCAATAACTATTGCCTCATTGGTTTATGCATGTTTGTCACCCATCCAAGCTCGATTCAAGCTCATCCCTGCTTCGCTTCCAAGATCTGATGAGATCGTGCACATTCTGGGCGATTTGGTCATAGGCAGTGGCGGTTAGTGTTGGCCTCATGCTCGTAAATCTCTGGCGCGACTGCGCGTGACATCGTTTCACGCTCGCCTGGTGGGATGTCACGGCATGTGACGGGGCGCAGATGCTGCAGAACCCGTCCGAATTCGCCGTGTCCGTGCGGGCGCTGCTGGAGGCCCAGGCGGTCGCCATGGCAACAGGCTCGGTCGCTGGGGGCGAGCACTTGTGTTTCATGGGGTCCGGTAACCATGGAGACGACGACGAGATGTACCTGCACATGGTGCTTGCTCACTTCCTCCAGGTGAGTCCACGAGTGTTGGAGGTGTTGTGTGTGCGTGATGTTTCTGGTGTGGTTGAGTGTGTGGTTTGGGGAGTTGAGTATTGTAAGTGTGTGTAGCTTGGAGTATCGTGCAGTGTCTTTCAACTTGAGTGGTGCGTATTGTGGTTGTGTACAGAGGTAGAGGCGTAACGATTCACCCCATATGAGCATCAATGAATTGCCACGATTGATGGTCACGATTTGATTATTTTTCTAAATGATCGTGGTGAAAAATAGCAGCTGTAAGGTGTCATATTGAACCTCTTATGTAAAACATGCGAATAGAAAAATATTGATTCTTAAAAAAACATGATGAGATGCTACATCGCTTAAGAATCGGTATAAATCGATGCATCATTATAGCTCTCGTAAATGGGCAGAGTGTGTGGTTTGGCATATTTTTTTTGGTGTGGGATGTTTTGTTTGGGGTGGTGCATGTTCTGTATATATATGGGTTACGGCTTGTGGTTCAGAGTCGTGTGCGTGGGTGTTGGTTTTAGGGTGGTATGACATGGCTTTCTATGAATAGTATTTGCCACGGTGTAAAATGTATTGTGTACATTATGGAATGTGTGGTTTTTGTCGTATTGTGTACAGTGCGGGGCATGCAGTGCGTGTGAGTTTCTGAGTTGTGCATGTGTTAGGTGTACAGAGTGGTATGTGGGGGCGTGTATGGGGCACTAAGGTGGTATGTTTGGTGATGTATGTGGTAAGGGGTGTTGTTTGGTTCAAGGTGTTGAGTTGGGTGGTGAATACAGTGTGGTGTACGGTGTGTTTTTTTGTGAGTGATTTGTATGAATTAGAAGGATGGAGTGGGTGTATATGGGGATTTCTTGGAGTTATACGGTTTGGTGTGTACGTTTTGGTGTCGTGTGTATAATGTGTGGTTTGGCGTCTTGAGCGTTACATGGTATTGTCTGTGTTGTTTAAGATGTGGGGGCGTCGTGTGTGTGTTTTAGAGTGGTGCACGGGATCACGGTGTGCGGTTAACGTGTGCGGTAGTGTTTATAGAGGAACGCGTGAGGCGGGTGTGTGAATGTATGTTGCCGTCTGCTTTTTATGTTGTTGCAGAAACACAAGGAGTATGTCAGCATAGCACGTGGAGGATTCAGGGGTGAGCTCACGCAAAAAATCGGCCTGCAGCACCTCAAAAATAGAGCGCGCAAATAGGCACGCCAAACTAAACTCACAACATGAAATACAGGGACATCTTAACATATACGACACGTCTTGTACGTCATTTATTTACATTGCACCACGGAATATACCACACAGTGCGAAGTAAAAATGCTTTGCGTGATCAAGGCTGAAGGATTCGTCCGTTTTGCACACGGTTGGGATTTTTATTTAAAGCTGTTGCGAAATGTGATTGAGCAAAACAACTTAAATTAAGAAAAATATTCTGCTCTTTTTTTGGTTTCATTCTGTTCTTTTTGGGCTCAGTAGTTTCTAGCAGCCTAAAATATATATTAACTTGATATACATCATTTTATAAGAATAGGTTTTACCCTTTTAACTGGCACAAAAACTGACACCTTTATTCAAGGCATCATGTTTGCAATAACCACAACACAAGCAGTCAAAATGCAAACAAAAAAGACAACTCTGATAATAATATCCACTGTCCTTGAATTTGATTGGTCCACACCCGAGACAGCTTTTCTTAGAGCCTGGTCTCCAACATCCAACATTATTTCCTGTTGACTTTGTTTTTTGCATGATACATGGGGTGTGATTTTGGTTTGTGAAGTGGCGTTCACTGTGTGGATTGGTTTGGTGTGGTCCGTGAGATGCGTGATTTTAGTTGCCCATGCAAAAGAGTCAGTGCTGCTTCACGCCCCTCAACTGATGGGTTGCATCTCCTGTGTCATTACGGGGATACTCACTGTGGTTTGCTGTGTACGTTGACGCATACACGATGTGCAGCCGTGCAGCAGTATCTGGCGGACGTGCAGGTGGATGCGGATGAGAACCCCTACCAGGAGTGGATAACGAGCACGGGGCCTTCCAACCAGCATCCCTCCACGGTGCACACCTCGCTACACTGCAGCACGTTACAGGGCGCTACAGGACATGACAGGGCACTACAGGGCTTTACAGTGCACTATAGTGCACTACATCACACTACAGGATACTACAGGGCACTACAGCGCACCAGATGTGTGGGTGACACAGGCTTATCAGTATCCACAGATCCCACCGATCCTTCCGGCCACCCTGGGGGTGACCTGGGGTGGCTGGAAGAACATACTGAGTCAACTGCACATGGGAAACAAGGAGGAAGTGTTTGGAGAATAGGCCTCATGTTGAACATTGTGTGTGTTTTTTTATAACCCTGTCCTGGGTCCTGTTTTTAGTGGGTTGTTTCCAAGTCCCTGTGTTTTCGCAGTGTCCACATGCTGTACATCTGCTGTTCTAACTGTGCTTCTCACCTACCTTGTCTCTCATCGGCATCCTCTTGTTTTTGTTGTTGTTGCAAACCCTTGTTTCGTACTCTGTCCTCATTCTTTTTTGTTTGTCCCACATCCCTTCATCCCTTTGCTGTATCCTATGCGCCCGCTGCCCTTGCCTCCGTGTTCTCTTGCACGCCCCGCTCCGACTCCTTGTCCAACCAGGATGCAGGAGAGGCACCAGGGGTTTTGTCTCTGGTCACAAAGATGACGTCGGCGCTGCGCAGCAAGTCTGCCCAGGTGAGGGAGCGCGTCGTGGGTCTCATGGAGAACTCCGGCTCCCCGGGGGACAGGTGGGACACGGGGCACGGGACACGGGGGGTGGAGACAATTGCATGCTACAGGGGGGCACGGGGCAAAGGCGGTTGACAAATACAGGGAACGTGGGGGGGGCATTGAGGCACCATGGGCTACGTGGCACAAGGCATGATGGGGTTTTTGAGAAATGCAGATTATGGTGGGTATTTGCTATTTTGGTGTATACTAGGTGGCGGGTGAGATGTGGGAGGCAGGTGTTCAGGAGGACAGGTGGACAACAAGGATCTTGGGTGTACAGGTCATATGTCATCAGAACATCTGAAAGGTTCCTCGGGATAGGGGGCCATTTGGCTGATCTAGCTCGTTGAGCCAGGAAAGCACAAACAAGCTGGGAGGCAGCCCGAAACCGGTGCCAAGCCAGAAGCTGGTGCCACCTGGCGGACAAGTGAGCACAGGCCATGGAGGGAAGAGGGCAGAGATCGATAAATGGGAATATAATGTGGATATGGAATACAGTGGACATGTGGTATAAGAAACGCCGAGTTTGGTGGTGACATGGACAGGTTGGGCATGGAAAACTCGAAGCATAGAATACAGGGCAGGTTGGGCATAGACAACACCGATCAAAGAGAGAGTGCGATGCAGAGGCATGGACGCACGATAGCCACTCGGATGTGGGAAACAGGTGGCGCAAATGCAGCACGAGACAGTGGGGACATGAGGGCAGTTGGGGTTTGATGCACGTCCACAGGTGAACACAGACCAGTGGGGAGTTAGAATATAAGTACAGGTCATCTGACCTTCCTCTAAAATATACGATGTGGCCATGGGCTTCCAACTAGTTTTAACAATAACAAGATGTCGTGTGCTTATTGTTTGTGTTGCAATGTGTCGGTGTGGGATGCTGCTTTGGTGATATAATTTGCCAATGCGGAGATGGTGGTTTTGGTGTAGTTTGCTGGTGTGGTATGGTTATTCTTGCCCTATTGTTGGTGGTCCGTGATGATGCAGGCCAGGGTATGGCCGGCCGTACCGTGGAGTCAAACCTGTGTTCAGCATCGCCGACGAAGAGGAGTGTGAGAGTGGTACGTGGTGAACACAGATTCCCATGCGTGGCACACGGGAAAACGTAAAGCTGGGATCGGGGTTCCCTTACAGTCCTATTTCTGTTGAGTCGTACTGTGGCAAAATAGTCAAATCGCAATCCTCAGCATATCTCTGGCACTTGGCTTTCGGCCAATAACACTCAACCATAAGATACCCAGCTGTCTGGTTTTGCGAGCCTTCGACGTTAACAATGAACATGAATCATAGAGGGTGGCAGTCTTGACTGAACTTTATGCATGAACACTCATAACAGTTGTTTGTTTTCTAGTTTGGTTTCCGTGAGACTCGCATTCCCATTGAACATTAACAGCGTATGGCTCGCACGCGTGCTTTACGTGCATTGGCACGCGTATGCGACCGCTGCGTTGGTGCAGACGAGATGGAGGAGGGGGTGGTGTCGGACGATGAGCGGAGGGAGGTCGTGAGTCTGCAGACCTGGCTGTCCAAGCCTGATGTCAAGCACCACTTCCCCTGCACCGAGATCCGCGACAACGGACGCACATACGCATGGTGCAGACGCTTGCTTGCTCGCTCACTCACTTGGTCACTCATTTTCCCGCACCTCTCATAAGCACGGTTGGCTACGTACGGTGCGAAATAAATTAAACGTACATACATACGCTCTCTCCCATGCACACGGTGACAGCTGCTACTACTGTTTTCCCATATAATGCGGGTCATGGTGGATTATGGAACATACTTCACGTTGATCGGTCCGGGTTGGTGAACGAGGTTATAGAAAGCATAGAAGTATAGTACAAGGTTTTATTTTGCTACATTTTCCTATTACAGCCCACTACGTAGCCCACTAAGCCCTATAACAACCTCTTAGTGCACGGTAGTCACCCATCCAAGTACCGGACATCTGTGAAAAATATATTTTATAGCTCATTGGATTCCTCCAGTATAAATAAATATTCTGATACGAACTGGGCTCAGCCCAACTTAGCTTCTGAGATCTCACGAGAACGGACACAGGTTTGTTCATAGTCTGATTATGATCATCCTGCATTAATCTATACGCACATTATAAGTTAACACGCCTATTGTCAGTTTATATGAACCATCTTCGTGATCACCGTCAGCTGCTTTCCCCATCTCCCCTCTGGTTTTTTTCTATATTCATCCCTCTCGCTTGCAAAAATGTACAAAAAAAACCCCTCGTCTCTCCAAAGCCACCCAAAGATTTACCACGTCCCCCTATTTGTTAAGGAGTGTGTTTAGACCACGACGTTTCGATCGCAACACACAAGCAATCGTCTTCAGGTGAGAGCTCACCTGAAGACGATTGCTCTCACCTGAAGACGATTGCTTGTGTGTTGCGATCGAAACGTCGTGATCTATTATTTTCTATTTACGTGACTTGACCGTAAGACCCATAGAGTATGAATTCCTGCTTTCGTGAAAGCTTTAAATTACGTGTTTAGACCTTTAAATCACGTGTTTAGACACTTTGTAAATATTTGTTAAGGAGTGTGTTTAGACCACGACGTTTCGATCGCAACACACAAGCAATCGTCTTCAGGTGAGAGCTCACCTGAAGACGATTGCTCTCACCTGAAGACGATTGCTTGTGTGTTGCGATCGAAACGTCGTGATCTATTATTTTCTATTTACGTGACTTGACCGTAAGACCCATAGAGTATGAATTCCTGCTTTCGTGAAAGCTTTAAATCACGTGTTTAGACACTTTGTAAATCCACAGTGTGTTGCTTTGTATTTGGTTGTCACTGCAAGTCTCTAGCAGGCCTGATTCAAGTCCATGGTGGGGTAGTGAAGCACGTGTGACTGGCTGCAGCATGTAGTGTGTATTCAGGTAAATGGTTGCCCCAAGATTTATTTTCATAGGTTTGTAAATTTGAGCTTCAAAGCCATTCGCAGTTCTTAGCGAGTGGTAACAGTTTTTTTTTATTCCTGCGGTGAGAGCCAGTCGTTCCATAATGGGACCACCATTCACTTCCCTTGAAAGTGGCCAGTCCTACACCACAATTTTGTACTCCTATCACCCAGTCACGTACACAACTGTTATTTCATTGAGCACGATGATGGCAGGGTAGGTGTCGGAGTTAGGGGATGTGAACAATCACTGGGTAAAACAAGGGCCCCGCTGTGACCACAGCTGAACGATTCTGACTCTCTTTAACGCGCCACTCGCAAACCCTCGCTCACCAAACCGCGTCTGTGACCGCTTGCCCCGTTTCCGACGTCCGCAGTCATCTGCTGGTGACCGCCACGCACCTGTACGGCCTTCGGGAGTTGGGAAGCCGGGGCGGTGGCGGGGCCGATGGCGCGTGCATCGTGTCACGCCGGGCCCTTAGCTCCGTGCTCAAGATCACGTCCAAGAAGAGGCGGCCTGAGCTCATCACCTTCAAGTTCGGCGTCGCCGATGGCAACAACCTCACGCTGCACGCCACCGACAGGTGAGGCTCTCCGGGGGGACGGCTCGCGCCTGCGATCGGCACTGAAGCTAAAACAAACTTTATTTTACCAGGTAAGGCCCACTGAGCTATATAGCTCTTTTTCAGAAGCGACCTGGCCAAGTGGCTTACCATGTGAAAATGTATAGCAGCCAAATACTCTAAACGCATGTTTTCTAATTGCGGAGGGAAAAACCGGAGGCCCCTTAAAAAAATCCACACGACCGCAGGGAGAACATGCATATTCCAAATATACAACAGGCGTCAAGGTTGAGGTCTAGCCCACGACCTGTATACCAGGCGAGGTCGTTAACATCTCGCCACCATAGCGGTAACACACGAGCGTGACGCACACGGAACATTGTACACGGGATAACGCACACTGGAGATGATACGTGTAGGTCTTTATACAACCGGCAAAGTGGTCTTGTGTATAGCTGGAAGAAGAATCTTCCGCTGCTATTTGTCCATATTGGGCTTGAGCCACAACTGTCCTTTCACGTGCTCGCACCTTCACATGAAACCATTCAGAATGTGAAATTGGCTTTGAAAGCCACAAAGTGGCATTGTTCCCAAAGTTGAGGCGTCGCAGAGTGCACGTGTCCTGGCGCCCCCCACCCCCCCCCCTGCATCCCGAGCGCCCGCGAGTCCTTACACGTCAACGTGTGTGTTCCCGTCTTCTCACGTGTAGCCCTTTCTGTGTCCCGTTGCAGGTACCTTATCCCTAATGCCGGCGAAGCCACCAAACTCGTGAAGCAACAGATAATGAGGGTCCTGGACGCACTGGAGACTTAACCGCGGATTCTCGCGCACACATCCACGTGTGCCACCTCGCACTTGCGCCGCACACTGGCACGTGTGTGAGTAAGCACACTTCACTAAGCACACACACGCGCACTCCATTCATTCACACATACTTTGCAGCCCCCGCAGATGCCTGCACTTTCAATCGCCGAGGAACCTTGGAAGGCCAGAGACCTGCCACTCTTTTGCACAAAATGCCTGGGGAGGCAATCTCAGCAGCAAGCTGTGTAGCCGTTAATAAACGCTTCGGGAGGGTGATAAAGGCCCAGGAAATGTAAGCAACTCTCAGGGGGGCACTCGTAAGGATGAGCCACACCCCAGGAACAATCAGAAATGCAATAGGTCATGGTTTGTCTCCCTATTCAAATGAGCAACGGGGTAGCACTCTTCTCAATTGGCAGCCCCAAACTGGCGGTGGAAAGTCCACATTTCCATGGAGGGGACCAGTGACCTTGGTACAAAGGACCACTGTTGACGTCCCACAAAGTGGGTGTCAAAAGTGGCTTGCGTCAACTGAAAAGGAATGATGGGCCGAGAGAACTCTCCCCCCTCCCTCAACCTGAGATGTAAACTTGCAGCCTTCCCATTGTGCTCTAAGCAACGAATACTACCCAGCTAGATTCAACATGCAGTTTCCACAGCTGAAATTAACATAGCCTAAAAATGCAGTGGTACTTCATGCTTCCGAGTGTGGAACTCGTCGTAAGCTGCTGAGCCACTCCAGGGGGCGGAAATGATGGGGAAGCCTTGTCACCTCATCAGAGGCTCTATAAAATTATAGTGAATCAATGTGTGCTCCGAATAAGCATTAGTAAGTGCAAGGAAGCAATGGGATGCAATGTTACTATTTCAGGAACAACAGTCATCAGAATCGGAATCGTTTCTAGACGAGAAGAAATTCATCTTCTTGGTTCTTTCGGTAAAGTCACGTAGAAGGGAAATAATAAAATAATAAAATTTTAATTCATCCGATTAGCCTATGAAGCTCCCTTTTCACAGAGGACCACTAAAAAAAATGGCATGGCGTGCACTTGGAATGGTGGGGAATCATGTTCTACATTGAGGAAAAGGTTCATCTGTTCACGTCACATCCTTCACAACACGCAGTTTACTTTCATTCCTTATTTAACCAGGTGACAGCACGGTGAGATGCATCTAATTTAGCGAGGGAGCCTTGGGAGACTTATATTTGTGTCAAAGTGAAATTGTCTCCCTGGACAAAAATAACAATGATGAGGTGGCTATCAACTCTGTTGGTTGCACCGAGCAATTGATGGGAATTCCGCTTTTTCCACAGTTAAGGGCCAGTCTCCCATTGGATGGTTGCTGTTTAATTTAGGATGGATTCTACAGATCAAGCCAACCGCCAACTTGGGTTTGAACTTGCGATTGCGAGTCGCGTATTCTAACCACGACACCACCTGGCATATAACGTATTTATAGGGGTGCATATATTTTGTTTACATTAAATTGTGGGTACTTTGCAGACGTGGGAATCGGGCTATGATAAACCAGCACACAATGCGCTTTTCTTCTGAAAGTTATCGCAGGGTTCTTTTAACAAGTATGTTTTATTGGTATACAGCACTCCCTTTAACCTCCACGCACGCAGAAATTTCCTCCCAGCAACAGGACATTAATGTGGCCTCCGCGTCACCTTTTTTGAAGCACGCATGTGCACTCCGTACTGTACACATTGCATCCACGCACATGTAAGATATACCCTCTTAATTTTATACCCCTGATGATACGGTCAATAAAGTACGTGCACACAAGCAACATGTACGTGTGGCACGCTTACTAGATGTTAATGGATTTAATGTATCAATTTGTTTTGCAAAATACTGTATACCATTGTCATTTGATTCCGTGTATCTTCCCACTACCGGCATCGACACCATGTCTCTTTGTTATCAGCGTCATTGCTGTTGCTTTATTTCCTTTTGTCTTCATCATCATCAAGCACATTGTGACACCTTCCATCACCAGTGCATACACATTCTCTTGCCTGTCTTGTGTGTTATCGTGGTTGCAATTAATAAGCCAGATGCAATAAAACATTATTCCTTGAATGTGCAAGCGCCTGGTCCCTTTGTGCAGCCTTGCCTAAGGATACGGTGGAGAATTGTGGCCGAGTGGGCAAACTTGTAACACTTTTTTTATTCTTAGCATTGTGCTCCCGTTTACCCTGGGAAAGCTTCACTTGAGTCTCTGTGACTGTTCAGGAGGGGGCCCTGCAACGTTTTTTTTGTTGACAGTCTATGACAATGGTTGCGATGCATAGTTCCAAATTAATGTATGTATCATGAACTTCTTTCTCGCCATACGTAGCCAACTGTGCTAATTGGAGTTGCAAATATATAGGGCATATATTTTTTGGACTATGATGCCGGCAAAAAACGGCCTACTCTTGAGAATTATGTCACGGGCTCTTTAACGTCCACTGTGAAGCAGACGAGCGAGTACTTTATGGTTAATGCACCGGCAAAATTAATCGGGGCGGCCGCTAGATTCGAACTTTGAACCTCTGCAACAAACGGTGAATGCCCTCCCGCTGGGCCGTGTCGCCACCCTTGTGGAGTCTGGCCCAGTGTGCTGTCGGTGGACGCATACATTGGAGCCGAGTGGACTTTACCTGTGGGCGGTACGAGAGTTAACACTTGTGGTGGAAACTTTAAAATGCTTGCGCCAGGAGCTCCAGATAGCTTCAGATATCCGATTTGAATCCGGGTCCTGCTGGTATCTGGTAATTTCCTTCACTTGAATGCAAGTATTTATCAATATAGGTGCGATAGTTATAATTCGTGTTCTTCAAATTCGGTAAATGAAATTGATAATTTCACAGGACACGATCTCAGGCATCTTGCTTTGAGTGTAGCTATCGTGGTGTGGGGAGGTGCGGAAGAGTTGGTCATGGGAGGATTCTGTTGCATCATACTTCACCTCGCTGGTCATTGCGGGTTGGTGAAGCGGCGACCCAGGACCAGTTCAGGTATCAGGACATCTGTGAGAAAGAGCTACGTAACTCATCGGATTCCTCCGATATAAATAAACATTCTGATTCTAATATCACTCGCCACTGATGTCAGCCGTGGCAGGGAACCGGTCCTGCACCTTTTGTCCCTGCAGCAATGACCCCGTGGAAAACGAATTTGATCCATGGACAATATCACAAGTGGCTCAAGTGGCTGTCAGTGCAGTGAACTGAATGCCACTCGTCCTATTTGTTAAGCAGCTTAACGAGTCGGTCAAGTTCACGCGAGTCGTGGGCCGGTACACGACGTCACGAGGTGGAGGTGAAGTAGCTTCAATAGAAAGAGGGTCGAGTGAGAATTGACTGAGATGGTTCGGGCACGTGGCCAGGTAGGAAGACTGTTGTGAGAAAGAGATTGCAGAAGATGGCAAAATTGAAGGAAAGCTGAGAAGGAGAGTGACGTGGTCGCGTCAATGGCGAAACGGGAGAGATTTCGATAGGTCACGGTGGAGATTGTGAAGAGAGATTTCGAGAAAGGAGTCGGAAAACGGAACCCGCTTATTTGGGACAAACGCTCGGAAGAGGATGTGACTGGAAAAATTGGCCGGCAGACAATGGGAAGTCGTGCCGGTTTCACTTCCGACATGACGATATTTTCGCAAAAAGGGAAATGGCAGTTGCCATGGGCTGCACGATGAATATATTCCATATCGGGACTTCTAAATCTCCACGTCGACCACTGCACATTCATATACACACCTGGCAGTGCTGAAGTGTAAATATCGCCACGTTTGATTGTAAACATCGTTCGCATCGATAGTTGTGCGATACAATATTGATCATGATTCTGGGGTTAGAAAGCTCAACACTGGAACCTTACAAAATGCATTTACCCCCCCTCCCCCTCTGCTGAGTGGGCGAGAAGGAATCCAGGGCAAATATAAATATCTTTCAAAATTGAAACGTGGCCTCAAAACTCACCTGACACCTCACAACTAAGCTGCGAGATAGGGGCGATGAAATTCAGTACAATAAGTGCGCTTTTTAAATGCATTTAAAAAATTCTTATTTGGGCATACGTTCCGCATGATCAAATATTCTACGAACGGCAAACCATTGTTCCCTTTTACCAGAAGACCGGTCTGAATTGTACGAATTGTTTTGTTATTCGGCCAAAAAGCCCTCAATTTCCTTCCTTGCAGTCATTTATTTTATTCATATTCGTGCTCCAGAATGTCTCGTGGCACCAGCTGAGGGGAAATTGAGCCACGGGGAAACTCAGCCACCACACAACTTTTAGATATGACACAAACTCAGCCACCACACAACTTTTAGATATGACACAAACTCAGCCACCACACAACTTTTAGATATGACACAAACTCAGCCACCACACAACTTTTAGATATGACACAAACTCAGCCACCACACAACTTTTAGATATGACACAAACCCATGAAGCATTTGCCCATAGAGCACTGCGGGTGAAAGTCAATACCGACAGAACTCCATTCCGTGTGTCATAAGTCGAATCCGAGATAGTGTTTTTTTACCCATAACGCTGCACTGGCAAGGCATCCTGAGTTTGCGTTGAAAGGGGTCACATGTTCTAAACGAAGTGCTCTTGTCAATAACATCAGCAACATTTGTTTCGGTCCAGAGGTCTGCTGCTTGCCGAAACACGTTGCTTGATAATGTTGATCTACCGGACATTTGTGAAAAAATAGCTTTATAGCTCATCGGATTCCCCCAGTTTGTCAACATTTTGATTATGATGCTGGTATGGAGAGAAAAAAAACTGGCTGATGGACTAAAGCATTGTTGTACAGTATTTTTTAGTGGAGACATCGGAGTAGAGTTCTGCTCATATTCGCTTCCAGATACTGTTTCTAAGGTTAATAACAATGAGGGGATTGCAATAACAATTAGAGCAAGATTGTTGGCTGAAGTTACATTTACATTCTGATTGGAGTTCGCTACGCATTCATGGTTGTAACTGACCCTGGTGCTGCGTTTCTTTATGTCTGTATGTTGAACTTCTCTCGCACCGTACGTAGCCAACCGTGCTAATCAGAGGAACCGGGTAAGGGTAACAATCTTAACATAAAAATATGTTCTAAAGAAATCAGTTTTCAATTATGATTTAAAAGTGCATGACTCCAGTGGCTACCTAATGTCGGAAGGAAGAGCGTTCCAGACGGCCGCAGAAGTACATCACGTTCAGTATCTCCAAGTCTTATTAAAAGTTGAATTAGTACTATTTGGTTCTTTCGGTAAAGTCACGTAGGTGAAAAAAATATATTAAAAAATAATCAAATCAAACTGAAAATAACTAAATTAAATCACGACGTTTCGGAAGCAACACAAGCTTCCGTCATCAGGTGGGGAAAAATGCCCACTACAGTAAAACTTTTATTGGCCGTGGTTGTCCCACCTGATGACGGAAGCTTGTGTTGCTTCCGAAACGTCGTCATTTAATTTAGGTATTTTCAGTTTTATTTTATTAATTTTTATTTTATTTTATTTTCACCGACGTGACTTTACCGAAAGAACCAAAGAGTATGGATCCTTGCAGTCACGAAAACTTCAAATCTATAATTAGTTGAATTAGTCTTGTAGGTATTGACGGGGGTCTTGTAGACGCCAATAATTATTTACGCGTGATTTGAGTTTGTGGAACACCACGGTCAACAAACTGGATGGACGAAGGGAAATATTTTCTTATCGAACCCAGACAGACAATATCCGTCCACTGTTCGCCTTTTGGCGTCCTCTGGTCGAACACTGTTTGAGACGAGGCTCTAAAGCAGGGGTGGGGAACGTCCGGCCCGCGGGCCGTATGAGGCTCGCGAAATAATTTGGTCTCTGGCCCTGCCAAGGCAACCGCAGGCGGGACTCGAAATTCAATAAATCTAGGAGAGCAAAGCTGGAAAAGCAGTTGCGAGTAGCAACATCATCAATACCGGCTAACATCACACGCAACACCAAAGAGAAGCAGTTCCAGCCATCGCATTAGGGGTGAGTTAATTAAATGTTTGACCAAATATAACGGGCTAATTTTTAAGTTGATGATTTTGTATGGCCCGCGAATGATGTTATAAATATCCATATGGTCCTTGGCAGAAAAAAAGGTTCCCCGTCCCTGCTCTAAAGGAAGCTGTCTCTGGTGTGGACCAATCAGTTTCAAAGACAATGCATCATATACGACAAGATAATGTTTTTGTTTGCATGTCCACCACAAGTTCGTGTGGTTAATGCAGACATTATTCCTGGCAAAAGGTTTCTGTTTGGTGTTTTTACATTTTTACACAATTGTTGTTTTAGTGCCACAAAGGGTAAAACCTATTCTTATAATGTCCATCCTATTGTAGTAACACTACTATTAACGTGAATCCTTTATCACGGGAAGGTCTCACGAGATCTCAAGGCGAAGGAGGTGGCGATGCTGCCGTGACGTCAGATTTGGCACGATTCGATTTCCCGGTGCGGCACTTGAAACAATGGGGCAGGTTCGTGAAATGCCCCCACCACCTCCCCTGTCCAACCCCAGCAGTATAAATGGGCACACGGGCAGGTGGTCGATGGGTAGATGGCGTGTGGTGGGGTAAAGTGTGGGTAACTCCCACCTCTTCCATGCTCGGAGTAGGTCAAATACCCTCTCGAATGGCTCTTAAGACGAGAGCCTTCCCATCCCCCCGAGCGATGTGCTGGAGAGGAGTTCTCTACACTGCCAGGGGTCCCCAACTCCCGTGCCGCGGACCGGTACCGGTCCGTGGCCTGTTAGGAACCGGGCCGCACAGCAGGATGTGAGCGGTGGACGAGCGAGCGAAGCTTCGTCATCATCTGTATTGACAGATGATGATGAAGCTTCATCATCTGTATCAACAGCCGCTCTCCATCGCTCGCATTGCCGTCTGAGCTCCGCCTCCTGTCCGATCAGAGGCGGCATGAGATTCTCCTAGGAGCGCGAACCCGACTGCAGACTGCGCATGCGAGGGGTCTGGGGTTGCGCGCTCCTGATGAGAAGTCAGAATCCGACACTTATTTTAGTCCGCGCTTGGCCCGCCCGTTATTTTATTATTTACCACTTCCATCCGCGCCTCTTTCCCGCACAGCGCACTTGTCTCAGTCACAATTTTTGGTAAGCCCACAAGCTAACCCCGAGTAGCCAAAATGAGTAAAAAAAAACTTCGCTGGAGAGTTTCTTTGAAAAAATTGCCTTCCACGAAATCGGTCCCTGGTGCCAAAAAGGTTGGGGCCCGCTGCTCTACAGAGTTCCCATCCCGTGCAGGGCCACTTCCGCCACCTCCGACGCGCCAGAGGGATTTCAGGGCGTGCACCTGGACCCGCGAAGCTCTGCTGTTCCGTCGATTCGTTTCACACAAAGCGTTATCTCGCTGTGCGGGATGGAGAGTGGATCACTCAAGCGGAGGCAACGGAACACGCATACACAAGTCAGCGCCGCACGCGTCGCTCACGAAACCTACGTTGCGTGTACTTATCTAAATCCTGCCTTGCCTGGCACGTGTTCAGATCGCAAATGTTGTGGCTTGGCTCTCCAACGCGCCGGTGTGCTGTGCTAGTGACGAATTGGCCACGTTCTGTTTACGTGACAACCCTTACTAGTTGGCTGTGTCGGGTGGTGGCGGGTTTTAACGACACATTTATATATTTACGCGATATAACCCCCCCCCCCCCCAAAAAAAACCCCGTCAATTATGGATGATATTGGTCGCGAAAACCCACTGCGTGTTAAACCGGCACGTGCTGTTGGCCAGTCCTGGCACCGGCATTTCATATCGATGACGAGAATGGAATTCGAGCAGCACCCGCCTTACAACCCACCCGCAGGTTACAGAGCGCGCCCATCGCCACCCCAATCGCCACCACCGCCAACCAGCACGATTACCCCACGCCTTCCTTCCTCGCGGAAGCCCTCCAGCGGGGATTTCCGGAGCGCACCGATGCCACCGACAAGACGGAGAGACGCGGCTGACATCACGCCGCCTGCTGCGTTTCTGCGCCTCCCCCTCCCTCACCACCTCCTCCTGCCTCCTCCTCCTCCACCGGGGCAAACCGCTCCTCATCTTGGAGCGCCACCTCATTGCGAGTTCACCTCCAGCTCAGCCAGGCACGCCGCGGTCGATCCTCTCTTCTCTACGATGGGCGCAAGAAGTCAGCCGTGCCACGCTCGCTGCTGCTGCTGCCGCTGCGGCCACCTCCGTCTGCTGTTGCTGCTGTTGCTCGTGTCCGGTTGCGCCGCTGGTGATGCCGCTGACCGTGTAACGCCATCGTCGTCGTCGTCAACAGCAGCAGCAGGGGAGACGATGCATGCAGGTGGGACACCAACGCGACACTTCCTTGAGATCTCGTGAGACCTTTCCGCGATGAAGGAATTCGTGTTAATAGTAGTATTGCTACATTAGGATGGGCGTTATAAGAATGCTGTTAGCCTTTCTGGCAATAAAACAGGCGTAAAGATGTTAAAACACCAAGTCTCCATTAACCACACAACTCGCTGTGAAGTTGAAGCTCTGTTGAACTTACGCGAGTTGCCTACCCAAGAGAGTCCCTGGCAATGATTTGATTTATTTTTTAATTGGTTATGCCTCAAAAGTATAGACAATGGCTATTATTATTCCCCATAAACTTTGCTTTTGTGACCAGGACTTTATGTGAAGGAATGACGCAAACGCACACCACGTGTTCTCATTGAAAATAGGTACATTTCAACATATCACTGCCCTGGTCACAAAAGCAAAGTTTGTAGGGGAAAAATAGCCATTTTCTATACTTTTGAGGCATAAGCAATTAGAAAATAACACTTACTACCCAGGAACACAAAAAACTTTTTTTTGTTGCACAATGTTCTCAGTCGCGGGCGATGCCGATGCAATGTGTAGTCCAAATTGAGAAGTGTACATTTTCAGGTCCGTACTTTATCACCATTGGAATGTTATCGGTAAATGCCACTTGTGCTGTGTGGAATATTTGGTTGTTTTCGCTGTGGGAGAAAACCAGAACCCGGAGGAAACAGTTACAGAACAGGGGGAGAACAGACACACACACAGGAAGGTTGCCGCGTTGCGAATCGAACCCGGGTCCCTCCCGCTGTGAGACACAAGTGTCAGCACTGCCCATAGATATCGTTATTTAATTTGTGGGATGAACGCGGATTTCACACCGTGGGTGATGATGCTGCGTGCTTGCCCCAAATGTCCTTGAATTTAAATCCGGGATTTGTTATTGCTGTGTGTGTGTGCATGTTGGGTGGGTGTGGAGCTGTGGCGCAATGGTTAGCGCAGTGCGCTGTTGCATCCGGCGAACTGCGTTCGTTTCTCGGCTGCGACTAACGTCAGTGGCAAGTTATATCTGAATCGATCTTAGACTTATCTCTTCGCCAACACGTACTGAACTGGCCAACGTGGTGAAGCATGGTCAAACCAAAAACGGCATGGCTTCATCCAGCAGTAGATTGGCAACGGACTTTGAAGTTCATTTAAAGTGGTGGTGGGGGGGGGGGTAGGAGGGAAGCGGGGAGACACGGGGGGGTGGGGGGCACCGGGGGTCCAACTCAGCAAATCATTTGTCCGGGGTCGATTAAGCAGTGCCACTTGGCGTAAAGGCAGCAGTGATGTAATTCGACGCTCAAGAATGAAAAGCGACGAGTGAACGCGTTGCGGAGTGAACGCGTTGCGCATTGCGTTCACTCCTCGCTGGGATTTCCCCGCGTCACCTGGGGTTTACCTGGACAAACTATTTTTGGTAGAGCACGTGTGTGTGTGGTATGTGGGGTGTGTGTGTGTGTGCGGGTGTGTGTGTCCGGGTGTGTGTGTCCGGGTGTGTGTGTGTGCGGGTGTGTGGGGTGTGTGTGTGTGTGCGGGTGTGTGTGTCCGGGTGTGTGTGTGCGGGTGTGTGTGTGTGTGTCCTGGTGTGTGTGTGGGGTGTGTGTGTGCGGGTGTGTGTGTCCGGGTGTGTGTGTGCGGGTGTGTGGGGCGCGTGTGTGGGGTGTGTGTGTGGGGTGTGTGTGTGGGGTGTGTGTGTGGGGTGTGTGTGGGTGTGTGTGTGCACATAGCCTGGCACAAGCGTCGTGGTGACGTCACCGCCACTTAGTGGTGAATGGCGGTTGTTGTTGTGTGTCCTGGTGTGTGTGTGGGATGTGTGTGTGCGGGTGTGTGTGTCCGGGTGTGTGTGCGGGTGTGTGGGTGTGCGGGTGTGTGGGTGTGCGGGTGTGTGGGTGTATGTTCGATGCTCGCTCACGGCCAACATCGGTGACGATTATCTGAACCGGTCCTGGGCCTCCCCTAGATCGACTCAGCCTTAAACGAGTACCTGGTGGGATCTTTGTCTCTGTTCGGCAGCAGCGGGGAGCGGTGACGCAGTAGTTTGTGGCGCACTTTCAACAACCGAGGCCGGAGTGTCGATTAACCGGCAAAGGCTTTTCCGCCAGCGACGAGTAACATCTGAAATCTGTTCTCGTGCCTATCAATCCCTTATCAGCGCCCTAACTTATTACAGACCAATTCAAAACTTATTGGTCACCCCGTGCCCTTATACATCTCAACGTTCATCCTACAAAGTCCCATCACAAAGGATAAACACAAACAAATAAAAACATTATCTTTGCCCGTATTGAAACGGCTGTACGCCGTGTGGATCTGACAACTCAATTTCTCTGAACAAAAATACGGGGTAAACCGTACGGGTTGACAGGGTATGGGTTGCCAGGGTATGGTTGACAAGGGTATGGGTTGACAAGGGTATGGGTTGACAGGGTTTGGGTTGACAGGGTATGGGTTGACAGGGCTATGGGTTTGACAGGGTACGGGTTGACAGGTATGGTGTTCTGGAATTCCACTAGGTTGACCCAGCCTTAATACATCCGTGTCCCTCGTGCGGGTGTGTGTAAGCGAGACAAAGGCGGACCTGGCCCTTTACGTGCCGTGCCGACCTAAATACATCCACCTCAACCCAGACGGTTTACCCGTATTCATGTGCAGGGAAATTGAGTACAAAATAAATTATATTTGCAGGATAAAAGTTGATATTTATAAGGGCATGCACGGGGTGATACACAATTTCCGTAATAAGGTAAGCACTGATAAGGGGTTGACAGGTATGTTAATAGTTGCTCGCAAACAACCAGCGAGACATTCTATGTAGCCTGCGCAGGGGGATCTTAGTCTCTCTGCTACCCGGGATGGACTTGTCCCGTGGCTCGGTGTTCATTGTTCATTCACCCGCCTGGCAAGGCACTTCGCTCTTCAGAGTTTAGAAGACTGCGCATCCTATTAGCACGGCTGGCTACGTACGGTGCGAAAGAAGTTCCACGTACACACGCAGACTGAACATTCTCATCTGCGGTGGTTAGTTGTGCACTGGCGCTACGAACCTATCCGATATCTGAGCAACGAGCCCTGCGTCGAATCGGGGTGACACACGTGCATGGGGGGGCGGGGGAACGCGGGTACAACTCAGCAGATCATTTGTCCGGGGTCGATAAATCAGTACTACTTGGCGTAAAGGCAGCAGTGATGTAATTCGATGCTCAGAATCAAAAGTGACCGCCCCCTGCGTTGCATTCACTCCTCGCTGGGATTTCCCCGCGTCACCTGGGGTTTACCTGGACGGACTATTTACGGTAGAGCACGTGTGTGTGGGTGTGTGTGCGGGTGTGTGTGCGGGTGTGTGTGCGGGTGTCTGTGTGTGTGCGGGTGTATGTGTGGGTGTAAGTAACCTGCAGCGCCACACCTATTACCATCATTAGGGGAAAAAATGGTGTTCCAATCTCCGACCCCCCAGGAACAGGTTTGCAGATTTGCTGAGCATTTCTGTGAGGTCCTTGGGGAGGGGAAACCCCTCAGCCAGGAAAACATCGTGGCACAAAGTGGGGATAACCCTGCTGAGGCTGCGGTGCCTCAAATATTGGAAGAAGTCACCCCCTGTGAGTGGCTGGCTGAGGTGCCATCTGTTGAGGAAGTACTGAAGGCGATCCGGAGTCTGAGACCAGGAAAGGCACCGGGCAGAGATGATCTCCCAAGCGAATGCTGAGGGAGGGTGGCGTTTGTGCACAGACTGCCCTATATGACATCATAACAACAGTCTGGACCACTGGACGGGTTCCGCAGGATTGGAAGGATGCCCTGGTGGTCCCCCTCTTTAAGAAGGGGGACCGCACAGACTGTAACAACTACAGGGGCATCTCACTCCTCAGTGTGCCGGGAAAGGTCCTGGCAAGGATTATTCAACATCGCCTTGCCAGGCACGCTGAGGAGAGGCTTGCGGAGCCCCAATGCGGTTTCAGGAAAGGGCGGTCCTGCACAGATGCCATGTTATCTGTCCGTCTGCTACAGCAGAAGTGTAGGGAGTTCCAGCAATACCTACATCTCTGCTTTATTGACCTGGTCAAGGCCTTTGATACCATCAGTAGGCCTGGGCTCTGGGTTGTTCTTCGTGCTTTTGGAGTACCTGACCCTCTGCTCATGATCATTAAGGACCTTCATGATGGTGAGCGGGCCCGGGTAAAACTACGTGGCCGGGAGTCAGAGCCATTCCCTGTACACCTTGGGGTGCGACAGGGATGTCCTCTGGCTCCCACATTATTTAACATCTATTTTGACCACGTAGTTCGTGGAGCCTTCAATAGCTGTACCGGGGGAATCTCCATTTAGTACAGATATAATGGGAGGCTGAACGATGCCCGGGTGCGGTCAAGAGATGGCTCCTTATTGCTCAACCACGTTATGTATGCCGATTATTTGGTAATAGCTGCTCATTCAGAGGAGGAGTTGGAGACGCTGCTGCTGAGACTGGAGCGTGCCACTAAGAGATGGGGCCTTACCATTAGCCCCACCAAAACTAAGCACCTGCCTGGGTATTTTGTACCATCGGACACTCCACCCCCACAACTCCCAATCGGTGATGGGGCAGTTGTGGAGAGAGTGGAGAGTTTCCCATACCTGGGCAGTGTGCTTATGACCGGCTCCAGTTTAACAGCAGAGGTCTCACTCCGAATCAGTCGAGTGGCAATATATTTTCATCGGTTGTGTAAAGCTGTGTGGAAGCTACCTGGTCTTTCGCTCCGCACTAAGCTTCAGGTCTTCTCGGCCACGGTCATTCCCTCCCTTCTCTACGTTTGCGAAACGTGGACCCCCCTAATGGAGCATCCGATTGGAAACATTTAGCCCGGCCTGCCTACGATCCATCCTGGGTTTAACCAGGCTGGATTGTGTGAGGAGCTCACAAATCCTTGAAAGATCTGGGCAAATCCCATCGGTGAGCTCCTCCGGCAGGCAAGGCTGCGTTGGCTGGGTCATGTAGCCCGCATGCCCAGTCACCGCATGCCTAAACAGCTTTTGTTCGGCCAGATAGAGGGGGCTAAACGGGCGCGCCACGGGCTAGAGAGGCGATGGAGTGATGTGGTACAGGAGGACGTGGAGCTGAGTGGACTTGCCAATGACTGGTACCAGCGGTGTCAAGATCAGCCTCTGTGGAGGAGGCTCGTGAAAGACGCTGCTGGGCAGTTGGAGGCAGTCGCCCTCCAACAACAACGGAGGGCGGAGGAGCGACGCTCAGAACAACGAGCGGAGCGCCGGGTTGGTTAAAGCACAGCAGGTTGGCACAGTAGGGGCACAGGTGGTGCATCAGCCAGTCATCTCAGTCATCTCAGTCAGTCGACCCGTGGCACCTGGGTCTGCCCCGTGACCTCCTGCCAGCGGGCGTTCGACACTTCACGTGGCCTCAAGGTGCACATGGCCTGGCACAAGCATCGTGGTGACGTCACCGCCACTTAGTGGCGAATGGCGGTTGTTATTGTTGCTGCTTATTAGTAGGAGACCTTGCCTTGGTAAGTCCACTCGGACCATCCGTGTTCAATACGATCATCAGCAGTCGAGATACACTGAGCGAAGTTCAGAGGTCAGAGCAACTTCATGAAGCTGGCACCACAGAGATTCTGCGTTTACATCTGAACGATCGCCAGCGGTTAAAACTCGTTTTTAAAGTACAGGGGAGTTGCATGTTCCCAGCCCGGACTGGTCATCAATGTCTTTTCACGCGAACGATTAATGTACCACTTAAAATGTGTGTCCTCCAGATGATTTGGCGACGTGCAATCCAGCTCTGAGAGTCACAGTAAAAGGAAGTGAAATTGACTGTGGGAAATATTCTTTGGGTCTTTCGGTAAAGTCACGTAGATAGGTTCAAAGAAAATAACCTATCTACGTGACTTTTCCGAAACACCCAAAGAATATTCATTCCTGCAGTCACGAAAGGTTTAAGTCAAGATTTGACTGTGGGAAAGTGCTGCCACCTAGTGTGTGTGTGTGATTATATTATCCAACAGCTGCTGTCTGTCGTCTGAGCTCTAGAATATACATAGTCAGTCCTCGGCTTACGAACATAATTCGTTCCCGGGGGGGGGGCGTTCGTAAGTCGAGCGGTTCGTAAGTTGGAACACACCAATGTACTTTATTTAAATGTCCATACGGTCAGCGTTATGAAATGTGTTACGGTTCAACAAAAAAGGGAAGCATGGTTAAAAAAAACCTCATGAATAATAAGAAATATTTTACTTTTGCATATAACACCGTTTAAAAAATGCTGCATCGTAAATAAAACATAAAAGAAAGTAGCATAAATAGAAAGGCATCAGCTGAACTATATTTATACTCTTTGGTTATTTCGGTAAAAGCCACGTAGGTAGAAAAATAATAGATCACGATGTTTCGGTCGCAACACAAGCAATCGTCATCAGGTGGGACAACCACCACGTAATATTGCTTTTTTCTTGCTGTTTTTCAGCAGTTTTTTCTTGCCGTGGTTGTCCCACCTGATGACGATTGCTTATGTTGCGACCGTAACATCGTGATCTATTATTTTTCTACCTACGTGACTTTACCAAAAGCACCAAAGAGCATGGATTCCTGCAGTCACGAAAGCTTCAAATCAAGATTGAACTCTATTTGTTGCGAATGTTCACTTTCTTGCCCTTATAGAAGTGCAAGTTAACTCCCCGCACCCCACGCTCTTATTTTTTTTGGGACACCAAACGGCCACAATTCTGTTTCAAGATGTTTCTGCCAAACAACCCGGGTGGTTACCCCACAGTGGTCTGGCGCGTCTCGGTTCACGTTCCGTCAACGCGAGCGAAGAATCGCGGCCGCTGGCGTACGGACAGATTGATGGACAGACAGATGTAGAATTGTAATTTCCATTACCTTCATGATGTTCAATGAAAGCATAAAATGCGGTGGTGGTGGTGGTGACGATGGTGATGATGATGCTAAACGTACAACAGTGACGGAAGGTGTTGGGTGTCGACGGTTTATTTGGTGATGATTTTTCTGATTGTTTCCACGGCGGTGATGATTTTTGTGTTAGCAGCGTCGACGTAAAACATGGGCGAAGTTGATAGTGGCGCAGGTGCTGGAATTAGAATTAAAGTTGCTATTTTGTGTCTTTTCCACAGTTCATCCAAGCTCCGAGGAGATGCAACACAAGTGTGGTTTCACACTTGAAGGAATCAGTGGTAAGTGCAACGAACTCACCTCCGCATGGCCAACTGTAGTGCTTATTCACTCTGATGTTTCTACTATTTACTATTTTGCCAGGGCAAGGCCCACCGAGCTACACAGCTCTTTTTAAGCAGCGACCTGGCCAAGTGGCTTATCAAGTGGAAAAATACTCAAAATGCATGTCGATTCTAAATGTGGAGAAAAATCCACGTGACCATGGGGAGAACACGCAAACCCCAAATATGCAGCCATCGTCAGGGTCGGGATCGAACCCATGACCTCCTGTATACCAGGTAAGGTATTTAACGTCTCGTTCACCACAGTACCGCGGAGGTCCAGCAACCCTCGTCAACACTTTTGAACAGGCTGTAGATGATAACAATATCGTGTGATCCTGTAGGATGCCTTAAAGGAGGTTGGCCAGGTGGCTCAAAGGTGAGAGCACCCAGCTGAGATCCTGGGTTCGGATGAGTGAGGCTATCCTTGGTTAAACCAACTCGATGGTCTAAACCTCGTCACCAATGGCTGCACACAAAAAAACACCACGTAATATTGTATGTTGAACTTCTTTCGCACCGTACGTAGCCAACCTTGCTAACCGGAGGTGCGTGGGGTGGGGGGAGGGAAGGACAACAAAGGAAATAGTTTTCAAATTAGATTTCGAGTTTTCAACATTGAATTTGGTTTCAATTGATCTGGCTGAATTCCAGCTCTGAGATTTAAAGAATACCGGCGGGGATCGTCACGCATCACAAAACTCACAGCAGAGCGCTCGTGAACGTGCGGCCCGTTCCATGTGAAAGGGCGAAAGACCGCTTGAAGGAACTCTACAGAGGAGTCCTCTGCAGGAAAAATCCCCTCCACAGCCGTCTCTCGCTGCGGAACTTTGCGAGATTTCTGAATGGATTCTTCGACCCGTGGCCACGATAATCGATGAGCAAAATTGGGATACATTTGGCGGTGGGGAAAACACGCCGCATAAAAAGGGAAATTAATGGATTAAGAGGAAGACACGACTCGTACAACAATGGCGTGCTGTTACGTGCAGTTATAAAAACAATATTGACTCGCAGCGCTGTTGCGGTTGCACATTTATCTCGGAAGAAAAAGTGGTGAATTCACCTCTCAAATCCCAGCTCCGAGCCATAGGTTGGCGCAGTGCTTCCCCGTCCACTTTAGCGGACTCTACAGGGCAGCGGTGCACAACCAGCGGAGGAGCGCTTCGTGACTGATGTTGTTTGTGAGTTTTGAGTGTCATGAACGTCGTTATTAAAATTATTTGAATATTTGACCTCAATCACTGTTCTTTTTTTTTCAGAGTGCAGAGACAATAGATGCAGAGAAGCCTCGACGACGTGTTTAAACATCGACAATCCAGCAGGTGGGGTATGACACCACCGCATCGAAGTGTGTCGTAGCCATGCTCGCTTCGGCGCACGGAAAGCCACGTCACACCGCGTTACACCGCACATCACAATCCACACTGCCACCACACTGCCGAACTCCTGACAAGCCACACCAGTCTAAAGCACACCATAGCACTCGTGAGAAGCTGCGCCACAACACAACGCATGGGCAATTCTGCACCCGCAGCCCAACATTCTGAGGGTAACACGAAAACTCACCGAGCCTGATCATCGTTATGTATCTCAAAGTCACGCGGATTCGGAAGGAATGAAAATTATTCAAATAATTGAGTTGCAGAGCTACATCGCAGCCGCGGTAACCAAACCCTGAAGGTGGTGAATTTAAACCCAGGAAAAATGGAAATGCTGTCCTATAACTTATCGACTGCAATGTCTGTAAACTATTAAAGATTTTTTTTAAATCTTACCAGGTAAGGCCCACTGAGCTATATAGCTCTTTTTTAGAAGCGACCTGGCCACAAATGATAGCTCAACGAAGTGGCTTATCACGTGGAAATTGACCACGGCCAAATACTCTAAATGCATGTCGATTCTAATGGGGAGACCGTGCAAGTTCGAAATATACCTCCTGAATACCAGGCGAGGTAGTTAACATCTCCTCGCCACCGTGGCGCCGAATGCGAGTCTGACGCCATCGGTCAGATTCGCATTGCTCCAGGTGGTGTTGTCGAGTTGCGTTTGGCACTCCTGCACGCACCCGCGCCTCGTCTCGCCTGCGACGTCTGTGATTGGCCGTGGGGCCTGCAGAGAGAGAGAGAGCTCTCATGCGGAGGCTGTAGGCCGCACGCCGTCGATTCGCTACAGCCGGCCAGGGTCTTCGTCGTGGAAGTGACTGGCGGATCACAACGACGCGAGCGGGCATCACGAGCGGCGACGGTTGCCATCATCGACGTTGGATTTCAGTTGGGTTTGTGGAGGGATAAAGGCGCGGCCCTCAAGTTGCTTGCTCTCTCCACTGCTGGCGGAAGGGTCTATGCTAAAGGGTGCTCTGCGGAGCCCCTCCGAAGAGCACTTGGCCTATTCTTCCACGCTGGTCAAATGTCATGGAAGAGGTGGGAGTATCCACACTTCACCCCACTGCACGCAACCTATCGGTCGACTAACTGGGGTGCACCGATTTATACTGCTGGGTTAATAGAGTGGATCAGAGAGACTTGCTCCCTGTTTCAAGAATTACTTTTTTCTTGATGAGAACAATTTGCAGCCCTTTTTGACAATCCTCTGCGGGATGAAGGCCTTCCCATACCCTATCCTCCCATGGCAGTTCATCATGCTTCATCAAGCAAGTCAGAACGGGTTGGTGAGGTGACCTGTTCGGATATCGCTTGCCACTCTGATGTTAGCCGTGGCCCGGGAATCAAACTCAGGATGCTGTGTTGAAAGTGTAGTATCGCTTCCCCCACACCAGTAGATTTCGTTGAAATCTGTAAATTGCTTTTGGTTGCTTGCTGAGCTCTTTAATCCCTTGGGAATCTGAATTGTGCCAAAATGCCGGATTGCGCCCTGAATCTAAATTGCGCTTTGCATTTGTCCCAGTGTCTGGCTTGTGATCGGGCGGCACTGCGGGTAGGGAGCGCTCGCCTCGCGATGAGAAGGTTGCTAAGTTCTAATCCCAGATATGGGTCAACTCAGAAAATCAGTCTTCCAGGGACGGGGTCTGTAAACAAGACTACCACATTGTTATAGATTTGTAGCTCTGTCATTTCTTGACTTAAAGCTTTCGTGACTGCAGGAATTCACATTCTTTGGGTCTTTCGGTAAAGTCACGTCGATAGGTTCAAAGGAAACGACAAAAAAATGACAAAAAGCTACGACGTTTCGATCACAACACAAGCGACCGTCATCATGAGGATCGCTCGTGTTGTGACGACCGCTTGTGTTGTGATCGAAACGTCGTAGTTTTTGTAAAAATTGTTTTAACCCATCTACGTGACTTTACCGAAAGACCCAAAGAATAAGCTCTGTCATTTTTTTCAGAACCGCTTGTGTTGTGTTTAGTTTGTTCCCCCCCCCCCCCCCACGCACCTCCGATGAGCATGGTTGGCTACGTACGGTGTGAAAGAAATTCAACGTACGCACACACCGCCCATAGACTAACACTGCCCATAGACTCAACACTCCACCCCCGATTGATACGGTTGGCTACGTACGGTGCGAAAGAAGTTCAGCGTACACACGTACACACGTAGCAAGCGAACGGTGGCTGTCCTTTGATGGCCGGGCAGTGGTGGGGCAACGCCAGTAATCCCGCACTGCGGAGGCGCCGAGGGTCGGTGTATCCACAACACAGCGCTTGTCAAACTCCCTTTCCCGTGGGCCTCGAGGTGCGATACCCTGGCTTGCCAGGAGAAGGCAGCACAGGATGTGTGAGCCTGACCTCCCTGTGTCCCATCTGTACGGGGATGGAGTGCTTCCCTCTCGCGCGCGTGGGTTTCTTCCTCCAGCTTTGCCTCGGGTTGTCCGCCCGCTTACAGTATACATCGATGCTCACGCATTGGTTGAAACCATCGGAATCGAAATGTTTGCGGATTTGCGCGGCGTTGCAGAAACGACGTTAAATAAAAGCTACATTTTAACGATCGTTGTTATTATTATTATTACTTAGCACCGATGGCTCAGAGCTGCCAATTGAGTTGTGAGCGCCCGTCCCTCCGCCGATTTGATCAGGGGGGACACTTCACGTGACTGAAGGCCGGTTGGTCACGCCCGTTAAAAATTCCTCGGTTTTCCCCAGCGATCCTCCCCGTACACCCACGCCTCCCCCCCCACCCCCGCCTCCCGCGGCACCCTGGCCTGCGTCCTCTTTCCACGATGACTCCGACCCGAGTTCTCTGTTCCTCTTTCAGCGTGCGTTGTGGAGAGGTGTGAGCAGGCGTTGGCGGAGTGCGAGCGCCCGCTCAACGCCAATCTGAGTGCTGAGGCAGGTAATGTGCACGGCTGCTTCAATACTTTTTTTTGCGCGTGCTTCTGTACTCGCGCGTGTGCCGCTGTGCGCACCACCACGGCCGGGCGTGGTGCTGGCCACCCTGATTTAAAGTTATTTTTTTATTTTACCAGGTAAGGCCCACTGAGCCTACATAGCTCTTTTTCAGATGCGACCGAGCCACACATGATAGCTGAACCTAGAGGCTTATCATCATATGGAAAATTATAGCAGCCACATACTCTAAACGCATGTTTCAAAATGTGGAGGGAAAAAGCGGAGGACCCGGAGAAACATCCATGTGACCACGAGGAGAACATGCAAACTCCAAATATACAGGCATCAGGCCCGGGATCGAACCCACGACCTCATGTATACCAGGCGAGGGAGTTAACATCTCGCTACTCACCCCCTCGTGTGCCGTGCCAGCTTTCATAGACGCTCCTTCCTTACAGCACTGTCCCAACATTCTGTCAAGGATATACGGGGGATCTTTGTCTTAGTTGTCCATTGAGTGAATATATGGTCAGGTGGCATATAATTGACCATTCTTTTGGGGTTGATACATTGAATACCACTTCCTGGGAAGAAGCCAGCAGTGGTTGTCATATGGTGAGACAGCCCGGGCTAGCCTCATTCATCACTTAACGCGGATGTTAGCCATGGCCTAGAATCCAACTCTGGTTGCCAGCTTCATAGCACAGTGTACGAACCACTAGCACCTCTGTTCCAACCATTTCCTGTGATAAGGCAGCCTTCATTTTAAGCACTGTGGTGATTATGTATATATATAAAAAAAAACCCGAAAGTGCTCGTAAACTTTTGTGCCTGTCCTTAACAATGCTTGATTCCTGAATTGATGTTTTCAGCCCTCAAGGATTGCATCCAAGTCCTCTTCTGCTCCCATAATCCCCCGCTGCCACCCCCCTCCCCCCCCCATGTGCAGTGTGTGAAAGGGATGGCTTTGCAAAAGTCACCACAAACTGCATAACTGAAGTTTCCAAAAGCAAAGACACATTTTCCCGTGAGTACCCAAGATGCCTCTCTGAGCCACTACCTTTGAGGCCCTGGATTCCAGGCACGAAGTGTGTGTGGCGACCCTTTTTTCTTGCTGAGTTGCAGGGCCTTGGATCTTGTGTTTAAGGTCAGCTGTAGACCATGGTTTCCAAAACTGCAGTCTTAACATCACGTAACATTCCAACTTGCGGCTGTCCGCACTTTGTTTCCTCACACTTTTCAGCTGTTGCTCCATTTTCCTTGTCAGTGCCCACCTTTATTATGTATATGTCATCATTATCAGCAGCAGCAGCAGCCATGATCAACCCCCTGCTGGATGAAGGCGTCGTAGCCTCGTATACTTCGACTCGATCAAAGAAATGTTCTCGATGCTCACATACGACAGTGGTGCTCTCTGTTCCCGGCCACCCTGTCTCTTAACCCTACGGCGGGCTCACAGCACCCACGATTACAAATGCTTCCCCATGTGCCGCTACCGTGTGCAGACTGCAAAACCAAGGGCTACCTGCAAGTGCGGCGCAGGTGCTTCTCTTCCACATGGAGGAAGCTGGTGCAGCAAGCTGGTGAGTGCCTCCCTCACCACACACCGAAGCGCACGACCGATGGAACCTGTGACAGACTGTTGGGGCAAGTGCCGCTCGTGAGCACCTACTAGGGCCGTGGCCAGCACCACGGCCGGACGCCGTTGTCTCCCAAGCGCTGATGTGTACACGCCGCATCACGTACTCATTTGGGGACGAGTCGACTTAGCGGAGGTCCAGCACTGGTGCCAGATATCACTGGCCTCTGATGTTAGCCGTGGACCAGGAATTGAACTCAGATGAGTAGGTTTTGCAGTGCTTTGACCACTGCGCTGCCTTGCGCCCCACACACGCACAAAATCACAAGCGCGCGCGCGAGCGCACGCAACACGCAACACGCAAATTGTATTACAGGACACACTGACACACACGCGCACAGAGACAAGAGGCCCTGTATAGCCTTAGCAGACTGTTGGGGCAAGTGCTGTTAGCGAGGACCTACACAAGGGGGTGGGTGGCCAGCACCAGGGCCGGTTCAGATATAATCGTCACTGGTGTTGTTCGTGAGCAGGAATCAAACTCGGTGTCGCCAGGTTCGTAGCGCGGCGCGCTAACCGCTACACTACCGCTCCCCACGCACGCACGCACGCACACACATTCACACACCCACGACCAACTCACAAGCCTCTCGGCGGCACGTACAGACACACAGATCTACCAAGGAATTATTTCACCACTGTTGCACATGATGCTGCCATGGTGCCTGTGCCAAGCCTGATTCACATCGAGGCCGCGTGGGGTAATTAATGTTCGCTAGCAGGAAGGCCGCGGGGACGTGTTGACTTGTGGCTCCAATCAGAGGAGGCATCAATCTCCACCTCGGACGACGCAGGAATAGGACCGGCCACCGCTGCATTGCAAGTCCAGTGTGCAACGCCAGCTCCTTAATCGATGAGTTCAGTTGTTAAATCTGTGAGTTCAATCATCTAAAACAGATATCCACAGCGGTGCCGGAATGATGAGATCAGCCCGCGCGCATGTTCTAGGTGGATTGTTACATCAAAGGACCATGCGAGGTGAAGACAAATTGGAAAGGCCTTCATCCAGCAGTGGATTTATCATTTCTGCTGCTCATACATTGGCAGACTAACCCTGGAATTTTGGTTGGAGGCGATGATCCTGTGGTGGTGGTCGATGCTCATGTTCCACGTGTTCATTGCCTCTGCGATGCCGTCGCTGCTGTATTTCAGCCACAGAGAGGACGGGTGCCATGAACTTCACCGACGACTTCTTTGGTGAGTGACCTGGAAGCCTCCGCCCAACACCAAGAGGCCCCAGCACACACCCACACATCCACAAGTGCCGATAGACGTTAACGCGCCGAGAGAAAGCCACGCTCACTCGCGTATTGCCATTATTATAACGGTTTAACACGTCGGCTTTCAGGACCAATATTATCCATATGTAACGACTGTGATGACGATGTAATGAGAGCCACTCTCTCGGGACACAGCCACAATACGGGACCCTAGGCTTTGTTCCTTCTTCAGCTTGTAACTTCCTTCGAACATCGCCACTCCGCATGCTCTCCCCTATTATACTCCTCGAGCTCCCTTTCCGGAACCTTCTGCAATTGTTTTTTCCTTAGCCAATCCCTGTCCTTCCCCTCCAACGGATCCCCTCTATTTTCCGCTTAATCCCGTTCGAATATTATTCCTCCAATCCCTTTAAAAGTCTGCCTCCCGACCAATCACCGTGGAGGCCCCTTTCTATCACTTGGAGACCTTTGTTTAACTTCGAATATCCATTAAGCTGCATATTGGCTTGGGGTTGTTTTTCGGTCATTACATATAATAGAGGTTTTTATGGGTTAGGTTTCGTGAATATAAATGCGTCAGTAAACCCGCCGAATTTACCGGCGAAACGTCGTATTCCAATTGTAAATGTTGTGGGTTTACTCTCCAACACACCGGTGTGCTGATCTAGTGACCTAATTGGCATGTTTTGTTTACGTGACAAACCATACAAATCAGCCGTGTGGGGTGGTTGCGGGAACGACACGTTTTTATTTACGCGATCTAACCCAAAAAAAACACTTATGGACATTATTGTACCGCTTGCTTACCCAGGAGTCCTTTTTTTGCAGGGCCCTGCCAGGTTTTCGCAGTAGAGGTAGCGATGATTGCTACGTATATTCCAATTGAGCACTTTGAGGGTGATATTTTGAAGCCCACACACACACCTACACCCACCTGCGTGCAAGCACAAACACACGCACACTTACGTCCTATGTGTACCAGACATGTGTCACTGGACATAAAAATAATAACTTCAACTTGTAATGCACCATACAGCATTCGCTCACTCTTGAAAAAAGAGAGGGAGAAAGTGACCCAGCGGTACGAGGAGGAACCACGGACGAACTGGAAGGCAGCAGTCACTGTCAAATTCCCCACACCCACCCTCCCAAGCTCTGCTATCCTTTATATATTAAGATGTTATCGGGCGGGCTTAAGGAAAATAAAAATATAGAAAAAGAATATGTTGTATAGCACTTACCGATGATCCAAGATTCACCTTTTAAAAATGTTCAGGGCAAACTAATTTTGGAAGTGGTCAATGCTACACATTGCATATAATGAAAACGTCATTTAACAAATACAATATATGTTATTGGGCAATTAATGAGTGTTTATACACGTGGGAGGAAACCGGATCACCCGGAGAAAATCACCCACGTGAGCACCTTTAACATAACGAGGTCTAAAATAAATTACTCTTTGGTTCTTTCGGTAAAGTCACGTGGAAAGAAAATAAATTAAATAATATAATACGACGCTTCGATTGCAACACAAGCAATCGTCATCAGGTAGAAGACAAACCTAGTGAACTTATAAATACAATGCAATCCAAGACGGAGAGTCGGCTAACACAACAGTCGGCACTCCACCTGGTTGATTACGTTCTTCCAAAGATTGCTAAATTTTAGAGAGAGACAAAACACAGACACGGAGACACACAGACAGACACACAAGCAGAGAGAGACAACACAGAGACACAGAGAGAGACACAAATTTAGCAAAGAGTAATTCCTGCAGTCACAAAAGCATCAACTCAAGTCTAAAATAAATGCAAAACAATTATTTCAGAAGTGATTAATATACTGTATGTTGAAAATAAAATTCTGTTTTTTTATGTGCAGATTGTGTGGATAAGAATTGCATCAGCCAATCAGAAAGCTGCCCAGAGAAGAACAGTGCATACATCAAAAACGGTCTGAACCATCTCTACCACCAACACAGCCAAAACTACCACCGTCACCCAACACCGTCACTACCACCAGGATTACAACTTCCATCAGCATTATAACTACCACCATCACTCTCAAAACTACCATTACAACTACCACCACTCTCACAAATACCATCACCATGACAACTACCACCACCATCGTGACCACCAGCACCAATGATTTAAAATTCAATGGCTGCATGTTGCGCAAGATAATTCCATTCATTATTCCACACAGTTGTGTAAGGTAACTAAGTTGACTTCGTTTCAAAGCGGCTGAGGGGTGCTATTGGTAATTAGTTTCAGTGACACCACAGAGCAGGGGAGGTGAGTTCGTGGGCCGTGTTTGTCCTGTGGGCCCTCGTTTTGACAACTCTGAGTTGAATCATAATATTGCCGACTGTCCTCCCCCTCCTCGCCGTCCCCTCTCCCTCCTCAGTGAGTGCACGAATCTTCACCCTGGAGGGCTGCACCTACAGCATCGCCACCTTCCCCCAGGGTACGACCGACCGCAAGCGCCACCGCTTACACTCAGCGGCAGCAGTAGGAGAGCCGTAGCCAGACAGGTTGACACCTGGGGCAAGGTGCCAAACCCCAGGCTGCCCACCCACCCAACTGCACAGTGCCAGTGGTACTGCCCCACCAACCTTCATTGGTGCCACCGGCCGCCACTGCTTTCATCGTTTACAACAATTGGGTTGTGCATTTGGGTGGTGCCCCCTCCCCCCCCCTCGGGAGGGGTGCCCCGGGCGCCCGCCCCACCCTGCCCCACCTTGCCCCATCCTGCAGTTGCCTCGACGCTACCCAAGCAGGTTCACAAGAGGACAAAAGATCGAATCCTCTCTCGAACCACGTTCCCTTTACACGTGTAGTGACGTATATTGAGTCACTACGGCGTTTAGCGCCAGCTACTGAGGGAAGAGGGGAACTGTGCGTGTTAGAGCCTCTCTCTGGCACCAGAGTGTGTATGGCATGGAAGGCGACCATAGGGGGCATGGTTCTGGTAATGGGCAGAGAGAGGGCACTTCAGGACATGACAGTCTGGGTAAACCCGAGAGGGCACGTGACCAAGAAAGGGTAGCGAGGGGGACCCAAGGGGGGCAAGCGGGACACGTGATGTGCGGCCCAGAACCTTCTGGTAGGATCCAGAAGGGGGCGTGGCCATGGGCGAAGCCAGGCCACGCTTAGGCGCATAAAAGGGAGGTCCCGAGAGACGATCGGGGCTGTCTTCTGGAATCAACCTGCCGTGCTACGTCTCTTCGCTCTTCGGTCATTACGCTCGGCTTCGTGGGGCAGTCAGTGCGTTACTGACTGACCCGGTTATGTAGTTACCCCGTTGTAGTATAGTTACCCCGTTGTGGTCTAAGTTACTCGTGGTAGTCACCACCTATGTCGTTATCCCGTACGTTTATGCAGTTACCCTGTTGGGGTGTTAGAATAAACGTGTTGCCTCCAAGTTCAAGTGTGTGTCTCCCTGGAACCCACTACACACGTACAAAAGACAAAGAGCCCTCAGATAACTTTAACAGACCTATTGGGGCAAGTCTTGTTGGTGAGGACCTTTGAAGGCCGGCACGGCAAACACGGGGGTGATGTGGCCAGCACCACACCCGGCCGCGTTTATGTCCCTTTTGGTGATGTTTACACATTGCACCAGTTACTCATGTGAGGCTGAGTCTACCTAGGGGAGGCCCAGGATCGGTTCAGATAATCGTCACTCGTGTTTGCCAGTGACGATGATGAATAATTTCCTGAAGAAACTCCCAGCATGTGGAGTGAAACGTCAGACATCGTGCCGAACAACACGCGGTACGACCGTGAAACACGTGGAAGAGCTATAGTGCCACCTGCTCGGATTGTGTCCATTTGCTCATGTTCGTATTTGCCTTCTCACACCCACACGTTGGCATCTGTGTTCTCGTACAGAGTGTGAAAATCCTCTCTGTCCGAGAGCTATTGACGTTTGCTTCAAGAGGTTCTCATCAGCTGGTAAGCACTCTTGTATGAACCACACTCCCACCGCGATGATAACCATCCTCCCACAATCCTTCGGGGCAAATGATAGATATATAGGATGGGCAGGTCTGACTCCAGCTGGATGAGGACCTCCACATCTTGGGTGATTTGGTTATAGGCTTTTGAACATGCATCCTTCTGAAATTTGGGTTACGTTTACAACTGAATCTTAATATTACGAACTTAATTTTGATCAACGCTTAGCATGGAATGTTTTCCGTTTCGCTCGTTTTTTTCAAGCTCGTCTGCCCTCCGTTTGTCCCATTAACTCACAAGCACACTGCATCATTGTCATGACTGAGGTCTTCTTTGGGAAAATAGACTTTCAATCCCAGCGTGTTCTCACCTACCTGACCTCCCTTTGGGATTCATAAAAACGATATTCAGTGGCCTCTCGCTGCGGCGGTCCGGGCGTGCAGGGTTGATGGTGACGCTGGCTGTAATTGTGCTGCTTCTGCTGGCCTTGGCGGTGGCGTTCATCGTACGTCGAGGAAGGAAACATTTCCACCATCCCAGAAGCAACAACTCGGTGGCTTACGTCAGGGTCATTTAAGCCTCGGCCGGTGATTGGTCCGAAACAAACTTCAATCCGAATTTTACTTTCCGAAGGTTTTATATGATCTTTATTTTGTAGATGTGTGTATGAATTTTTTTCACTGTGTGTTTTGTGATATGCAAGTGACATGCAAATGATATGTTAATCTAACATATGGGCTAAGAGAACGAATGAGCCTGCAACAAATGAGCCAGAGAAGAATGCAAAACAATGTACACGAGAGGGTAAAATCCAGACGAAAATATAATCGGTTCCTGAATCAAAATCACGACCTTGAATCATGATTATTGATCAAATTACCAAGGAGGTTAGGTGTGCACCATCCATTACTAATAATAATTTGACAAATGCACCGCAAGGGTTGAACGTGCCCGAGGTACAATGTGGGTGACGTTTTCCTGTTCTGGTTTTGTGCCTCCTTCAGGCGGCAGAGCCACATTTCATTTTATTAACCATTTGACAGGTGACTTTATTGAGGGCCACCTGAGATCCGTCAACCTTCTGCCGCATTTCGCTTCTGTGTTACTCTGCCACGAGGCTGTGTTCTATTTGGCAGATGATTAACTGGGTTTCACTCTACGCTTATCCGCGCATCTGTTGAGTAACGCCTCGAAACTAGGCTTGAAGAATACATGTGCCAAACCATGCTTTGCTACAATCAAAGATAACTAAACGTTTAAAGGACCTTGTTGGCAGTGGTGTACACAAATCACCGCATTAATGATTTGTACTGCTTAAAAGCAACCACAATAGTATGACGTCTTAGGCTAATGGCCCTTAATCAGTGCAGAGGGATTGACTTAAAAGTTGAGTTGACACTTTACATTGTGGAGGCCCGAGAAAATTGGGCAATTTTGATAAAGTCCACAAAGGAACGGTTTGGGATTGACATTTGAGTAGTTTTATTAGTATTACGTGTTTATATTCAAGAAAACTACTCGTCTGTTTTATATGACATATTTTTGTACAACGCATGTATGATGAATTTAGACACTGGTTACTGTTAATACACTGGAGAACCTATGTGTTTATCTTGAACGAAGACATGGAATTCCTCAATAATATTCATGGATGCATCATTAGTCCTCCTTTAATGCAAGCTCTATTGAAATACGTATTTTTGTCCTCTGCGTATTCAGAATATGGTACCGTAGCTTTAAAGAGGGTATTTAAATTGTATTTTACACAGAAATGTCTGCAAAAGACACTTATTACAATAGGATACCAATGGCATGTATGTAGTGGCACCTAAATGCAACAACATCTCAAGATGCTGTGCAGAAACACAAGGCGTTTTTTAGAGAAAAAAAAAGTGCAGTCAGTGATAGGCAAAGGAAGGAAAGATCTTAAGCCAGGACTTGATTGAGTACAGGGAATTGACAGCACGGATGTCTGGGGGAAGGGAGTTCCAGACGATGTGGGCAGCAGAGGAGAATGAGTACCCTCCTTATGAAAATGTAGGCCCCTTGCTGAGAAGTCGTTTGAGTCCAAACATGCACTGGGTGATTGTCACTTTATACAGGGATCCAATACACCACAAGATGGGCCTAGTTTATGTGTTCATGAAAACATCTTCCCCCCCCCCCTACCAATTTTTTTGTTAAATAATAGTCTATACCATGAGGGAATATAATGTAAGTGCTAATTTTCCACCAGATATTGGCACATTCTGGTTTTCTGTAAAGAAATGAATTGGGAGCATGCATGTTTTCCCCTCACAGTATCATTACACCATAAATGTGTTTTTTTAATTTATTGAAGTGAGCATTAAATGAAAATTAAAGTTCATCCCATTATTATGCACATCCTATGTAAAGCTTAATTTCGTGAATCTGTAAGTAAATGTTGTATAGTCATCCGGCAGGTCCGTTTAAAAGCAGTGGATATGTATTTAACAAGCATGCCTGGTATGTTTCAGAATGTGGGGAAATAAATCTTTAAGGCAGTTGTGTCTGCTTTGTTTACTTTTTGTTCAAATAACGTTGCCCTGTTATAGTGTATGCGTATTAAAACTATGTCGATTTATGTTAACTCAACACGTTTTCACAGCCACTATTAGGATTCGTATTTTAATTGTTGGGTTAGGCCACGTGACTGCTAGATTTTGGCTATGCGATTTGTTCTTCATTGTACACGTGGCAATTCAAGTTGTTTCGGTATGTCGGGTCGTGGAGGATCTCATAACACACATTTGGCTGAGTGGTGACGTGAAGTTGGCCTAAGACAAAAAAATAAATTGTGAATGGTTACTTAAGTCTAATATGCCCCGATGTAAAGCCTGTGTGTGGAATATGTGCCTTTAAAGCTTTTAATGATTCTCCTCCTCATGAGTCAATTAGATACAAATTTTGTCGTCATCGTGAATGTTGAGCCTCCAGTGGCTGCAGGGTTTACGTCAACTGAGTTGCACACAACAGATGCAGGAGGGCTCCTCTTATCCGCGGTGATATGTTGGACCTATTTCCCGGGTCCGATAATTAATCCGCGGGGTTATCCGCGATTTTACCCCTCTTATACTGCGGTGATAAAAATTCACGGATAACCCGTGGATATTATTAGGAGTCATTTGCCGTGAAATTCTTCTTACTCCACGAAAAAAAATCGCGGGTGTCAGAAAACTGTCCCGATATGCGTGATGGGTAAAATTGCGGTCAACTGTAGATAATACTCAGAAATAGGGGCCGCTGATAATTAATCGGGAGTTTTCGCGGATGCCACAGCTGCCACTGACAATCGGTGTTATGGCTAAAAAGGGGAGTGGATAACAGGAGTTCTCCTGTATGACTAAATATGGGCAAAGTGGTGGCACAGTGGTTCCAGCTCAACAATCTGACTCCTGAGCTGCCCGGCAACCTTATGAACCAACCACACTGTGAACCTTTCATAGAGTGCCACTCGCTGTATTGACCCCACGAGTACAATAGGGTGAGTCTCGACTCCACGGTCCGTGGACCTGTTTTTATATCGTTCAGGGACCAGTGCCTTCGTGACCGATGCCTCAGTGGTCGTGGCATTTTGAGAATTGAATAACGCCGTCAGTTGTAAAATAGATGGTGGCTATAGCCCGAAATCTAAAAACCACGCGAGCAAGAATGATGCAGGCTACATGTTGATGTTATTTTCACTGGTAAAGGGCACACAGAGCAAAAAAAAAACGTGTAAAAAGTGTTCTGGCTGCAGTCATTTGATTGATTATACATTAAAAAAATGTTGCTTAAAAAAAGGTTTTGGGGGGCTTTCCGGCATATCCCGAAGTCTGGGTTTGAGAGTTTTACTGTGGTACAGTGCTTGCAGTGAAGTTTTGGGGAGCGGTAGTGCAGTAGCTAGCACGCTGCCCTAAGGATCAGGCCACCCGAGTTTGACTCTCGCTCACGGCCAACACCAGTGATCATTATTTGAACCGGTCATGGGCATCCCCTAGGTCGACTCAGCCTCAAATGGGTACCTGGTGCAGTGTGTAAACATCACGCTGGGGAGAAAAAGGCGGCCGGGCGTGGCGTTGGCCACCCACCCCCTCGTGTGCCGTGCCGGCCTTCGTAGGTGCTCGCTAACAGCACTTGCCCCAACAGTCTGAACAGGCTATACGGGTGTCTTTGTCTTTATAGTGAGGTTGGACAGGTTGTTCAATGTACGAGAACGAAGAGGAAAACCCCTATTACTAACGAAGAGGCTGTTTCTATGATAGTTACCAAGATAACCGTAACCTTTTGACCTCCCTTTAAACTTCCTGTAAAAGGTACGAGGGCATAGCAGTGACACATGCCTGTGTGTCGATTTTAACCTTCAGTGTTACCAATGAGATGGCTTTTTGGATGGAAAATAAAAACTGCAAGATAATTACAAATAAATACTCAATAAAGTATGGTATATGAAGGAAAGGGCCAACATAAAACGTGCCAAAATTTCGCTTGCAGTGTTAATACCGCCAATTGAAAACATACTGCTCTGGGTGGGAGTGCGGCAGGGCTGCACCACACGGATGATGGTTCGTTTCTATAATATTTCCAAGATAACCGTAACGTATGATACTTCGTGATATATATTTTTTCAAACTGATAAAGTCTCCGTGTTTACTGTCACAACATTTAAATAAAGGCCACGCGATGCCCTTTTAAGACTGGTGGCCTGACTCGTGCTCGTACATTCCATCAGAGGGCATGCGGAGCAGCTTTCCTCATAAATATTGCATCTTGGGTGTGGAATACTGCACTGTTTCCCCGTTTGACATATTGTTTCCGCCTTTTTTATTGCAATGGCAGACGCAGGCCCAATCAGCATCTGTCCAAAATGTACTTGTTTTTTTTGTAGGGCATTTCAAAACTGACACGCTTGTCAATTTCTATGGCTGTGGTTTAGGGTGTACTGCATTGTGTTACAACTGATAGAGATTCCCATTGACGGCGGGGGGGGGGGGGGGGGATGCTAGATTGTGAGTTGTCCAAGTATAGTAGTTCGTTACGAGGTGTGGTTTGGGATGGCTTCTGTTACGGGGCTGTCGACAGCTGTGGTGATTTTACAGCCCACTAGGGGCCCAAGGCAGAAATTATTCTTGGGTGGACAACCAACGTAACTCGATGTCACATTCGCAGTGATGGACTCATTGCAATGAAACATATTTGTAAAGTGTTGCTAAAATGAGCTGTGTAAAATCTTTATAAGGATCTGAAACAGGGCTGATCATTTGGTGCACCCAATCGGTTCGTGAATCCGCGGTCGCCTGAACTACTTTGGGCTTCTAAACTTTTGCTTAGTTTGCTTATGCCTGGTAGGGTTGCCTAGAAGACAGTATACGTACAGTATAGACTACACTGAAAAAATATAGCCAGAGAGAGCAGCTCTCTCTATATATATAGTGAGAAAGCTCATAATAATTCATAATAAAGGTTTCGGGTTAGATCGCGTTTATTTATAAATGTGTCGTAACCCTCCACCACCCGACACGGCCAATCAGCAAAAAAAAGTGTCACGTTGACAAAAGACAATTCACTACTTTAGCCCACCGGTGTGTTGAAGAGTGGAATAATATTGGTCGCGAAAGCCTACATGTTAAACTGAGTGAGAAAGCTGCTCTATTTTTTCACCTGATGACGATTGCTTGTGTTGCGATCGAAACGTCGTGATAATTTATTATTTTTTCTATCTACGTGGCTTTACCGAAAGTTCCAAAGAATATGAATTCCTGCAGTCACGAAAGCTTTAAGTCAATACAGTAGTTTTATATATTTTTTTAGTCGTTGTGGTGTCCCGGGTTACTCTTGCAAATGAGACTATATTATTGGTCCCTTTGAGTTCTCACCTGGCTGAACAAAATGAACGGACTAAATTATTGTCCTACTGCAGTCAACAAAATTAATAAGCACTTTGCAGAGCGTCAACATTGGGTTATTTCCCATGCAAAGGCTGACCTCTGCCACGACGGGCCACTTAAGTAACTCGCAGCACTTTATTAACCTACTGCTGGATGAAGGCGGACTCATGCCATGTTGGTAATGGGGATTTTCATTGTTTAACCATACTTCACCACGCTGGTCAATGCGCATTGGTGAGGTGCTGGTGAATGGGGAGAAGAGACAGCCTGAGCTGACTATCTATGGGAAAGAAAGTGGGAGTCAGAGTGGAGGAGTTAGTTACACTTAAAAGGGGAATGGTAGAAAAGAGAGAGAAAAAAACGGGGTCGAAAGACATTCGATGGACCGGACGAGAAGTGAGAAATTGGCGGTATGGATTCATATCGTGAGATAAAAGCAGCGAGAAAGTGTGACAGGGAGGAGTCGAGTGGGAGGGAAGGACGTTTTAGGGTCGAGAGAAAGACTAACGGGAGCAGGCGGGCGGGGGGAGCAAGGCGATATTGAGAGTCGTGGAGAGAGGGAGGGACGAGAGAATGCAGTTTGACAGAAGAGTACAGAGGGCGAGAGGTGGCACGGCAGTGTAAGAGCACACCTTGGAGGAGAGAGTTGAGAGCGAATCGAGGGAGGAGGGATCAGTTCAGTTCATTTATTAGGTATAGCCATGTGAGCCATTCGGCTCTTGAATCGGGTGCAACTGCAACAAACAAAAACATGAACAAGAAAACATCTTAAAGTGACTACGCGCAAAAGAAAAATCCAGGAAAAAACAGCAAAGTCTTCCAGAAAAAGCACTGTACACCAATGCTGTATGCAAAAATCCCAGTTTTTTTTTTCATTTTTTCAAGTTTTCATTTATACTGGCAGGAACGAAGTTGTAAACTGAGTGTACCAGCCTGCAATAGATTAATGTGTCCGTCCGTCCGTCCCCTTTCAATACTTTAACGAAGTGAAATCTCGTGCTGTTGGGTGTAAAATCAGCAATAGACAGCGCAGAGACTTGTCCTACCAGCCCACCCTGCAGGGACCTGTTTAGGTATCGCCCTGTGAGCCATGCGGCTCTTTAGTCGGGTGCAACCGCAACAAACACAATATGAATCTACATTGCAGAAAACTATTACACCACAACCAGACCAAAATAAAGCTACAAAAACAATGTAACAACAGTAATCATCGGAAGTGTGATTTTAAATTTTACAATAAACGATATATATAACACGTTCGACAAAACCTGCAGCCATAGCTGGCAGCACGACACTCCCAGTGTATGATGTGTGAGTGAGTCAGCAGCAACGTGAGTGTATGATGTGTGAGTCAGCGTATGATGAGTGAGTCGGCCCCCCCCCCCCCGGCTCCGTCGCCCCCCCTGGCTCCATCGCCCCCCCCCCCAGCTCCGTCGCCCCTCCCCCGGCCCCTTCGGCCCCCCCTGGCTCCGTCTGCCCCCCCGGCTCCGTCAGCCCCCCCCCCCGGCTCCGTCGGCCCCCCTGGCTCCGTTGGCCCCCCTGGCTCCGACGGCCCCCCCCCCCGGCTCTGTCGCCGCTCCCCCGGCTCTTTCGGCCCTCCCCTGGCTCCGTCTGCCCCTCCCCTGGCTCCTTCGGCCCCCCTGGCTCTCCCGGCTCCGTCGGCCCCCTCGGCTCCATCGGCTCCCTCGGCTCCATCGGCTCCCTCCGTAGACTCCCTCGGCCCCCTCACAAACGGCCCCGCCAGCCGCTGCTGGGAGCACGGCCCGAAAGCACGCGCGCCTCAGGCAAGTCAAACAATAACAACCATAGGACAATTTAGATTAACGTTATCAGTCTAACTCTGTACTACAACAAGTGTGAGCGTCCATCGGCAGAAGGAGGGATCAAGAGAGGAGGAGGAGGGACTTGGATAGGGGAGAGGCACGGGAGAGGAGGCAGAGAGGGGTGCGAAGGGAACTGAAAAAGGGGAGAGAGCAGCAAGGGAGAGCTGAGAGGGTAGGGGACTTAGAGGGGAGGGAAGTTAAAGGGAGATGGTGCAGGAGGGGACTGAGAGAGGAAAGACGAGAGAGGGGGAGGTGCCTTAGTGAGAGAGAGAGGGGGAGGGACTTTGGAGGGGAGCGTTAAGGAGAGATAATTCAGGGGGAGAGACAAAAGGGAGGGACTTAGAAGGGTGGGGGGTGACACCTCGTGAGGGAGAGGACTGAGACGGGAGAGGCAAGGGTATAGAGGGTGGGACTGAGAAGGGAGAGGCAAGGGTGTGGGGGTGGGACTTAGAGGGGAGGCAAGGGTGTGGGGGTGGGACTTAAAAGGGGGGAGGCAAGGGGGTGGGACTTAGAGGGGAGGCAAGGGTGCAGGGGTGGGACTTAGAGGGGGGAGGCAAGGGGGTGGGACTTAGAGGGGGGAGGCAAGGGTGTGGGGGTGGGACTTAGAGGGGGGAGGCAAGGGTGTAGGGGGTGGGACTTATAGGGGGGAGGCAAGGGTGTAGGGGGTCGGGAGGCAAGGGTGAGGGGGTGGGCCTTAGAGGGGGGAGGCAAAGGTGAGGGGGTGGGACTTAGAGGGGGGAGGCAAGGGTGTGGGGGTGGGACTTAGAGGGGGGAGTCGAGCACAGTGGGAGGAGACCTGGTTGGGGGAGGGGACTTGGATGTGGGCGGGGAGATAGATTCGGGGCGTGGCAGGCGGAGAGACGTCGATGTGGGGAGCGCTAATTAGGGGAAGCAACCGAGGGAGGAACTCGGAGAGAGAGAGAGGGAGAGACTTGTGGAAAAGAGCGGGACAAGGAATACCGCACAGAGCGAAGGAGGTGGGTGGCGGGAAGGCCGTCGCCGCCGTCGTGAGGGTGAGATGTGGTGAGCAAGAGCGGGAGGTTGGGGTGGGGTGCGCGGTCAGAGAGACCCAGCGACCCAGCCGTACATTACACACAACAACCACACACACGAGAGAGTGAGAGAGAGAGAGAACGCCCACCAACAACCGCACCTACGACAACCGACCCCACCCCGGCCCTTTTTTACACGACTCGCCCACCCCAGCCAACCACGAGCGGCGAGAGAAGGGAGGGCGGCGGGGGGGGGAAAGAGAAGCTCGTTCTCCCTCACCATCGCCACCACACACGCACGGGCAACAGAGGAGAGAAGGAGGAGAGAGAGAGGGAGGTGAGAGAGGCGAGAGAGGCGCGGGGGTGAGCCCCCAAAATGGCGGCGGACGACCGCTCCCGTGCCGACAGCGCCAAGCAGAAGCGCGCCGCGCAGCTCAAGCGCTGGGCCGGCTCCGAGACGGACCTCGAGACGGCGGTGCTGCGTCGCAAGAAGAGCAAGGTGAAGTTCGACGACGGGGCAGTGTTCCTGGCCGCCTGCTCGAGCGGCGACACGGACGAGGTGCTCTCGCTGCTGGAGCGCGGCGCCGACATCAATTACGCGAACGTGGACGGGCTCAGCGCGTTGCACCAGGTGAGGTGGTGGTTGGTTGTTGTTGCTGTTGTTGTTGTCTTCGTCGTCTGCTTGATGGTGGGGCAGCGGCAGCAGCAGCAGCGTTGTCATCTTGAGCAGAAGCAGTGGCGGATGGAGGGGTTTCTCGAGTGGAGACAGCGAGAGAGGGGGGGAGGAGAGGCAGAGGAGAAATTCAGAGGGCCCGAGCCTCTCAAAGCCGCCCGCCCCCGTGGGTCATTATTAGTTGTAGTTGTGGATTAGTTCCTCCAATGGTAATAGTGATAATAATGCGCTGTGCTGTGCATAGTTGTGTGTGTGCGTGAATGTGCCAGGAATGAGGCCCTCCCCCGTGCTAGGTGCAAGAAAGCAGCATCGGGCATTCCGTACAAAGATGTCACTGCGAATTGCCTTACTGTACAAGTCCCGGAATGACAGTCGGCGTTATCAATCATCACCATCATCATCATTGTCACCATCACCGCTGTTATGATGATCATCAGCAGCAGCTGGGGGGGTGTTCGCTGTGCAGTGATGGAGGAGAGAGCCAGAGGCCCTGACCCACAGGGCCTTTTCGTAATTACTCCACGACAGCATGATTTGCGTGGTGTAGTTATGTTGTATAGTAATGGACACAATTGTGTACATTAAAAAAAAGTTTCCCCCCTTGTTAATATTTAAAACTGTTATGGGCTGTGATAAAATGACGGCTTGTTATGACCTACGTTGTCCATAAATACACGTACTGTACGTGAAGTTCAGTTGATGGAGCAGCAGAACTTGGTCCGAAAAATGGGATTCCTGGGGTTCTTCTCATACCAGCCATGGTTTCATCCTCCAACACCATCGTCATCACTACCATCACGACCATCATCACGACCATCAACACGACCACCACAACCATTATCTACATTATCACCATCATCACGACCACCACATCACCATTATCTACATTATCACCATCATCACGACCATCATCACGACCACCACATCACCATTATCTACATTATCACCATCATCACGACCATCATCATCACGACCATCATCACGACTACCACATCACCATTATCTACATTATCACCATCATCACGACCATCATCACGACCATCATCACGACCACCACGACACCATTATCTACATTATCACCATCATCACGACCATCATCATCACGACCACCACATCACCATCATTACATTATCACCATCAACACCACTATTATCATCACCACCATCATCTATCTACATTATCATGACCATCATCAACACCATTGCAGTACTGTATTATTATCATCATAAACACCACTTCTCTCCGTATTTGCATTAAATTGTGCAATGATGTACCGCGCATACTACTGTGGGTAGCGGTAGTGTAGCGGTTAGCGCGCTGCCCTACGAACCCGGCGACCCGAGTTCGATTCCCGCTCACGGCCACCACCAGTGACGATTATTTTAACCGGTCCTGGGTCGACTCAACCTCAAATGAGTACCGAGTGCGGTGTGTAAACATCGCCACTACGGGAGACAAAGGCGGCCGGGCGTGGTGGTGGCGGCCACCCCCACCACTTCGTGTGCCGTGCCGGCCTTAAAAGGTGCTCGCTAACAGCACTTGCCCCAACAGTCTGTAAAGGTTATACATGGGGATCTTTGGCTAATATTCAGCATGACACGGTTAGTTATTTGCTGTTTTATATACCGCTCAGTTATGTGTGCAAATACGTACAGTGTGTGTGTACACGATACACATCTGTGGATATGTAAATGTTATGTTGAGCTTGCATTGTACAGTGTATAGCAGAGCAGCAACGAGTCCGCCAAAAAGTGGATTATTTGAATCCTCACCAAGGTAATATTGGCTCGATCCCAGCATCAGTATCCCACACACCGTTAGTATTGTCATTGCTGTGTTGTGGTTGCATGAAGTTCAGTGAGGTGACGTGATAGCCCCGTGGAAGAATGTAAGGGGGTGACCTGGAGGCGCGAACTTGTAGGCCTGTAGGGTTCATTACTTCACTGGCATTGGCGTGCTGGATTTAATGATGAGATTGTTCGTCTTCCATACTGTGCACAGTTGCAAATGTTTCCTCTTATCTAAATGTAAATGCACACAATGTATGTTTTTGTGTGAGAGATATGGGCAGGGGCACTTACATGGTTGGTTGGCGAAGTAACAAGGCACCTTATTCAAAACTGGATTACGAGTTCAAATCCCAGCCAGGGTCAGTTGTTTTATGAGGCTGGGATGGACTGGTTTATTAGCCATCACTGCACTGTCAATAAAGTCCTGTACAGTATCTATTTACTTCCTGTAATTTGATTGTAAAATGATGCAAGTTCATAAGTGCTGCACTTTAGTTGACAAGAGCAACATTGGTTGGAATTGAAACATTTTGGACATTTGGAAAAAAGGATGCTCTTAACAGGTAGAATGCACCAACCACATTTAACGTCCTTGCATCAAGCAAGTCGTCATGTATTTAAGAAAGCCTCAGCGAGTCTTAATAATAGTCAAGTAGTGTTAAGCTTGTGGCAGGAAACCGGAGAACTTACAGAGAACCCACACAAAGATCCCCCGTATAGCTTTAACAGACTTGGGGCAAGTGATGTTAGTGAGCACCGATGAAGGCCGGAATGGTACATTCGAGGGGTCTGTAGCCAGCACCACGCCCGGCCACATTTGTCTCCCCAGTGGCGATGTTTACACACCACACACGGTATTCATTTGAGGCCGAGTCGACCTAGGGAGGCCCTGCGCCGTTTCAGATAATCGTCACTGGTGTTAGCCGTGAGCGGGAATCGAACTCGGGTAGCCGGATTCGTAGCATAGCGCGCTGTTGACCACACATAACACACACGGAGTAGTGGCAGCCTTACCAGTTATTATAGAATTTGTTTTTTATCTGTGAAGGTAGTGGGGTCGAGTTGACCCTGGCTGATATTTTTGCACTGAATTGGTTCACAATTGGTAGCCTTACTGCTCCTTAACATATATGGTTTATGTTTTTGGACACGTAAATTCGTAATTAAAGAAAATCACATCCCTTTGTCAAATTGACTGGTGGATAAAAGCTCCCCCCTCCTTTGCCTTGTCAGTGTATATTGGTGAAGAGGGTGGTGCCCAGGAGCAGTTAAAATATCAATGCCGCTTACGTGTTTAGCCGTAGCCAGGCATCAAACGCTGGTCGCTCGCTTTAAACGCTAATACACGGCTGCCACCGCTTCATCCCACTTGTGTAGTTACGATGATTAATTTTACATTTACCGTCTATAATACTAACGTATTTGTACAATACGTAAGCCACATAGTGTTGATGTGGCGTTAGAGCAGCAGGCTGACCAGTTGAGAAAGTTGAGTTTGAATCTTTGCCAAGGCCAACTAAGCCGCTTTGTCATCTCTTTGTGGGTTGGTAAAATGAGCCCCCACCACTTAGTGAAGGGAAGTCAACATTCGTTGTTTTTTGGAGTAGCTTGGTCCCCCAATGTTCGTAATTTGAACGATGCACTGTTATGGCCCATCACTGGAGCGTTCCAATGCTCGTTAAAGCATAGGCGCACACCTGCACTTTTGTGTATTCATGTTCTTACTCTAATTATACTCAATGTAAATGTGCTGTGTGTATTTGCATAATAAGTTCATAGAAGTGCAATGATTGAATCCGTCAGTTTCGATTCCTGGCCACAGCAGTGATAGTTATGAACTTGGGCTAGGCCTCCGCAAGATCAACTTAGTCTAAAATAAAAGTCTTATATGCTCCCAATCCTGTGTAACCTTCATGGTGAGTATACTCAATCAACCCCCATGAACTCACACAGCGTGGGGAGGCCTTCATCCAGCAGTAGACTGGCGAAGAAATGTAAATTATTATTGATATTTTTTTGCACTTTTTCTTATCTCGGAGGAGACAAAGGCGACCAGGTATACATGGCGTTTACTACGCCGCAAGTGCCACGTTGACCTTAATTTCTCGGCAACAGCACTCTGTGCTTTACAATGCAAAGTAGGGCTCTGTTCTTAACATGAACAGTTGTACATGTGTTTAGATGCAGTTTCTATTGTGGGGGAAAGCCAGCAGCAGTTCCTGTACTGCTTCCTGACATAGCAATGTGCAATCTCTCTCACATGGCCTTGTGGTCATGAACATTTGATACTATACCATGTATCTATATGTAGAGTGTGATGTGTGTTACGTTGTGTGTTGTCAGGGGAGCGGCAGTGTAGCGGTGAGCACGCTGCGCTGCGAACCCGGCGACCCGGGTTTGATTCTCGCTCACGGCCAACACCAGTGACGGTTATTTCAACTGGTCCTGGGCCTTCCCTAGGTTGACTCAGCCTTTAAATGAGTACATGGTGTGGTGTGTAAATATCGCCACGAGGGAGACAAATGTGGCCGGGCGTGGTGTTGGCTACTCACCTTGTGTTGCTGTGCCAGCTTTCCTAGGTGCTCACTAACAGCACTTGCCTTAACAGCCTGTTGCAGGCGATACGGTGGGATCTTTGTATATTGGTCTTTGTGTCAGATGTGAAGCACTGGTTTGCGCACTGCAATACAGAACCGGTGACCTGAATGTTAGTCCTGGTCGCTGCCAACATAAGCGGTGAATATCTGAAGTGGCCTTTGGGCCTCCCCTAGGTCACCTCGGCCTTATATAATTACCTGGTGCGGTTTGTAAACGTTGGCAAAGGCAGTAAGTAGGGCACGTATCTCACCATATCCCCACACATCGTTCCCCCTTGTGTGCCGTGCTGGCCTGCACATGTGCACGCTAACAGCTTTTTACTCAAAGAATATAAAGGGGAGTATTTGAATCTGATGTTTCATTCAAATCGTACTTAATTTGTATGTAACTGTTTGCTTTGTCGACCATTGACGCTTGTGATAATTGTGAAGCTTAATGTGGACGAGTTCTTGTGCGTATGTCTGAGAAATTGAGCAAATGTTCACTGAATCGGGTACAGTGTCCACTGCTGCAGTGGTGGCCTTGCGTCTCGTTAAATCTCATCCCCAATAGAAGGCAGGAAGGTCTTGG